AGATCTTGTAAAGAATACATATTATTTTATAGATTTTTGACCAACTTTTGGTCGGAAATAATAAACATATTAATATTAACACGTGCAATGTAAATATTTGTTACTGTTTCCTGACTGAATAAATTAATGAATTAATTTTAGATAATATCTTGTATGGGGTGAGCATTGAAGTATATTTAAAACTTCAGACATAAAAACGGAAACAGATAAATGTACATTTTCGTATTCTGCGGGCTTCGGAATGCCACAAAAGATAAAACTAGTCAAATAATTAGATTTTTTTTCCTAGCTATCTCACTGAAATAAGTAAATTACATGAGTTAAACATTCTAAAATCGTACGATTTTTCGTTTTCTACAAAAATAAATTCATGTACCACAACACGTGTAGGCACTGTCCGTTTTTTTATCGTATAAGTCAATAAAATCTATATATACACATGAAATATATTTTCTCAATGGCAAAAGTTTAAATGGTTTGCATATTCCGGAAAGTAAGTAATAAATAACCAACTTCCCCATTTATTCCCACCGCTCACGTTATGAATAAATTCACTTTATCGTGGTCGTTATGCGAATTTAAAAAAATCGCAATAATATTATTTATAGGTATTGATAAAATATAGATATTGACTTTCAACGCGATATCTTAGATTTTAGAAAATAAATAAACCGTGAACAGATCAGACGAACTTATAAAGCTATTCAGTTGCATCTACACTTTAAAACATGTAACTATAAAAAAATTATTGTTATTTTAAAAATTTAAATAATATATATTTATTAGTACAGTATAATAAGTCGATATCTCTTTAATCCGAACAAAAACTCTGCAATCCGAACTTGAAAACATGCACCTACTTGCAAAAATGACGCAAGATCTTCTTTCTATAGGTAATTTTTTGAAATTTTTAAAAATTGTGATATTTCAATGCACTGAATTAATTATCTAATTTTGGAAAAAAGGTTAAAGAAAAAGTAATTAGTTAAATTTCGAAAATGGATCTAAATTTGCTAGTACTTGTCAAATAACCTAGCCTCTAAGAAAACAAAAGGCGGGTGGGCTAGGCTAGAATTTGCCAAAATAAGACTCATTTTGGCAAATGACCTACTCTTCTAAGAAAAGGTACTAGCCCCGCCCACCTACCATTTATTTTTTTTAAAGAGTGGGTCATTTGCCAAAATCAGTCTTATTTTACAAATACTAGCCCCGCCCACCCACCCTTGTTTTCTTAGAGGATATGTCATTTGCAAAAATCAGCCTCTTACTTGGGAAGACTAAGACTGATTTTGGCAGATGGCCAATTCTTTATTTTCTTAGAAGAGTAGGCCATTGGCCAAAATGAGACTTATTTTGGCAAATACTAGCTAAACCCACACGCCCTTTGTTTTCTTAAGAGAGTAGATCATTTGCCAAAATCAGTCTTACCGTAGTGAGTAGAGAATAACTTTTAGTTAAAAAATCCAAAAATGACAAATCGTGAAAAGGAAAAATTTTAATTTTAGAACTTGAAAAATTAAAAATCAAAATATTCAAAAATTGTAAAGTTAAAACTTGAAAAATCAAAAAATTGGAATTAAAAACTGCAAAATTGTCAAACAAATTATCAAATGAAATATTCAAAAGTTGAAAAATCTGAAAACTAAAAAAAAATGAAAACTGGAATTTTGAAATCGATTTTATAAGAATTGTTTTTTTTTCAATGTTTCGATATTTCAGTTGTTGATTTTCCGATTATACAGTTGTTCAATTTTCCGATTTCTCATTTATCCGATTTTTCAACTTGTAATTTTTTTTATTTTTAATTTTTGCTAACCCCACCCACCCAGCCTTTATTTTCTTAGAAAAATAAGTCATCTGCCAAAATCAGTCTTACCTACTAGCCCCCCGCCCACCCTCCCTTATTTTCTTAGAGAGTATGTCATTTGCCAAAATTAGTCCCATCTTGACAAGTACTAGCCCCGCCCACCCACCCTTTACTTTCTTATAAGAGTGGATCATCTGCCAACATCTGTCTTATCTTGACAAGTACTGGCCCCGCCCACCCACCCTTATTTTCTTAGAGAATATGTCATTTGCAAAAATCAGCCTCATACTTGCCAAGGTAAGATTGATTTTGGCAGATGACCTACCCTTCTAAGAAACTAAAGGGTGGGTGGGCGGGGCTAGTACCTTTTCTTAGTATGTCATTTGTCAAAATGAGTCTTATTTTGGCAAATACTAGCCTGGCCCACCCGCCTTTTATTTTCTTAGAGGGTAGGTTATTTGGCAAGTACTGCCATAGTGTAAAATTTCATTTTTGAAAAAGTTGTCTAGAAATTCTGAAAAAATTCTGAGATGTATAGTGAACCAAGAGTTATAAGGTTATATGGCCATCATAAAATCATCCCATTGTGTCGAAGTTAAGTTGTTTACAATAGAAAAGGTTTTAGGGTCGTAAATAACGTGTCCACTGCAGCTCGACCGGCTCTTGTGGTTTCGTTCAGGGGCGGGTTTCACTAAATATGAAAATCCACCACTCCACTATTTCTTTACTACCTGCAGCCGCTGAGGGTTCCGAAATAACCACTCGCTTTGAAAGCCGGCCCTGTTAAATATGAGCAAGAAATGTTTAGAAGATGATTTATTGCCAACCGGTAAGCTTAGTGCGAACCACACAAAGGGGGTATTTATTTGCGGTCAACTACTTTTATGATGGCCATATAACCTTATAGCTCTTGGTTCACTATATATACATATATCCCGACGTGCTGATTCCAAAAATATAGCATGTTTATGGTAACGGATCAATATTTTCGGAAAATTCGGTGTGAAATTCAATTTTTTTTTAATTTTTAAAAATTGCGATATTTCAGTGGACGATTCTGGAAAAACGGTTTAAGTTATCGAAGAAATGAAGCCAGAAGTGACTTCCGCGGCCCAAAATCTACATGAAAATATTTAGTTCAATTTCGAAAATCGTCGAGTATAGGTCGAAATTTGCATAAGGGAGGTAATACGAATACAAAATGGGAAATTTCATTTTTGAAAAAGTCATCTAAAAATTCTGATTAAGTTCAGAGATACAGATACTGACGTGTTGATTCCAAAAATATAGCATTGTTATGGTCACGGAGTAAAATTTTTTTCGAATGTATCTATTATTATCCATTGCTTTATTTCTGTTTAATAAAATTAAAGTTTATTTCTTGAAATTTGTTTTCAGCAGTGAATGAAGTTGTTATTCAATTCCCTTTCAGCTTTTTGGGAAATTCGCTGATCCGAACAAATCACTATTCCGAACACACCTTTTCCCAATTAAAGCTAATTTTAGTTATCGGAACTTCCTAACGTATTTACATTTAAAATTTGAAAACAATTGTTATTATTCTGTATTCTATACTATAGGTCACGAAATGTTCAGAAAACATGAAAGTAGTCTTACGTAATCTGTTTTAATGGCATTGTAAAATAGATTTAACGTATTAAATAATTTATTTTCTTGTGAATTCACTAATGTGTCATACGCGTATAATTTTTTCTACTTACACTGAATAAACCATGTGCCTTGATTGCCAATTAACGTCCCGATTTCAAGAACGTAGATTTGCGATTGTTACTGGGTTATAAACAATTCCACTGGTGTTGCTGTGTAGCAAATAACGTAACCTCTAATCGCCGCTTGACCATAACCCGATAAATTTGATCTATGAATAAAGAAAAAGTTTAACTGTGCTTTTAGTTAACAAAAATAAATATTTACAATAACAAAAATTAATTGTCAATTTTTGACTTATTTTTTTGCTTTTAAAAGTGTAATTTGTTTTAAACATGTAGTATGCACTTTTATACATTTTCTGTGCAACATAATTAATTTATTAACAGCAATGTATGTAGATATATTCTAACTTTGACATTGCGGTGTCCTGATTTGAAAAATCAAATTTCGCGCTGAGAATAAAAACAACGCTGCGAAAACGCATTTTAAAAATAAAAAATTCAATGAAGTACGTAAACATGCATGTTATTACGTGTAATGCCACCCCTATAGGTTGGTAGTTTTAGAGATTTTTGTAAAACAATGCAGGTAATTTCTAAAAAGGTCTCTTGACCTCATTTCTTAATTTGGGTCTGTACTGTAAACATCTGTTAAAAATTGGTACGTAAAACAAAATGAATCGCATTCGACGTCACTGTTCCTCTTTCTAAACCAATTTTTTAACTTTACTACTTAACTAGATAAAATTTTATTGTTTCATTGGTGTTTTTTTTTCCGTTGGATGCTGGAAACGCTAGAAAACACAAAAAACAGCTTGTTTTTGCTTTATTCGAACTAATTTTAGTAACCATAACTTATTATATGTGACTTGTTGGACTTTATTTAGTAACATTATAACTCACTGATGTTGCAGTTTTCAATACTATGACACTATTTCTCGGCCTCTTATTATTGAATAATATAAATATAGCTAGTTTCCAGAAATCTTGAATGAGTCTTATCCTTATCTAAACCGAAGTTGACACATTACACACATAACATAAATATTTTTTGACGGAATTTTTATATCGCTGTATTATTTATAATTAGAACTATCATCATTAATGTCGCGGATACTCCTCTCCTCCGCTTTAATTTATGAATGATCTACAATGAATCATTAACCTTCGACATCACGTGTCTAAACATTCTAGAATCGCAATCGCCCATAATACGCTATAAAAAAAGAACCTAAGGCCACGTTTGTTTTCTCTCAACTTTTAAATCGATTACCGATTTTTCTTCCTTTTTTCCGCACTCTCATCTCTTAAAGATCGCCCTTTCCGCAATACAGCTCACATATAGGTCACCACACATACAGTTTCCCGCCTCCATACACCTGAAATTAACAAAGGTGATAACACCTAGAGAATGCCGGGTCCAGATTAAAGTCCACATGACTCATATCTGCGAGGCAATTCCAAAGAAATCGGTCGGATGTATTTAGAAATGACAAGATAGCCGCCTCTCACCTCCCTCTGTTGACCGCCGAAAACGCTGAATTGAACGCGCAAACGTGGAACATTTATAGAACGTCTTCTACAACGTTGACGTAGTCAGTTTGAATTGTTGATCAGTGTGGTGTTCAGGTGGAATTTCATAAATATTTTGCAACATGCCTATCGGTAAGTGCCTGAAAACTCCGCGGCCATTTTTGCATCCATTTTGAAAAGTTCCGGTTGGACCGGAAACCAATCGCGAAAATGAAAATCGCCACATAGTCACTATTCACAAACCGGCGTTTTCTTGCAACCGGTGAACTTTTCATTTGGATCCAAACCAAAAAATTCCTCCCACTTTTTTTTAAATTCGATCTTTTTTTTTTTTTTTTTGAAAAAAGTGTTATCATTACGATTCATGTTTTTGCTAGATTATGTTTTCGTTACTTTGAAGCCTGCTTTCCACGGTGTCATTACTGCACGTAATAACCAGCTCCTTTAGAGGCGAGAAATCGAACCCATGTCAAATTATAAATGGGTCTATCGCATGTTTTCGCTCCTTTTTGATTTTGTGATTTGAATGCCGACACGCCCATGGTAGCGCGACCTCAGAGTTCACTTGACCATTACAGCTACATACCAACTATTTTTAGCATTGTTGTCATCGTTATTTAATGCCGGGGACTGATTGTATTAGAATTTTTCTTCATGCCTACTTATTTAACTTGGCAACAACATTATTATAAAAAAATAAATCTTGGGATAGAGCCATAGCGCAAGTTGTTCAAGTGTTCGACTTGCGCCTCTTTGGTCCACGTTTAAATATAGTCCGTAATTCTATCGTAGACCCTCTTCTCATGTGCTGTACTAGTGACCCAACTTTCACTGCAGTGTAATAGCGATTAGTCATTCCGAAGCACGAATTCATAAATAAGTTTGCTATAGTTTTTATTTTTAACGACCATAAATCATTTCTGAATAAAGAAGTGGGTTGTGATCAATAATCTATGTCATATAGAATTTTATGCAATAACTGCATATGGTAATAAAAACGAGCTGCGTTATATGAAAGCAAATATGTCCGAGTGGTATTCGTATTGTTCGACTTAACGCTAATTGGTAGTAATCACCTTAACAGTTTCATTTCAAAAATATTACGTATCCGATGAAAATTTACGTGTTATTGTTGTTAACGTTATTAGTCATGTTGACGGTCAACTTGACACAAAGTTAAATCTTATTGCGCATTATGCATCACGATAAAGGTATTAAATTCTTGCTTAAAAATTGGTAGTCATCAGTAAATATGAACTGAACTATGTAACTGTTCCCACCCTGCTTAATAAAAATCCTTATTATTATAATACTCGAAAATCAATCATGTATTTCCAAAAAGCAAAAAACTGGAAAAGATTTATTGTTTTACAAGTAATAGATTACACTTAATTAATTCAAATATAAGGCGAATGAAAACTGCGAATTTGCACTTCACTTTAAAGTCAATATTTAAAAAACAAAGATCAAATACTTCAAATTGATCGTGTTGAGCAAATAATATAAAACTAATGTGTTTTTATAAATTTACCTGTTTAAGTTTACTGATCCTACTGTAGAAGCGTACTACTGTTTACAAAACAGCAGATGTAACCTAAATTTCAATCATGTTAAAAAATATTGTCAAGAAAACCTTACACTCAAACTCAATATTTCATGTTGACAGTAAACTTAATCATCACCTGCTGTTTCAAGGAGTGTTTAGTCATTTCTAATAACCTGTTATACTGTACGGCTAATCAAGTGTTATACTCAGTCAACTACAACTCTACAATGTAGTACTAATTTTACAATTTACGTTACAATAACATGACGTCATAATATACATATGCGAGTACAAGAAAATAGTGCCGTTGTTGTAACGAGTTAACGAAACAGGTTCAAAGTATGACAGTATAATTTTTTTTGACTATGACATCGACATAGTTCTCATTTATGGACTAGTTGCCAAATGCATACATTGTGCTACTTTATGACATCAGCTTACAGTGACGTCAGGTTTAGAACGTGAATACAGTAGGTTATTGAGTCATACTATGTCATCACACCATTAGACAAAGAAAACAAGATGCCAATTTAGTTAATAAAAACAGAACAAAAATATAATTAATTTAAGAATTTTTTGTAGATGACATCATCAGTTTTTTGAAATGGATGAATAAATTAATCGTGATTTGTACGATGTCTCATGAATTGTGACGTAGCTGTGTTCTCAGAACTTTAGAGAAATTTGACAAGAAGAATATTAAGAATATCTCATGACGTCATCAATTCTTTGGGGAGACTTATTAGTAACTAAAGTTACTTAATTAAATTTCTTTGTAGTTTTATTTTTATTTCAATAACATTGGTTATGCGGATAAGTAGAGCTAAAATTACATTGAATATTTAATTTAATCACAGATAAGAGAGCATGCTAAATCAGTTTACTTACCTTATTAAAATTTTGAAATGACATAAGGAACTGAAGTCGATGATTAGATAAATTTTAGTAGTGTTTTACCAAATGTCTGATAAAATTTCAAATTAATCAAGATAATAGTTTCTGTGTTTACTACAAGTTACGCTAAGATAAGTGATGATAATTTTTAGTAAACATGTTGACGAGATTGTATCAATGTACTCAAAAATTATCAGAAAGTTATCAGAAATAAAGTCTACACCTGCTGCGACAATATGTTGTGTAAAATCGCAAAATCAAAAAATACTGAAAATAATAACATTTATTAAATGATAAGATGTCACAACGTTTATCAAAAAATAAACGTGATTTAGGGAGGCATTGACTGTAGTTTCAGCAAGATTCTCTCGTCAGGTCAAATGTCAAAAGCCCGGATTACTTATCAAAAGTCGAAAATAATTATTATGTAACAAAAACTCAGTCAAAATTTGGACAATCACGTGAATCTTATAGTAACAAATAAACATCATTTGAGTCAAAATTTTCAGGAGATTTGTATGTTTTAAGTTATATTCATCAGGGACGTGGGTTTAGTCACAGCTCAAAGTGGTAACAATTTAACTTAACACCTAGTGTCACTTGTGTAGCGAACGTTCAAATTTCCATCAAATCGGTTATTCTATTTTGACACTTAAAACCATGATATTTGAGTTTTATTAAGAATCCAAAAATTACTGCTATCATTTTTAATTTGTCTGATAATGTTGTTTGCGCTCTTTATAAATTGTGTACATATTCTAAACTTCGCTAACGTGAAATCAAATCCAATATGCAGGTTTTGGAAAATTTTCACTGCATTCTATACACACAAATATTGACACTGTTGACATTCCAAGGTTTCGTTTTAGGGGCTTATTTTTAAAACATTTATTTACCTTTTTGTTAAATATTTACGAAAATGTTACTAGTCTTTGCATAATTTAGTTTCACAAAAATAACAATAGTTTTCCTTTTACTAAGACTGAACTGAAGTATACTGATTGAAATTTGTGGTACCATTGAATCAAAGAAAGGATGTTTTGTAAAAAAAAAATCAAAAAATTCACTCTATAGTTTACTTTAGTTCAACTTTCCATTGTTGACAAGTGATGCGAAAAGGTGAACCAACTATTTAGCATGAGTCATAACTAGGGAAACGACAAGTCTGACATATCTCAAATGCCTGACGATAGTTTTAACACTTTTATCTTTGAAGTTCACTATGTATATTCATAAATACAACAGCACATCTAAAAAATTAAACAATTGTTAACACTCTTGCTATGTTAACTACCTTTAGTTGAGATGACGAAATCCTGCAACACCAATTTAGATCCACAAGGCTGATTTGATTTATTTCAATTTAGCCGCTTTTATCACATTTAACAATTCAATGAGTGGAATCTACTTTCCTGCAATCTTGTATTTCAAACTCCCATTAAATAATTGTTAAGATTGAGTGACAAGTGTGCGTGCAGCACATGCAATTCACCCTATTAGTTTATAAATAAGCAGAAGAATCTGAAAAATCCGTCTCGTGGTTAATAATAGAACCGAGTTCGTCGTCTTATTTCATAAGATAGATATTCGCTTTATAGACAGTGTCTAAGCACGAATTTTTTAAGAAGTAGCAAAATAGGTTCAAGCATTGTCACGCACGTTCTGGTTTCTTGAAATACGTTTTTTGCTTATCGTTGCTGCCGGTGCCTGTAACTTGACTTAAATTTGTACGCAAAATACTCGAAGCGTTACAGATTGCTCTGAGTAATGATGGATTTCCGCACAATTTTGTAATTTGGCTCGCATGAGATGCTCTGAAAAAGTGCAAACGCACAGGTCGTAGGTGAGTCCATTGCTCGCAGTTTGATCTTCCTGAAATCACAAATTAAACAAACCAGATTATTAAATTGTGTGTCTAAATCAGGCCGACAAGGTGCATCTTCATAATGGGCGATGTGTCTCAACAGAATTTATTAGCATGACGTGTTTGCAATCATGTTACAAACACTAAATCCGGCGATGATGTAATAATAATGCAAAGATTAAAAATCAATGATGACCTTCCCTTTACGGCGCCAGACATAATGGAGTCGAAGAGGAAAATTACATGTGAAACACTTTTAGTAGGTGTTGCAGGCAAGGATAACGTTCCTAGAAAACGGAAGAATTCGAACAGGTATTAGCGTTGACATACTTTCGATGCAATAAAAATTTTCTTTGCTTTACGTACCTGTCGTAAATTTAACAGTACACGAAAGCATTTGGGTTAGCAGAGCAAATTTATAAAGCGGCTATAAAAAGTCGTGAGTGTGTTCGTGATAAAGGTGGAACAGATATTTACATGGACATAATTGTCTAAAAGGCATGCTTTTTATGCGATTTTATCAGAACATGTGGGTCCACGGAAATTTATAATTCGGTACCTATCTGGAGATATGCGAAGAGGCTCTGCGTGGGTACTCGGCTCCACGGAAATTAATGATTAAAAAGAATCTGTTTCGCTAATAAATAAATGGAATGCGATATGCGGAGGACTGTGCCGCTTTGAACGTGAATTGTTATTCTTTTTTAAGTACGGATTTTTTACCTTAGATATCCATATTTTTAGAAAACATGTCGTAGTAAATGTATCTTTTTATTCCCCACCAAAACCTGATGACGTCATCTCAAAATCAAAATGTTGCTGAATAAATCCTTTTTAAAATGTGCAAAATGTTATGACTCTGTCCGGTTTGTTATTGTAATTGCTTATACAGGATGACTAAAAAAAATAATCGAACAATTGACAATAAACATACACAGTACACAGATACATTGTTTATGATCATAATAGTACAAAGTTCTAGCAAAACCAACAACCAAATTCGTGACGTAAATCGCGTGACTTCCAATTCTCCCATGAGTACCTTTTAAATACCCCGAATAAATTTTAGCAATGCTTGATTCTTTTATTTTCACAAGCGATTACATTCATAAAAACCATTCTTTGTCACCGTATTCACTAGTGTTCTCATACGAAAATTCTTAATTTTTAAAAACAAGTAAATGTAATTTTAAATTTTAAGCATAACCTTTGAAAGTACTATACCTAACCACTTGACCTAGTTTAAAGGTGCATATTTAACTGACTAAATTACCAAAACTAAGGACACGATGACTTTAATTTGTCTAAATTTATTCTGAAATGTTTCGTGCAGCCTGAAGATCTACTTGGTATACAAAAAACCGAAACGTGTCGCTTTGATATATTGATAAATCTTTACAGATATTATGTAAGACCAAGTCTGTTTACCTTTTTTCTGTTAAATTATTATTTCCTTGCCTCGATTCACTGGAAAAAATGTAATCTGGTTTTTCATATTAATAACATGGGTCAGATAAAGGGCGTTACGCAATCAATTAAAGTAGCGGTTAAAATATGGTGTCACGCAAGCATCATAACATCATAACACTCTTAATCTAAAAATCTAAGCTTCATACAGAAAAAATATAAGAAAAACATCACGGACGTAAGCTAAGCGTAAGCTAAGCGTAAGCTAAGGAACTATATTGTTATCGAGTCCATTGGACATTTCTCGACATTTCATGACATGACCCCTTGAGTACGAAAAAATAGGTCCTCTGATTCCGTCTGTCTGTCTGTTTGTCTGCCTGTCTGGCTGTCTTACACATATAATCTCCGAAACTACTGGACCGATTGTTGGCAAATTTTATGTGTAGATGGTAAAACGCTGACCAAATTTCAGCTAGTCATCCCCACGAACAATAGGATGACGTGATTTCCAAAATTTACATTAGTGAATATTATTTAAATCTTATAACAAGAGATTCTCCTGTATATACATATATTTTTTATTTCCCGAGCGTAAGCTAAGGAAGTATAGTAATCGAGTCCATCGGACGAATGACCACTTTTATAAATTCTCGACGTTTCATGATCCCTAGAGTACGAAAAAAGTAGTCTCCCGTTTTCGTCTATCTGTCTGTCTATCAAGTGTCTGTATCCATTTTCATTAAACACGTAATCTCCGAAACTGCTGGATCGATTCAGGAATACGGACCGGACGTCGCTTGTTCGATTCCAACCTGGGCTTTTCTTTTTTTTTTTTCTCTCGCATTATCTATGTTTATAACGTCATAACAATTTTTTTATTGATGAAAAAATGAAAATACGCTCCTTTTTATTTTAAAATGTAAAACCTTCTCTGGCCCCAAATATCTTTTTTTAAGAATGTGAAACCTTCTCGGGGGACCCAACTGTCTCTTTTAAAAATGTAAAACCTTCTCGGTGGCCCCAAATATCTTTTTTTAAGCATGTGAAACCTTCTCGGGGGTCCCAATTGTCTTTCTTAAATATGTAAAACCTCCTCGGGGGCGCCAAATGTTCTTTTTACAATGTGAAATTTTCTCGGGGGTCTCAACTGTGTTTTTAAAAAATGTAAAACCTTCTCGGGGGCTCCAAATGTATTTTTTTAAGAATGTGAAACCTTCTCGGGGGTCCCAACTGTCTTTTTAAAAATATAAAACCTTCTCGAGGACGCCAAATGTTTTTTTAAAAATGTAAAACCTTCTCGGGGGTCCCAATTGTGTTTTTTAAAAATGTAAAACCTTCTCGGGGGCCCCAAATGTATTTTTTGAAGAATGTGAAACCTTCTCGGGAGTCCCAACTATCTTGTTTTAAAAATGTAAAACCTTCTCGGGGGCCCCAAATGTATTTTTTTAAGGTGAAATCTTCTCGGGCGCCCCAACTGTCTTTTTAAAAATGTAAAACCTTCTCGAGGGCGCCAAATGTTTTTTTAAGAATGTGAAATCTTCTCGGTGGTCCCAACTGTCCTGTTTTAAAAATGTAAAACCTTCTCGGGGGTCCCAGTTGTGTTTTTTAAAAATGTAAAACCTTGTCGAGGGCTCCAAATGAATTTTTTTAAGAATGTGAAACCTTCTCAGGGGTCCCAACAGTCTTTTTTAAAAATGTAAAACCTTCTCAGGGGCGCCAAATGTTTTTTTTAAGACCATGAAATCTTCTCAGGGGTCCCAACTATCTTGTTTTAAAAATGTAAAACCTTCTCGGGGGCCCCAAATGTATTTTTTTAAGGTGAAACCTTCTCGGGCGCCCCAACTGTCTTTTTAAAAATGTAAAACCTTCTCGAGGGCGCCAAATGTTTTTTTAAGAATGTGAAATCTTCTCGGGGGTCCCAACTGTCCTGTTTTAAAAATGTAAAACCTTCTCGGGGGTCCCAGTTGTGTTTTTTAAAAATGTAAAACCTTGTCGAGGGCTCCAAATGAATTTTTTTAAGAATGTGAAACCTTCTCAGGGGTCCCAACAGTCTTTTTTAAAAATGTAAAACCTTCTCAGGGGCGCCAAATGTTTTTTTAAAAATGTGAAACCTTCTCGTAGGCCCCAAATGTATTTTTTTAAGGTGAAATCTTCTCGGGCGTCTTAACTGTGCTTTTTAAAAATGTAAAACCTTCTCAGGGGCCCCAAATGTATTTTTTTAAGAATGTGAAACCTTCTCGGGGGTCCCAACTGTCTTTTTTAAAAATGTAAAACCTTCTCGGGAGCGCAAATGGTTTTTTTTTTTAAGAATGTGAAACCTTCTCGGGGGTCCCAACTGTCCCATTTTAAAAATGTGAAACCTTCTCGGGGGTCCCAACTGTCGTGTTTTAAAAATGTAAAACCTTCTCGGGGGTCCCAATTGTGTTTTTTAAAAACGTAAAACCTTCTCGGGGGCCCCAACTATCCTTTTTTAAAGATGAAATCTTCTTTTTTCTATTACCCTGTGACTAGTACCTTCTATATTGATTGTTTTTACTCCATAGAGGTTTTCACTAAAAAATAAAATTCCGCAAAATCAAATTTTATAATTTTTCAGAAAAGCAGTATTTGTTGGACTGTACTTCAGGAGCGAGGGAATTACTGTCAAAATAACTTTCGACCAATTTTTTATGAATCCGTGTTGAGTTTTTACCCTAGATATACACACATTTTTCGGTGTGATTAATAATTAATTAAGCACTCTTCTCCTCTGTACTGAAGAAACAAAATCAATTAATAATTTCATTTTCTTTTAACATTTGATGTAACCTCAATAATAGTCGAATTCTTTCGAAATATAAACACAAACGGTTAAAGTTAAGCATATACTGAGAAATTGAGAGTATCTACACTTTTCCTGTTAGTTATCTGCTTTAAATATATTTCATATTATCCACACGTGTGCGGACTGCGCTTCCTTGAAATTTGTCAATAATGTCACTCGTTTTTTCACTTTATAGAAGTTATCACAAAACGAAAATCACAAAATCAAATTTTACAATTTTTATAAGAAGCGAAATTTGTCGGACTATACTTCAGGAGCGAGGGAAGTTCTGTCGAAGCAGACGGTTTTAAAATTTAATTCCAATATTTTATAATTTACGAAATTAATCAATAATTTAGTATAAATTGTTGATTTTATCTTTCCCAACTGACATGAACCTAACATTTTGTCGGTGCCCAAAACAATAGCGTGAATTGATGGTTGCGTGTTAAATGCCATTCCGTAATTAATAGTGATCCTAAAATCGTCTCTAAATCTATTAACATACATAAAGGTGCAGTAATAGTCTCTCACTGATAAATTAGGACGTAGATTGAGTCATTAAATTTCTGTTCAATAAAATTCTGTGACGTTTATACAGTAAGTAATTAATTAAACAAAACGGTAATATTAGTTTTTTTGTGAACGTCCTCTTCAAATGCAAAGTCCTCCATAAGAAAACATGCAATAGCCCAGACGGGTCCGTACAAACCGTTTAGTTTAAAAAGGTGTTTACTTCGCATGACGACTCCTGAGGGTGCTAATTAGAAATTTCTTTCGCGCTTAAACTGAATTTAAACCAGCTTTTTACAAAAATACAACTTCTTCTTGTTCCAGAATTGCAAACCGAAGACCGACTCGAATACACCTTCTTCCCTAACGCTTCTGGCCTGCTCCAATTCCGAGTGCGTGCGCCTAACGATGCCCACGTCGCCCTCAGCCCTTCGGCCTCCGAAGCCACCCCTATGTACGAAATATTCATCGGCGGCTGGGGCAACTCGAAATCCGTAATCCGCAAGAACCGTACCAAACCCGAGGTCGCCGAAGCCAACACCCCCGGATACCTCAACGGCGACGAGTTCCGCGGTTTCTGGATCCGCTGGGAGAACGGCAACATCAGCGTCGGTCACGAAGGTAACGCCACCCCCTTCCTGGAGTGGACCGACTTCGAACAAGTGCCTATCGAGTATATTGGGGTGTGCACGGGCTGGGGTGCCAACGGGTCCTGGATCATCGAGGAGGCCAGAGGCGGTGGAGTCCCCCACCCCCAGGCGGCGCCTCTGATTGGAGCCCGCAGCAACTTCGCCGGCCAGTGCTGGGTGCCGGCCAGAAACGGAGAAGTTCCTCCCAGGGCCTTCGCTGGAGGCGAAGACAATGGAGAGGCGGTTTACGTGGTCAGAGCCAACTTCAACGGTGCTTTGATTCCCGGAAAGTTGGTGCCTAGCCATGGAACGTGTTACGTCCCATGGGGTGGGCAAGAAAATCCCGTCCCTGAGTACGAGGTGTTATGCGACTTCCCCGGAAACTGGATTGCTTGCAGTGGAGGGAACATTCCGCCGAACGCGATTACTGCTGGTCAGAGCGAAGACGGAGAAGCTTTGTACGTTGGTAGGGTGGTCCATGATGGGGCTCTTACGGTCGGAAAGGTCCAGCCTTCCCACGGGGTGGTTTATATTGCATACGGCGGCAACGAATTGGGATTCCAGGATTATGAGATTTTGGTACAATAAAGAACTGATGGCTATATTTTATTCGCTTTCATATGTTGCTGCCTAGGAATTCAATCCAGCCTAATCAAATATACGTTTAGACGATGCTAGACTGCACTGTTGTGGCTTCTAGGTGCCTTATAGTGTGTACCTAAATGAAGTGTATTATTTTTATATAATGGAAGCGGTAATATTAAATCGTCTCGATTATTATTGTTAAATTAGCAACGTTTTGACATAGTGGCTAACTGAATTGGTACCACTCTACCAGTGTTTATTTTATAAGTCAATAATGATCATGTAATTAATAATGAAATAAAATTTTTATTTATCGATTATTATTTTACTTTTATGAATGCTGATTCCAATTCCCCTTGTCTGTATACATTGACAAAATACCAGGTGACTATTAATCACTGAAGTAAATTTTTGTATTGGCAATACTCAATTATTGGCAACAATGTTACCATGTCAGTTCACAACTGTCAAAATTTCAATTTAACAATGCTATCATAAAATTTTAAATATGTTGCCAACGTGACAAAAAAATTGTTATTTTTTTTACATATGTGGTCCGCTTTTCTCAAATCACACCAACATGAACTGCGCTTACTAAGAATAATAAATATGCAAAAAGTGATTATCATGTGATTCTTTAAAATTTGGCAGTTCGACAAAAGGCATATGTTTTTCACATAAGTTTTTTATTGATACCAATAGATGCAAATATAAAAGAAGGCCAAGTAACCTAGAAAGTTAAGCACAATAAAATTGATGATATTCAGATCGGAATAAAAACATAGAATAAGTATAAAACCATTTGTATTAAAGGTAAGGTAATAATAATTTATGTCAAAAATGTCGGAATGGTGGGGCTCTTGTCAGGCTCGCACCGCCACGACCAACATAAAATCTTTTAAAATGAAATCCGAAGGTTATAGGCTTACAATATCAAAAACTTTTAAAACAAGCTAATGCCATTTTGTGTGAGAAAAAAGCGAAAATATAATGTTGATCGGTTAGGTTATTTAGTTATCGGAATTCCGACCGCTTACCGAAGACATGAGGTATTTAATTAAGATAAGTGAACCAATAACAATAAGTAAACACGCAAGAGTGTTTACTGTCACAGAAGAAAATAATATTAGTTATGTCAACTTGCTTAAGATTCTTTTTGACTTCACCTTAGGCATGCTCACCGTCAACCCTTTCTCTGGGATATCGACAGGGTAAATTTTGTATCTAACCTGTTGGCATAAATATTCCCGTAAAATTAGTAATTTATTTTATTTGTCAAACATCGAAATATACAAAGGGCACTGCTTTCGGCGATCTTCAGTATCGTTACTAACTGATATTAAAACTGATATGTAAATATTAACAAGATGTATTGTATGTATGTAATTTTGAGTCAAAATGAGAGAGGAAAAGAAGCAAATAACACTAAAATCGCTAAGACAGATAACAATCTAAGTTTTTGAAGTTATTCGACTCTACTTTCACAGAAGGATGAACCAAGTCTGCAGTAATATAACACCTGTAAGAGATAGTTGGAATTGTAGCTAGCGTTGTTTCTTGTGATTTTTTTACTTCCCGAGTGCAAGGTAAAGAAATATTAAAATAACGTTTCATAACCCCTAGATTACGAAAACATAGGTCATCGTCTCCGTTTGTCTGTCTGTGTCAATTTTTAGTAAACAGATAATCTCCGAAACTAGTACAACGATCGTTGTCAAATTTTATAAGTACTTTCGGAATATCGTGTAGATGGTAAAATGCTAACCAAAATGTGTCTAATCATCCCCTTTCAACAATACAATGACGTCGCTCAAAATGTTGCATAGTAAATGTGGTTTAAATTTTATAAAATAACATTCTCCTACACTGGTGGTTTATGAACCCATCTTGATTTTTTTATGTGGCTGCAGTTGGTTGGAGATTCAGATTTTTAGTAGACCAGTTAAGCAGCAAACACTTTATTGTGGAAATAAACACATCGTAATGAAAAACATAATTCACTTCGTTCGATTCATAAACATCGAAAAGGTTTCAAAAAGTCAAACTAAATCCAAATCCGAAACTATCTTCACCGCAGTTTTTTAATTCCCGGACATCAGCTAAGAAAGTATTGTGATAGGGTCCATTCAACGAATGGCTACTTTCATATTTTCTGGTGGTTTTTTAATCTCTAGCGTACGAAATAATAGTTCCTCCGTTTCGTCTGTCTATCGGACCGATTGCCGTCAACTTTTATATGTGATATCACTGATATCTTATTTACCGGGTGATTAAAAAATTACACACCAACTCAGTGATACATTATTAAGTTGACAAGTCTAAGTTCCAGAAAAATCATTAAAAAATTCCTTACGTCAGTTTGACCTTCACTTACAAAAACAGAATATCGATTTAGATAGATAAATTAGTCAAAAATTAGCCACTATTGATAAATTCTGAAGAATTTTTGTGTTTTTTATAGTGTTATAAATTGAAAAAAAAAATAAAGAGCTGATACTGTTACGAAATGAACCTATACGCCATCCCGGTACGACGCCTATGCGTTCTAGTTCAAGATTATAAGATTCATTGTCGGTGACGGCGGCCGGAGAAGAGCCTGGAAGCGGATGTCGCGACGGGTGTTCGAGAAGTCAAATACATTCCAGTCGAGTCGGAATTATTCTGTACATAATCGCTGTATAGTTGAGTTTAACCCACGCCGATTATAATACTCGTTCAACGTAACAATGCTTTAAAAATTATTTTGAATAATGAAAGTCGATCAATTCCATGCACCCAACACCAAGTAGTGAATTAAAATATAGTTAATAATATCTAAAATAAAAATTAAACTAGAACGTCTATATCTTCAAAATATATTTTTTTGCCCAAGAATTTTTTAAATTATTTTCTGTGTACTCAGTACGCAATCCTTAACAACGTACATACCAGTGGCGGCTCGTCAGATGAGGCAAGTGAAGCGGCGCCTCACAGCATATATCTTAAGAACAGATTGACTTAATTTATAATTAAAAAAGAGTTTTCAATGCATTTTTAGTTACAAAAATATGTTGAAATGGGAAATATGTACATGATTTTTTATTTTTTACGCTTCCTGCTGACATTTTTCGTTGAATACCGTGCGATTTATGCCCCGAGTTCTTTAACTGAAGCGGCCAGGACGTCGGTTCATTTGAACCAGCGAAGCCCAATCACAGACACGGATTTCCATGGCTCAGCTCCTATACTCCTATACATGCGTTCGCTCGGAACTGAGGCGATATCTTCGGTGCTTCTCGGCCAATTTCGGCGTACTCTTTAAACCATTTTTCCATTTATTTTACAGAACGGTAGGGTTGCGGGGTGCATGGGTAATTAGCATGAACGTGAATAAAAACCCACGTGTTGGTGTTTTGTGTTATTGTCTCTTTCATAGGTACAGGTGAGTGAAAAATGAATCCCGAGTACGATGTCGTCATGTTGCTTCTTGAAACGCCGTTTTCACGGCGAACCGAGCTAGAACGTCGGTAAATTTTGCTAAATATCGAGCAGTCAAAACCGTTAATTCATTTAACTTCCATTGATAAGCGACAGAATCGTCAGTACTCCAAGTCTTTTAAATCAACTTGGTACCTACGAAACATATAAATGGCTCTGCCGTAATATTTACACAACATCCGGGGATATAACGATTTAAAGAATTTCATCCGAAGTGCAAAGTTACATGAAAGTTTCAAAGTACACATTAAAAATTTCATGGGCTTAAAACGTTTAGAAAAGAACACAATAGTAATTTACACAACTAGTTCGGGATAGCCTGCTTCCCGCATGAACGCTTGTTTGCGGCACGACCGAAGGGAGTGCCGCATTTGCGTGAATGCGGGAAGCAGGCTCACGAACGTGTTGTGTACAATATTTTTTGCAACGAATAAACCTTTAAACTGAAGAAATTAACTGTGAGTTATTTATAAACAATGGCGCCGCCAACACATCACAATGTTGACACTACGCGAGTATTTTAAGGTTACCATGGCAACGGGAAGTTAAAATGCACGTGTGCGGGAAGTTCGAACTCCCGCACCCTGGTGAATGCACGAAAGCCATCAAAAAAGATCATGAGTGCAAAAAAACTATTCCCGAATCCCTCCAAGAAAGTGCTACTTTCAACAAAATTTTGACTTGTAAAAACATTGTTGATTCAATGTGTTATGGGTGTTATTATTATTATTATTATTATTATTAGGACCTACCACTGACCCGGGAATGACCGGTATTCAGGCAAGACTTCTATCATTACTAACTAGTAAGACCAAGTAATATTACTATTATTGTCAAACTTCTATCATCGCCTCACCACATCAGACAGTCACGAGCCGCCACTGGTACATACAGCACTACGCACTAAAATTTTTGAATCGGTCTGTATAAGGTGTCATTTAAAGAAAAGTTGGATGTCGTAAACAAATGCAAAAAAATTATAAGACGTCAAAACAGTTTCATAGGATGCCAAAAAATACATAGCGCGTCGTTTAATCTCTGACACCGTTATTGGTTTTATCTGTATAATATTGTTTAATGCAAACAAGCGAAATTTATTGAACTATTCAACACGGGCTAGGAAGTCCTGTCGAAATAATTTTCGACCATTTTTACTTTGTAATCGAGTCCATCGGACGAATGGTCACTTTTATATTTTCTCGACGTTTCATGACCCCTGTGACTAGAATTATCCATTCTGATGACATCATCAGAAATTTTTTATTGGTCTTTATACAATAATGATAAAATAAGAATTATAATATTCAGAACATTTTGTTCGATTGTGGTTTAATTAATAATCTTTGTCCTGTTTTGAAAAGATAAGCTCATTCAAATCAAACTAATTTCTAGGTGACATTATTTCTATGCTGAAGGACACGAGGTGTTATTTATGCCTTTGGTTTTTACTTTATAGCGGTTATCACAAAACTAAAATCGTAAAATCAAATTTTATAATTTTTTTAAAGAGTTGTATTTGTCGTATTATACTTATGGCCTTCGACCAATCTTTTACTGATCGAATTGAGAACCTTATTTTCTAGAAAATGTAAGAATTCCGAACATTTTGTTCCATTGTGGGTTTATTAATAATTTTAGTCTTCTGTTTTGAGGACACAACTCATTCAAATTAAACAAATTTCTAGGTTACATTTTTTTTAGATCTCCTTATACAGGGTGATTCAAAAAAATTAATGAATCACTCAATTTATTTTACTGAATAAATCAAGAATTGCAAAACCGGATACTTTGAAATCTTGCAGACGTGTTAAAGCACGGTAAATTATTAATCAAAATATATCTGTTTATTCCCCCCAAAAATTTGATGACGTCGTCTCAAAATTTTGCTGAATAAATTCTACCCAAAATGTGCAAAATATGATGAATTTTTACTTGTGATTTATCATTGCATTCATATTTTTTAGATTGCGTAAACAGGTGGCTCAAAACATTTAATGAATGAGACGATTTATGTTATTGATTAAATCAGGAAAGGCTCACTCCATTTTCCCAGAAAATTTTGGAATACAATAGTGTTATTTTTAGCTCTAATTTGTATTGCCAAAAAGCATAAAAATAATACCTATGCAAGAATCTTCCACCAAATAATTTAAAATTTTTGTTAAAATACACGTTGACTTGACATTTTTCACACAGAACTTACAAGTGGAACGCTAACATCTTCTCCTTTCTTATTATCGTGTCCACTGGTTCATGACCCTTCTATCAATTCAATTAGTGGAAGAACGTCAACAGGCTTTTTATTTTTATTTATTTGTTTTTGTTGAGAACTTCTTAAATTCCATAACTTAGATGTCTTCTTTTTATGGTAATTCTTTAAAAACATTGGCAGATTTCAATTCGAACCCTTCATCAAGCAAACTCTTCTACATAAAATTGTTATTACATCACTTAAGCGATAGAATATTTAAAAACCGTTTTTTAGACTTTACCTAGATTTTATGTCCACCATTTATAATATGTCTGTTATAGTTACACAAGTCTAGCCCGTCCGTATGCTCATTATATAGAATTGTGGACCACTAACTTCCTTGTACTCCTTTGGTTTGCTATCAAATCTTCTCACGGTAATTTGTGGTTATAACCCACAAAATGTTGACATTAGATTACTAATTTTATCGTCTTTCCGGGCTGAAATAGATATTTTAAAGTTGTCAGTAGTAGCAAGAAATTCACAAGATGTTTCAGGTTGTTTCTAGAAGATCCACATTTTCCAGAAATGTCCTATCAAAATAATTTAGATCTCTTTTTCCTAAAACAATGTCTTTTTCTGAAGACTGAAAAATTCAGAATTCGCAGATGTCACCCGTCATTATCATCATCGTTATCTTCCAAATCACGCCTGCTTTGTACAGGATTCACAAACTTCTGTAGCGGCACAATAATAAGTAGTAGTAAGCGAAGAAAGATAAGTGGCCTCGTGGTCTAGTGGTCAGGATACTTGCCCGGCAAGCGGGGGACGTGGGATTCGATTCCCAACGAGGCATTTTTCTTCGCTTACCTACACTTCTGTGGAAGTTCTTCGTCAGTTAATGGCCTATTTCTTTTAAAGTTTCTAAACTAACTGGATCACATAAAAACATTGGTAAGAAAAGAAATATTATCTAAATTCATAATTTATCAGATATGATTGAAATGATAACATAAGGATATAGTACATACATAAAGACGTCTGAACTTTTACAGGCACTATACACTTCAACCAATCGGAGAAACTTAAGTAAAAATAGCACTTGGTGTTCCGAAAATCACCAATCAAAAATAAAACTTTGATTCAATACTTGTTGTCTTTAAAAACTGCTTTTTAAATACATTACTCCTATTACTTATTAGATATGTTACAGTATACACCTAAGCGTTTTAACCTTCCTACGTATAAATCAAACCTGTAAAGTAAGTAAAAAATTCTTCTTCTGGTAAATCTTCTAACATTCGTTAAGGTAATGGTGGTGTTTGAATTCATTTATACTACATGATCGAAAAAAGCCCTTTAGTAGCCCATGAAATTTATTTTCAAAATATTAATGTTGGCATTGCAACTGTTTGACAGTTTATTTGACTTGTTTGGCCGTAATCGCTTACTAGAGAATTTTTTATTGTGGTTTAATAGAAAAAACTATATTAAATCCTACATTTTGTGGCGTTAAAAATTCTCTCATGTAAAACCTAAATGACCTGATTTTCATTTCCGATTGTCCTAGTTCTTATAAGATTAAATTCATTTCAACACACTCACTGTGAACTACAAAATTTTAATCGTCTTGCATCATTAATTCAAGTGCAACGGGGAAGAACTAGGATATGCATATTGTGCAAAAACCGGATGGTTAAAAATTAGGATGTGGATAACTAGTGGAACTGACGCAAAAGTATTTAAAATTATATCGTACTGATATTCATATAATTTTCTACACGAGGTATAATGTCATGGTTAATGACGATACCATAAATTCCACTGTAGAAAATCACCACTCTTTGAATATCAAATTTGGTGGAGGCGCCGGAAAAATTTTCTTTTCAATTTTTGTCAAGTTCTACAACATATAATTCTAAAACATCTACTTTAAATGCAAACAAAACAACAATACTCACGTGACAAATAATAAAGATAATTTACGTTTAAACACAGCAATTATTTCGCAACAATTCTTATCAATAATTCTGTTCGAAAAATAAATAATTATTTTTTATAAACCGCACCAAAACGATAAACCCACGAAGCGACGTGACTGTTAACTTATCACGTCTTGTTTATTTTCATTTGCGGTTAATATTTCAGGAAATTTCTTATTGGGACAGGAAATGAGCAATTAATTTATCTGAAACTGCTCCTGTTATAATATTTTTACGGGAGACACATTCATAAAAGCTCATTCCAGTTTTGGTTGTTTAGTGAAACGGTTTATTAATAGTCGTTACGGTAAATTAATTTTGAAATCTAAATTATTTGACTTACTAAATTTTTTCGGTCCAGATGGGCGAGAATCTGCAAGTCGAGTTGGTGTACTTCTACCCCAAAGAAAACTCCAAACCCCATAAAACTGACAAATTTGAATTAATTTACGACGAGGAAAATCCGGTTCCTATTTTGCGTCGAGGATTAAAATTCACCGTCGCTATTCGCTTCAAAAATGATCGATTTGTCAATCTCGAAAAAGATCAAATACGATTATTCTTCAATTTTGGTAAGAGGATTTTGTTTTTTGTCGGTTTTTTGTGATTATATTTTAGGTCCGACACCGAATCCCATTAAGGGAACACGTGCCGTGATTAAACTTAATACCACTCGAAAAAGAATTGAAGGAGAAAATTTTTGGGGTGCCAATATTCTAGATTCGTCGTCTGATTTAATTCTGGAGGTAATTGCAACAATCTCCAGAACTAATACACTTACAGACGTTTTTAAACCGAATTTAATATTTAGGTATATTCACCAACTTCAACACCTGTTGGTGTGTGGAAACTCGAAGTTGAGACCAGTTTAGTCAATTCTACTCTACCACCCTCTGTCTATAAGCACGAAAATGACTTTTATATTCTGTTCAACCCATGGAATTGCCGTAAGTACTACACTAGTGTGCATATTATCAACAGGTCATATATTTTTGGCCATAGATGATCTCGTATACATGCCTGATGAAAGACTTCTTGACGAATACATTCTTACCGATGTTGGGAAAATCTGGGTTGGTCCTTATGGTTCGAGCAGAGGGCGTGAGTGGGTTTATGGGCAGTTTGACGCTTGTGTTTTACCTGCTGCTATGCTGATGTTTGAAAAATCCGACTTAGTACCAGCAAGCCGTGGAGATCCTATCAAAGTATGTCGAACCATATCCAAACTGGTGAACAGTAACGACGAAGATGGCGTTTTGGTGGGTCGTTGGGATGGTCAGTACGAAGATGGGACGGCCCCATCAGCATGGACTGGATCCGTACAAATCTTACAAGAGTATTTGGACACCCAATTCTCTGTGAGTTATGGGCAATGTTGGGTCTTTTCTGGAGTTGTCAGCACCAGTAAGTACCACTTTAAAACTTTTAGTTAGGTACTTATCTACTTATGTATGTCTAAATTGTAGTTTGTCGTGCTTTGGGTATCCCATCGCGAGTTATCTCCAATTTGGTGTCAGCTCACGATGCTAATGCGTCTCTTACGGTTGACAAATACTACAACGTGAACAATGAGGAGATGGACTTTGATCCGAATAACCCAATGGGTGAAGATTCCATTTGGAATTTCCATGTTTGGAATGACGTATGGATGGCACGACCCGATTTGCCTCAAGGCTACGGTGGGTGGCAAGCCGTTGATTCCACTCCTCAAGAAACTTCAGACGGGTACTACCAGTGTGGTCCTTCTTCTCTAGAAGCCATCAAGAAAGGTCAAGTTGGATTCAGCTATGACGTTGCCTTCATGGTTGCATCAGTCAATGCTGATGTAATGCGTTGGAAAGAAGATAGTACCCGTGAGTTGGGTTTTGCTCGAATTTATACCAACAAATACCAGTAAGTGTCCATGGTCACAAAAATTTTTCACGATAATGATACGATTTTAGCATTGGACGTACTCTTTTGACCAAACAACCTTTCATTTTTGATCCTAACGGAGACCAAGATCGAGAGGATGTAACTTTGCAATACAAAGCACCAGAAGGGTCAAAGGCTGAGCGTTTATCTCTGTACAACGCCGTAAGAGGGACTGAGCTTGCCAAAAGGTTGATTGATCTTCAAGATTTTGTATTTTTGTTAACACGAATATCTTTCAGCTTCTTTGCTCTACCAGATCCTGGTTTGGAAGATGTTGAATTCGACTTGGAAGAACTAGAAAGAATCAAAATTGGAGAAGGTTTTTGCGTTGTGGTCCATATCAAAAACAGAAGTGACCAACCACGGACCATAAAAGCACTGCTCTCCGCTGCAAGTGTCTTTTACAATGGAGTGAAAGCACATTTAGTCAAAAAAGAGGATATAGAGACGGTAGTGAAGCCTAAATCCAGTACGTACTAACAACTCAAATATGATTACTTTTCTAATCTTTTTATTTGTGTAAAACAGCGGAAACCATGAGAATGACGGTCAAAGCTGACGAATATCTCGACAAACTTGTCGAATACTGCAACTTGAAGCTATATGCCATTGCTTCGGTTACCGAAACTCGCCAGACCTGGACCGACGAAGATGACTTCGAAGTTCTGAGACCAAAAATTGACATCCGGGTATGTTTCGCAATCGTGAAAAGGTTTCACTGCTAAAGTTTGTGTTGCAGATTCCACCTGAAATTACCGTCGCCAGACCGACAACCATAACTCTGAGATTTGTGAATCCTCTGAAGAAGATTTTGACCAACTGTAAATTTAGTCTGTCTGGTCCTACTTTGATAAGGAACCAAGTTATACGTTACGGTGACGTAAAACCAGGGGGTTTGGTCAAGATGAATACGGACATAACACCTAGATCTGTGGGTGATCAAGTGTTGATTGTAACATTCTCGTCGAAGGAGTTGGTGGACATAAGAGGTTCCGCTAAAGTTGCGGTTGTAGAGCCTGAAGAATAAGAAGTTAACAGATGTTTGAATGCATTTAATCTCATTATACTACGCTTTCGTTATACTTTTACACACATCTTATGCTTTGCAATGTATTTTTATTTTTTTGTAATGTGTTCAATAAAGTAATAATAAACACAAACGATTATTTTTATTGGACGTTATCATTTTGAGGCGCTCAAGAAAGTTTGGTTAGAACATTTTACTACATATCTTCATATCTAATAATTATTATAACTATGATCTCTGGTTGGAACTAGAGATGTTATAAACATTTAACAGTTTTAATTAAATAAGCAGGTAAAATATACTTTTTTGCCAAAATTAACAAGCATTTGTTTATTTAATATAGTTAAACTTTTTAAAAATCTTAAAAAAAAACTAAATTTGCGAGAACTTGTTTGATTTACAGACCAGAGCGCTCTCAGGCCATTGTCGACTCTGAGCGTTCAGAAGCGATTTGGTTGGTTTGGACACTGTTTTACTCGATTTTGGCACGTAACAATTTTTTTGTTTAACGAAGAATTAATTCTTTAATTGTGTTTTATACTAGCAAAACGTCTTAAATTAACAACAATATTATTGAAGTCGTAATAATCCAACAATTAACAATACGATAACGTGAAAAATCGAAGACCTGAAAAATGTAAAATTTAAAAAATCGAAAAATCGCAAAAAAGAAATATCGAAGAACTGAAAATCCAAACATCCAAAAATCGAAAAAATGAAAAATTCAAAAATCTAACACCGAAAAACGAAAAATTGAGAAATCTAAAGTGCTAAATTTAAAAAATCGAAAAATCGGATAATTGCACATCGACACATCGAAGAACTGGAAAATCGAAAAATCAAAAGATGGAGAAATCGACAAGTCGAAAAGTCGAAAAATTGACAAGCCGAAATAGGCCAAAATCGAAAAGTTATAAATTGAAAAACTCATAAATCGAGAAATTGAACAATCAAAATATCGAAACATCCAAATCTCCATAAATCGGGAAATTAAAAAATTGAATAGAAAAGTTTACAAAACTAAAAATAAAAAAATCGAAAATTGAAAAAGTCGAAAACTCGAAAGACTAAGAAATCGAAACATTTGAAAAATTCGAAAAAAAATTTAAAATCTAAGAACTGAAACGAAAAATCGAGAAATTGAAAATTCCAAAATTTTTGAAACTGTAAAATTGAAATAGCAAAAAATTAAAAAAACTAAAATTTAAAAATCGAAAAATAGAAAAATCGATACACCAAAAAATCCAGAAGTCAAAAATCGAAAAACCTAGAAATGGAAAAATGAAAAGATGGAGAAATCGAGAAGTCGAAAAGTCGAAAAATTAAGAAACCGAAATAGACCAAAATGGAAAACTTATAAATCCAGAAATTGAACAATCAAAATATCGAAACATTCAAATCTCGATAAATCGGGAAATAAAAAAATTGAATAATCAAAAAATTTAAAAAATGAAAAAGTAAAATCGAAAATTTGTAAAACCGAAAAATTAAAAAACAGAAAATGAAAAAGTCGAAAACTCGAATGATTATGAACTCGAAACATTTGAAAAATCCGAAAACTTGAAAAATTAAAAAATCTAAGAACCGAAATGAAAAATCGAGAAATCGAAAATTCCCAAATTTTAAAAATTGAAAAATTGAAATATCAAAAAATTAAAAAATCAAAAATTTAAAAATCGAAAAATAAAAAAAAACAACACATCACAAAATCCAGAAGTCAAAAATCGAAAAGCCGAAAAATCAAAATATTGAAAAATCCCAAAACTGACATATCGAAAAACTGAAAAATCACAAAACTGAAATATCCAAAAATTGAGAATCTAAAAAATTGAAAAACTGAGAAATCGAAAAGTCCAAAAAGTGAAGACGAAAAAACGAAACCTTAAAAATATCGAAAAATTAAAAAATCAAAAACCTGAAAAACCGCAAAATTGAAGAATTGAAGAACAGGAAAATCGCAACAGTCGAAAGTCAAGAAATGGGAAAATCAGAACACCGATTAATTGAAAAATCAAAAATTGAGAAAACGTAAAACTGAAACATCGGAAAATTGAAAATTAAAGATAAACTGAAAATCGGAAAAACTGAAAGATCTCAAAACTGAAATATCCCAAAACTGACAAACCAAAAATTCAAAAAAGCGGAGTCTAAAAATCAAAACCTTAATAAATTGAAAAATTGAAGAATTGAAGAAATGAAAAATTGAAAAACTGAGAGTTTATAAAAGTCAAATTTGAAAAATTGCACAAACCAAATATTCAAAAATCGTAAAATTGAAGAGGAGAAAAACCGTAAAAAACGTAAAACTGAAACATCCGAAAATAGAGAAATCGAAAAACTGAAAATCGAGAAATAATTAAAAAATTGAAAAATTGTAAAATCGAAAAAGTGAATAATAAATAATCTGAAAAACCCCAAAACTGAAATTTCGAAAATTGAAAAATGAAAGAAAAACTGAAAAATGGAAAAACTGAAAAATCTCAAAACTGAAAAATTGAAAAATCAAAAAGTCAAAAAAGTGAAATCGAAAAATCAAAACCTTAAAAAATTGAAAAATCAAAAACCTAAAAAATTTAATAATTGAAGAAACGAAAAATCGAAAAACTGAGAGTTTATAAACGTCAAATTTGAAAAATTGCACAAACCAAATACCTATTTAAAAATCGTAAAATTGAAGAGGAGAAAAATCAGAAAAACGGAAAATTGAAACATGGGAAAATTGAGAAATCGATAAATTGACAGTCATGAAATTGAAAAATTGAGAAACTGTAACATCAAAAACTTGAAAAATAAATAAACTGAAAAAGCCTAAAACTGAAATTTCGAAAAATTGAAAAATGGAAGAAAAACTGAAAAATCCCGAAACTGAAACATCCAAAAACTGAGAAATTAAAAAAATGAAAAATTGAAAAATCGAAAAATCAAAAAAGTGAAGTCGAAAAATCGAAACCTTAAAAAATGAGAAATCGAAAAATCAAAAACCTGAAAAATCGAAAAATTGAAGAATTGAAGAACAGGAAAATCGAAACAACCGAAAGTCAAGAAGTAGGAAAATCAAAACATTGATTAATTGAAAAATCGAAAGATTGAGAGTTTATATAAAAGTCAAAAATTGAAAAATCGAAATATTTAAAAATCGTAAAATTGACGAAGTGAAAAGACGTAAATGGAGAAATCGAAAAACTGAAAATCGAGAAATTGAAAAATTGAGAAATTGTAACATCAAAAACTTGAAAAATAAATAAGACTGAAATTTCGAAAAATTGAAAAATGAAAGACAAACTGAAAAATTTCGAAACTGAAACATCCAAAAACTGAGAAATTGAAAAAATGAAAAATTGAGAAATCGAAAAATCAAAAAAGTGAGTCGAAAAATCAACACCTTAAAAAATAGAGAAATTGAAAAATTAAAACTTGAAAAAACGAAAAATTAAAGAATTAAAAAAAAAACAGGAAAATCGAAAGAATCGAAAGTCAAGAAATGGGAAAATCAAAACATCGATTAATTGAAAAATCGAAAGATTGAGAGTTTATATAAAAGTCAAAAATTGAAAAATCGAAATATTTAACAATCGTAAAATTGACGAGGAGAAAAAACGTAAAACAAACATCCGAAAATAGAGAAATCGAGAAATTGAAAAATTGAGAAATTGTAAAATCGAAAAATTGAATAATAAATAATCTGAAAACACCCACAACTGAAATTTCGAAAAATTGAAAAATGAAAGAAAAACTGAAGAATGGAAAAACTGAAAAATCTCAAAACTGAAATATCCCAAAACTGAAAAATTGAGAAATCAAAAAGTCAAAAAAGTGAAATCGAAAAATCAAAACCTTAAAAAATTGAAAAATCAAAAACCTAAAAATTTTAAAATTGAAGAATTGAAGAAACCAAAAATCGAAAAACTTAGAGTTTGTAAACGTCAAATTTGAGAAATTGCACAAACCAAATATTTAAAAATCGTAAAATTGAAGAGGATAAAAATCAGAAAAACGGATAATAATTGAAACATGGGAAAATTGAGAAATCGATAAACTGAAAGTCGTGAAATTGAAAAATTGAGAAATTGTAAAATCGAAAACTTGAAAAATAAATAAACTGAAAAATCCCAAAACTGAAATTTCTAAAAATTGAAAAATGAAATAAAAACTGAGAAATCCCGAAACCGAAACATCCAAAAACTGAGAAATTAAAAAAATGAAAAATTGAGAAATCGAAAAATCAAAAAAGTTAGTCGAAAAATCGAAACCTTAGAAAATAAAGAAATTGAAAAATCAAAAACCTGAAAAAACGAAAAATTAAACAATAGAAAAACAGGAAAATAGAAAGAATAGAAAGTCAAAAAATGGGAAAATCAAAACATCGATTAATTGAAAAATCGAAAAATTGAGAGTTTATATAAAAGTCAAAAATTGAAAAATCGAAATATTTATAAAATCTTAAAATTGGTGAGGAGAAACACTAAAAAAACGTAAAACTGAAACAACGGAAAATTGAGAAATCGAAAAACTGAAAATCGAGAAATTGAAAAATAGAAGAAAAAACAAGAAATGGAAAAGCTGAAAAATTGAAAAATCTCAACGTCGAGGATAAAAATTTAACACGGATTCTTAAACCACAAGTTCAAGACTGCGTTACTTTTTAACATTTAACAGTAAGTTATCTCTTACACGAAAATCATACACAGGAATTTCCTCAAATGGGGTGTATTTTATAAAATATGAAGCGGTAAAGCCATTACTAATTAATAATAATGATAGTTTTGAGTAGGGTTATTGTAAAAACCCCTATGTGAAAGACAAGCATATTTTGTATTAGACGAATATTATAATAAGTAAATATATAAATGTAGATCGCAGAACGAATTTAAGCAGAAACAGCAGATTCTTAAATTGCCCTGACTTGAAAAATGGACCAATAACCTGGAATGTGGAATTTTTAAATAAACACGTATATGCAACCTTTTATACAAATAATTAAGTAGACTCCTACCTTCACGCAAAAACCAATTTTCTAAAAGTTTTCGTTCTGCTACATACACTTTCTGATGATTTTACAGTGGTCCTATTTAAATAATGAGAACTAAAAAATAAAAATTTGTTTTAACATTTCTTTCTTTTGTTTATTACATAACGTAAAACGATATTCGTATAAATGAATTCTCTTGATGCTATTAAAAACCTGGTAATAGTTTTTATTTTCGAATAAACGACGGGCTCTATACGTTTTTTGCTTTTTTCTTGGGGTTTTCTGTTTTAACAAAATACATTTTCGTGGTGGTTATGCAACCAACATTTACCTTCCGTCGAAAACTAATACGGAGCTAAGTTCACACCGGTGTTGTCTGTTGGTAATTCTCACTTAAATGTCAAAGTCAAACTGAATTTACCGTTGATATTTAAAATTGTTTCATTAGTTGTTTGTGTTGTGTGAAATAATCCTGTAAAAAGTGTTAAGTGTTGTGTGAGAATATTGAATTGACTGAATATTTGATTAAGATGGAACCCGAACCAGAAAAGTTGGAGTAAGACTAAACATTTTTTATCACTTTTGTGACAACTGAATTTTTAGGGAACCAGAAAAGCCCATTTCTAAAAGAAGATCTTCGGTAAGAAACACCACATTTTCTGTGTCTACAAAGTGCTAATATATCACGTTTAACGTAATATTTAGAAAGAACTCTGAATCCATAGAATTAGAAGCCACATACTTCATCAATTGAGCATCATTGTTAAATAAGCATTACTGAAAGCTTTTATTTATTAAAAATGATTAAAACATCAAGTAAAGAAGGTTTAATACCAAGAAATGCTCATGATGGCTTTGTTATTATATTGTATTATCAAAAGTTGTAAAAAGGTTTATTAAAACCAAATTTTTCATGAATCCACCGTAAAAAATTCTTTGATATGAGATATGCTGTTTGTAATATTTATTTTTTGTTTCTTTGATGTGCAGTTGGTTCTAAATATTCGCATATTTTCAGTGAATATAATAGTGGGTAAAAGTAATTCTTGCCTCCAAGTATTGTTAATGTCAGTAAATACAACCCACAAAAAAGGTGTAGGAAGTCTTATTATCCCTTCAGGCATTTTTGCCAAATTTAAAATATAAACAGAAACGTATACGTTGCATTTAGATGTTACTACGTCACAACAAATGTTCAGTTATGCACCACTTTAATAAAAAATATTTCACATTAAAAAAACTCGTAACGTTTGTGACATAAACGACTACATAGTAAATTAAAATTCATCGTTTTGAGAAATCTGATTGCGTCGTCTTATTTTAAATTTTGTAGAAAAATTCACCTAAAAATGCGAGATTAATTACCCTTCAATAATACTTTGTTAGCATCAAGTGTGAAAAGTTTGATGTTTATTTTATCCATTGGCCCCAGAAGTTCTAAACTTTTTTTATTTAGGGCAAAGTAAATCATTTGCACAAAAATTCTATGTCATTTTAGTAATCAGGAGGTAGTTTTGCGCAGTTTCAAAAAAAATGTAAAAAGCCCCTCCAGGCAATGTAAAGTTTCACCAAAATTCCTACAACACCCTGCTTTCAGATATTAAAAATAGCCAAAGTGAGAAACCCGTTTGAGGAAATCGAAACAACGGAAACCTACACCGACTTCAACAGCACCAAACCAGTCCGTAGAGTCAGTTTCGCGAGCAGCAATTTCATAAAGTTTGTACTAAAACTAACTTAATTTTGATCACTGAAACTAAACAGTTCGGTTTTTTAAAGGCCATTCGTGGCAGATCCCGAAAAAAACACAATATGGGATACCACGTACGAAGAAGACGTAAATCACACGAACTCGACTCAGTCTTCGCAAGACCACAACACACACAGCTCCACGAAACTGGGATCAACATTCCACGAGTCCGGACCATCACTACATAATATCACGATGTTATCCGAACAAGATATGGAATATACCAACGTATTGTTACTTGCAGATAAGGAAAATATTGCACATTACCCCCCACAAAAGAAATTCAGTCTGGTTGACTATGCCAAAAAATTGTCGACAAATTCTAAAGACGTCGTACTTGATAAAACGACAGTTGTGTCAAAGAGTATGGAATTAACATGTCTTGCGCTTGATAAAACTAGCGAAAGCGTATATGATCGTCAAATTGGATTCAGCGAAGTTTCTTTGCACAGTGATGTGAAGGGAGAAAATTCACGCATAAACGAGATGGAATTTACTTGTCGAATTCCACTAAACAATTCAATAAAAACTGATGAAATCCCAAAAGGTGGCAAAAGATTGTCAACAAAGTGTGATAAAACAACAGTTGAATCAAAGAGTATGGAATTAACGTGTCATACTCTCAATGAAAATTCACGCATAAACGAGATGGAATTTACTTGTCAAATTCCTCTAAACAGTTTAGTAAAAACGGAAGAAATCTCAAAAGGTGCCAAAAAATTGTCAACAAAGTGCGATGATGTTGTAGTTGATAAAATTTATGAAAACGAATATGATTGTGAGACTGGATTTGGAGAAATTTCTTTGGCTAGTGATGTGGTAAAGGCAGAAAATACAGATAACATGGAATTTACTTGTCACCACCCTCTGAACAGTTTAGAAAAAACCAATAACACAGTGACAAATAGAAGCCAAATTTCAAGAGGTAATCTCACAATGGACTTCACGTGTCTTTCTGGTCTCCCTTCAACACAAATAAATGCTATGGAATTTACTTGCCAGACTCAACCAAATCTAGAGATTACTCGAGTTTCAGAAAGTAATTTAACAAAAACTGCCCAAACTATGGAACTCACTTGTCAAAGCACTGAAGCCCATTCCACAAAAATAGGTGATGCTACTGAATTTTGTCAGCCCCAGCAAAACGATTGCACGAAAAATGTTACTGGAGAATTAGAATATCAGGTTCAAAATAAGTCATTAAGAAACCACTCCATCAGATTAGATTCCATAGACGTGAATATGCCAATAAGTTCAGCAGATGTTGACACCGATCTGTGTTGGGACGACGATAATCCACATAGTTGTCCAAAAAGACCCAAATTTGACTTTGCGGACATTTCTCAAAACATTTCTATCAATTCAAAAGAAGCAGCGGCTATCGCTCAAATGTCGATCGGTAATTTTATGAAAAGAGACGACTCTTCTTACTCGGTTTCTCTTCAATGTTTAGTTAATGAGAACACCAAGACTGGTATTAAAACCAAATCGTTCGAGAAAAATGAAACTCTTCGGGAAAAATCTTGCCTAGCAGTGGATGATAATGAATTAATACCAGGAAGTATTAAAAACACTTCTAAAAATCTTGAATTAACCGACATTGCTGAAAATGTTGTCTTACCGAATAAATCAATGGAAACTTCTCGTCAAAATATTTCGCATTGTGGCAATAAACTCTATAAGAAAAGGAGTTCTGAAATGTTGATATGCTTTTCGCCGGTTGCTCAAACTACAGTCGATCAAAATCTTATTTTAAAAGACAGTTCTAATGGTTCATTGGCAGTTAACGAAATTTTTGTGGGCAAAAAAGACAACGAATGTGAACGCAGTTGTCAGATACCAACAGATCAAGTGAAGGAATCATCAGGTTTCAATAACACGTCTAAACTGCGTAACTCCAACACAAAAGAAGAGAAATCTTGTTCTGCAATGGAAATTGATGAGAGTTTTCTAGACGTTGAAAACCAACCACCAGTTGGTGTTTTAAACACTCCTTGTCAGAATGCAGGTGATAACAGTATAAGAAAGCCTTTGATTGATGTTGAAGTCAAAAGTATTCCTCAAAACCATTCTCTAGTGGCGAGCGAACCCGTGAACGTCTCTCAAATATCAGATGGTAATTTGACAACACAAAACAAAAGCTACTCTATTTGTCAAGATCTATTGAATATTCCCGTTCATAATGACACCACAGTTCCGTTAGGCGATAATGTGACAAAACTAAATGAAATCTACCCAGCTTGTCAAAATCTGTCAAATATTGATAATAACACCAGATTTGATGGTAAAAATGACAAGTCTGCGTTATCGATACCTATTCCTTCAGATGGTGATTTGACAAAACTAAATGGCAACTGTTCTTTTCGTCAAGATTCAGCAAATATTTTGGTTGGTGATAACACCACATTTGATAATAAATCTACATTATGGCCACCTATTCCTTCTCAGTCAATGACATTTCAGAAAAATGTAACCCTAGAAGAAAAATCTTGCTCCATGATGAAAGTAGATCAAACTTATGTAAATAAAAGTGTCATGGAAACAACAGCGGCAATTTTAAATCCTGAGCTGATGGCCACCAAGTTTGATAATAAAAATGATAACTCTACATTACCGTTTCATATTCCTTCTCAGTCAATGACAGTTCAGAAAAATGTAGCTGTAGAAGAAAAATCCTACTCCATGATGGAAGTGGATCAAACTTATGTAAATAGAAGTGTCATGGAAACAAAAGTGGGAATTTTAACTCCATTTGATAATAAAAATGATAACTCTACATTACCGCTTCATATTTCTTCTCAGTCAATGACAGTTCAGAAAAATGTAGCTGTAGAAGAAAAATCCTACTCCATGATGGAAGTGGATCAAACTTATGGAAATAAAAGTATCATGGAGACAAAAGCGACCATTTTAAATCCTAATTTGATTACAGATGACACCAGATTTGATAATAAAAATGATAACTCTACATTATCGCTACATATTCCTTCTGCAAATAAATCTCAGTCAATGACAGTTCAGAAAAATGTAAATGTAGAAGAAAAATCTTGCTCCATGATGAAAGTAGATCAAACTTTCGTAAATCAAAGTGTCATGGAAACAACAGCGGCAATTTTAAATGCTCATTCGATTCTAAATTACACCAGATTTGATAATAGAGACGATAACTCTACATTATCGCTACATATTCCTTCTGCTAATAAATCTCATTCAATGACAGTTCCGAAAAATGTCGAAGAAAAATCTTGCCCTACGATAAAAATAGATCAAACTTATGTAAAAGTGGAAATTTTAAATGCTTCTAATTATAGCGACCAACATCTGAATGTAAATAGAAACCTTGACAACAAGTTGGTAAAATCTCCCGAACAAAAATTACAACACGACCAATCGAACCTAGAATTAACCTCCACTATTCCGGTAATCAAAACACAACTGCCCAACTTGTCGACTTTAAAACACGAACTAAGCGCTTTGCGAACGCCAGAGCAGTCATTCCACCTAAATTTGACTATGAGTTCTGGTATTGACGACACTCAACAACTGCTTCAGTGCACTTATTCTAAAAGTCAACCGGTATCTTTCGCGACGCCTAAGTTCGAGGACAAAGACTCCAGTGGTTTCACCTGCAATTTGGAAAACACAGGACACATTAGTCGTCCAACTTTGACCAACATCAGCGAGTATGATTTAGAAGAAAACCTAGAAATAGGGAGGCGTGAATATAAGGAATCGCCGGACATTTCCATATTTGACATTCCAAGAAACAGCAAACTGAACAACATTAATGACACTTACGTCTTACAACATAAGAAAAAATCGGATGAATCGACACTTCAAACCAGTTATTGCGACGAAGACAACAGTGTGGGGATTATTGCAGATGATTGTCTACAAACGTTAGGTAGTGAAGACCAGTTGATTACGGACGACGCAATAGAAGAACTTAACAAAATGGCTGACACTTCTCCAACGATAAAAAAAGTGGAGCTAAAGAAAGTCAAGCTTGAAATAAGAAGAGTTAGTGAGTTGTCAGATTTGATGGAACGGATTCAAAGACAGCGAGCCGAAATAAAAAATTATCTGGAAAATTTCAAGTTCAGGCCTTTCCGTATCCCCGAAGAACTCACGATTTGGGAGTGCAATAAATCGCGCAATAATTCTGATCTCTTGATGGAAAGTAGTGACGAAAATTGCGACAGTTGTCCCACGATGGAAGACAGGATCAGAGAGCATGAAAAAAGGTAGTATCTTGTACTACCTACCTTATGGTTTAATTAAATTATATTTGCAGCTGTCAAAAGTGCTGGAAACTGGAGATGGTAGACGACGATTTTTATCACTTTTCTACGCTATTTGGAACTTTGGTGTTTGTGGTACGACTGGATGACGAGTCTGGTAAAGTTATCAATGTCCAAACAACAAGCAAACTGAAAGGTTAGTTGAAACGAAGCTGTAACACTTTGACAGTAATTGACTTTATAGAAACCGCTAAACCGTTCGCGCAATACGTCATGAAGTTGTTTTTGGACAGATTTGACACGCAAGTCGTGAAGTCTGCCATTGGGAATCGTTTTGACATGTTGTCACTGTTGGATTACGTTAAAATGACAATGTTACGACTTCATCGCTTCCAAAGGGAATTCATGTTGTGTCATGTGTTAAAAATGGAGGAAGAATTTGTGTAAGTGTTTATTTTTACCATTTAACTTGGTTTGACTGTTTGTTGTAGGGCTAAATTTACGATATGCAGCGTACCCTTAGGTATACATTGCGATGTCTTGGTAGATGTCGCCGACGTAGAAAACTTAAACTTTGAGAAAGACTTAAGAATTGTATCTCATATTGGAGTCGTCAACCAAAACGAAGTTATAAATTTAGCAAAAAAGTCTCCCAAAGGCTTAGATTTTTTCCAAGGTTTTGCTAAAAGCATAGAGGAATATTTTAATCACAAAGAAAAAAAAAGATTGGAGAAATGAGTTCTTAGTTCGAATGTTATTCAGATTCGTCACAAAGTGCAAATTAGGTTTTAAAAAAATTCTTTTATATATATCGTACGTTTATAATAAATGCTTTTCTTGTACAATTTGATTTTTACATTTACGGCTTAAATCGTGCTAAATATCGATAGTAACAAAAAGCAATAGATTACTTATATTATGCCTTATTTTTTTAATATACGTAGTCATCTGTTTTAAATTTTTTTTCTAAAAGATGACCACGTATATTAAGAAAAAAAGGCAAAATATAAGCCCCACCCACCCGCCCAATCTCAGTTGTGATGATTTTTTTATTCGTCGTGAACCAAGAGGGCGGAGTTTAATTGCAAAATCCTTATTCCTCGACAAGAAATTACCAGGTAAGATATGTTTTTGAGTATCATGTATCAAAGAATACAATATGTTGTAAGGATCCAATTCGAATTTTTAAATTTCAAATGAATTTCGCGCGCACAAGAAACGGTTGGTAAGAAGAAGAGGTTGGCAACCAACCACCCCAAAGAAACAGACGTGCGCAAAGTGAGGGTGGTATTGTCTTGAAAAATGGGTCACTTCGCTTTGACCGCTTCGAACAAACGGTCGACTTCCTTCGAGCGCTTCGAGCAACAGGTTGTATTTTTGATTGTGAATTATTCTGTGCCTTTTGCTGTTGTTTTTGCGTTTCCAGTGTTGATCCGTTCCATTGGGAAACCTAGCAGCCCCCGTTGAGCCATTGGGTGTTCCTGATTTCTCATCGTTCTTACGACGAGGTTTTTGTGTTCCTTTTGGCGGTAAGCCGTGTCGAAATCTTTGCATCTTTGGAGAGGTATGTTTTGAACACCTGTTTTGGACTGGGCCCTGTTTCGCGGCGAGTTTCAAGCCCCGCGGGTGCTTCTGACCTCGTGACACAGCGACGCGTGCGTTTTTTTCCACTAATCTCGTTTTTTTTTACCTTTCATTTAAAATCCATCGCAGTAGGGCTTTACAGGAAGTGATTTCTAGTTCGGGCCATGCTTTATTTAGCTATATTTGTGAAATCTGTATTTTGGATGGCGGCAAACGAGTTGTTATTTTCACCGTTCTTTGTTCAGGCAGCGGCCATTTTGAAGCGTCCATTTGTTTCTTTTAATCGAGCACATGTTTTAACTGAATCTATTGAACAAATTAACAAACATTGTGGGTCATGGGGGGACGTGCCTTTATTCTTTGGATTTAGCACATCGTTTATACAACGCCACAGGATTCATCGTATTTTTGCATCGCATATTTTCGACGCCTATTATTTGGAATGACGAATTCGTCCAACGCCATTTTGGATCTGCAGATTGTCTGCCATGTTTGTTTATGTGTTTTGTTTGGGGGAATGTATGTGTAATAATGGCCCACAATGTAGCTGAATAATTTCACGTTTGAATTTTAACCAATAACTTGACTGGACACGAATTAATATTAATCACATGTAAATTTGTTAACTCTACAATCTTTCACCTCATGCAATTTGTCTTTGTCTCATAATTTTAGCTTCAGTAATTTTCTTTGCTGTATAATTTGAATTGAACGTAAATTTCCATGCTCTGCAGTTTTGACCTAACATGATATTTAATTTGTACAAGCTTATTTCACACCAGATCTTGTTTTTAATAAATCTTTGCTAAGTTTTGATCATGTAAATATTTTGTTGATAAATGTTTCTATCATGTAAATTATCTGATGTCCAATTTTAATCTCAATTAAGAATTATTTGTTATTGAATTTTCGTAAGAGTGTGTGGCGAATTTAAATGTGGTTTATTGCTCTTGGTTGAAACTTTAACACTTGTTCGGTTGTAATTTAATATTAGAGTCATAGAGATTGAACATTTAAATGAAATTAAGGTAAATAACACATAACTCGTAGTGTACGTGGGGCGCGCGACTCCTTCTCAAACTGACGGGATTAATCGCGTCACCTGCACAAGTCCGCGGGTGTTGTATAGCTTCAGGGGGCGATCGCGGGTTTTTAACGCTGTCGGCTTCTGTCCATAGCCGGGACCCCACTACGGATCTGCGATCGTAACCGCCTCGTTTCGCAGGGCACGTTCGTAATGGAGAGATGCGTGTGAGCAGGCGTTGGTGTAGATAGAATCACCGTCGTGAGGGAGAACAGTGATGATCAGGAGTCCCAACCTCCACTGGCGTTACAACGCCCCCTCTGGGTATTTTGCTGTGCTCGTAAATGAAATTGATATATTTTGTTCTATGTTTTGTTCGATCGCCACACTCTCATAATGATTCGGGTTCTGCCATCCAATTTACATATGTGTAGGTCTTGTGTTTGTTCGGTTTTCATATGTGTATGTCTGTCAATTCGCGAGTGTTTTTCTTTCACATATCTTAAGGTGTTTGACATGTAATATGTCGGTGAATAAAACCCCAGGGGGTTTTGGGGAATGAAGACCGATGACACCTTGGCCCTGCGGACTCGCCAGAAGGGCAAATTGAGCCGTTGTCGTTCTTCGTTTCTTTTTCCCCCTTAGGAAGGCTTTTGACCAACCTAATTTTGTCTATTATTTCTTGCGCTCTCGACCGTGTATGCACTTGTATGAAAGAACGTCTTCCCGCCATTTTTCAAAAACAAAAAAAAAACACAACGTAGGTTCTCATTTGTTAGACGATCACAGCCAAGGCCAAACTTTGAACTTTGAATTTTTCGCGGGCCTTTCAAACTGTTTCAAGGTCAATTTTTAAGGCGGGAAGTTTGGGTTATCACAATGTATTAAATACAAATTAAAGCCAGATTTAGATCCGGACGAATGGGTGGAGCTTATCATTTGGCTTTCTTTTTTACTTAATCCATATAGTATTTTTCGTGGAAACATAAGGATTTTGCATTTAAGCTCTGCCTCCCAACTTACGACCAATAAAAAAAATCATCACGATTAAGATAGGCCGGGTGGGCGGGGTTTATATATTTTTTAAATTACCATTTTAAACATGTTTTAAGTCATAACGATTGAGTGGTGGGTAGGCGGGGCTTATATTTTCCCTTTTTTCCTTGATATACGCAGTCATCTTTTCTGAACAAGAAACTTAGAACATTTTTAACATGGTAGATCACTTATACTATTGTCGCAGATTTTAAAACTTGGACCAATCAATGTATTTGGGTAAAGCCATGAAGAATCACACAAGGTTATGCGCACTGAGAGGAAAAAAAACAGCGTCGCGAAGCCTCATTTTTCTATCTCAATAAATTCTTTTTGTATTTTATGCCCAGTACCCGACAAACGCGTTCCAGCACGCCTCTGAAACAATCGGTTTCTCAGGGCGAGTTCCATAAACTTTCTGTTTTGTTTTTGCAGAAATATATTTACAGTTGATAACAATTTTTTATTTCAGTTTGAAACCAACTGGAATTGCGACTTTGAAATAAAAATATATCTCGACCCACATCTAATAAGGCACAAATTTCAAAGATCACGTATGTTTTGTTGGTTGCCTGACATTTGACACAAATAGTAGATCAAATGTCACACCGCGTAGGTTAAACGAGAACTGGATTTTCGGGACAACCTACCTATGCAACATCTGGGTGAACGCACAAATGCAATAATCCACAAAAATGTGGTTTTTATATTGTAAACGAAACCTTTAACAACACATTACGTAAATTTTATCACTTAAAAATGTGAAACAGATTGTTAAACGCTCAAAAAACATGTTTCGGTGTACACCATGAGATTTTACAGGTAAAAAATTCAAAACACTGCGTTTGGTTAATTAACACTTTATTGATTGTTGTAGAAGATTTACAAAAAGGCAATACATGTGCTTGTGGTTTTTTTTAATTCTATTTTTTGTATTTTACGTGGAGTTTTATTTATATCTGAGTAACACACTTTCGTGGTTGAAGCCAAAATGTGGAAATCGAAACAATTGCACAAATATTCTCCTTGTTGCCGATCCTCAAGTTCTCGGCGAACGTAAAGAAATGTTCTCGTTTGTTACGCCTTTCAGTATTGCAGACAGTGATTTTTTTCTGAAAAAGACGTACTCTTGGGCTTACAGGTTTGCAGAACCTGATGTCGTAATATTCTTAGGTGACTTGATGGATGAGGGTTCAATTGCCAGAGATGAAGAATTTTTTGCGTATGCTAGAAGGATTTATAACGTTTTTACGGATAGCTCTCCAACTGCAGTAAAGGTAGGTTATTTCCATTATAATTCATTATGGTTATACTAGAATTGTGTATCTTTTTTTAGCACATTTGGCTGCCAGGTGATAATGACGTAGGAGGTGAAGAATTCGACGGAATAACTGATCAAAAAATGAAAAGATTTCATCGAGCGTTTCCACAGCCAGAACTCATCGTGCACAAAAATATTACCTTTTTTAAAATAAACCGACTGATTTTAAGCATTCCAGTCTTTAAAGAAAAAAGAGATTTTTATGATACTTCCAAAATTTTTATTGGGTTGAGTCATTTGCCTCTCATTTTCTTGCCTTCACCTTTTGTGGAAAAAGTAATAAATATCAACTACTTTCAACAAATTTTAAATATAACTTTGTAGGTGTTTAGAAAAATGCTACCTCAGGTTTTGTTCACGGCTCATGAACACAAATCCATGATTGTTATTACAGACGCGTTAATTAGACAGGACAGCCAAATTATCCCAGTGACACCCGACAATAATAAAATTTACGAGTATCCCTTGGGTAGTACAGATATGTACGAATTTATTATACCGACGTGTTCATATCGCATGGGTACTGATAAAATTGGCTATGGCTTCGCTGTGCTTGGTATGTATGTCTTGTCGCATGTTGTTCAATGTAACCGGGTTGTAATTAACACCGTCTTCATGTTACAGAACAAAATGAAATACGTTATACAGTGCTTTGGTCTCCGTCCCGTTTTACCCAACTTTATTATTATTCCATTTTTACATGTTTTAACTTGTTATGTGTTTGTTTTTGTTACTATTGTAAAAGTTCAAAAAAACGGTTTAGTCGAACCTGATCAGTACCTGTCAAATCCAAAGTACAATTGCGCTTAAATTGTGTCAAAATGCACCGTTTTAGTAATAATGATTGTTTTACCATAGAGAACTGACCTAGCAAATTGTCTACACAATGTGCCAATGCACAGAAATATGTATCTTTTGTGTCAATTGTAAGTGACTATAGTTTTTGTGTATTAATTGTTTTGTAAATAAGGAGTCACCAAATATTGGCACAAATTAGCTACATTTAGGATCTCAGGGCGACATGGCGAGGTGCAGTTTGTGACAAAATTTACAGCACATGACAGTCTTATACGTTACAACTAACTATATTTAAAAAAGCAATGTACATGAAAACTGCTTCTGATTTTTGAAACCAGAGTACTAGAATTTGATCATGTGACAACGTATTATTTGAAAATTTTAATGTCATAGCCAGTCGTAGCGAATTTGGCGGCAAGAACACATTATGGTTGTCAAAGATAAATTGCAGTAGGCGGCGCTAGTGTGTGTGAAACATTAAAGTCACTAGATATATATGGTTATCTAGGAACTTTATGAAACATTTGACACTTAAGTGGCAGCCAAAGTCCCTATATATTACTAATTTAGAGACTTGAAATGGCAGCTATTTTTGAACATTTTGTAATTTGGAATTGCTGCCGAAATCTTGCTCTGTTAAAACTGATAAATGTTGAAGTTTAAAGAAGTGAAGTTCGTGATCCATTCACAATTTCTGTTGCAAATTACAATATGTTTACCGCTTGTTATAAATAACTTTTAGAAGTGCCACATAATTAGGAATTTTGTACTAATAATACTTCTAATATTTTTATGCATTGACAATAGAAAAAGTATTGTGTATGAAATTTTCGACACAGGAAATTGAAAAACGTCCAGTCCATCCCTGGACAGAGTATAAATGTATTGATTATAATTGTTACAATTTGATTACCTTAAATTAGGATGTTTCTGTTGGTTTGTTGCGTCATCACGGTTAAAAAAACATTACAAGAACAATTTAAATATCCTCAGTCAACATTGGGTAATGGTTTTCAAACAGTACGATTTACGCAATTAAATTTTTCATTATGGTATGTTGACCTGAAAATCATTTGGAACATCAAATAAAACTGTAAACCATAGAACTGTTCAATTTTAGCGAAAAGTTTGTCTTCTCATTTAAAAAACCAATCTCGTAGTCGCTCTATTTCTATAAAACGATGTATGCACCAGTTTAGTATACATTTTAATGCAGAGTTGTCTTCGATTAGATTGCTTGAATTGGTATCACTGATTTAGTCGTGTGCCTGTCAAATTGATGCGTGCGCACAATTATCAAAACCCGCGGGAAATTTAAATTTGGCCTGGAATTGTGACAGTCAACAAAATGAAATCTACGTTGTGTGTGCGTTCAAGAGCCATTTACACTAGTGACAGGTATAACCAGTGTCGGATTGAGGGCAATTTACAAAGTGAGGCCCTGTGGTATTGTAAACAGATCTTGTTTTGAAAAAATTGTTGTTTTTGGAATTTTGATGACGCTACCAAGAAAAACAAAGCTAGTAAAAAAATTGTGGAAGGTTATTTTGACAGAACTTTCCTCGCCCTTGAAATATAGTCCGACAAATTCCGCTTGTTTAAAAATTATAAAATTGGATTTTGCGATAACTGTTTCTGTTTTTGCAACTTCAAAGTTAAATTGTTGATTTTTTTCCAAAAATCTGGATACGAAGGGTAAAAAGTCCTGTAACCTTAAAACGTTTGGAAAATTTCAGTACATTCGCTTTTGCAATTTTAAACTTAAATTGTAGAATACAATTGCGATTTTTTTCCCAAAAATCTCGATGTCTAGGAGGAAAACTCAACACGGATTCTAAATTACACATACGTGGAGTATGTAATTCTATAAAATTTGAGGAACATTTGTTCTGCAAAATTATAAAATGACGTGATCATTTTTTAGGAGGTCATGAACACATTTTTATTAAAGATGTACCATGCTTATGGTAATCTCAACAAGCTTGCATGTTTTCAAAGCATTCGGTTTTACAATTTCAAAGTTAAATTGTAAAATGTTATACAATCTTGTTTTTTTTTTTTTTTTTTAAATCTGGATGTCTATGGTGAAAACTCGACACGGAGTCATGGATCACATATGCAGGAGTATGCAATCCTATAAAATTAAATATATATAATACCAAAAAAGGGGCAAATTAGTGGTAAGTAAAATGATACGTTTCACCCCACATTTTTTTTTATTTATTATAAGGTGCTTTGTCTTTTTTTTTAAACTCCACGTCAAAAATTGCCTTTTTTATTTTATAAAAAAGCAATAAAAAATGCATGTCAAAGTTGGTCTGTTTTCTTAAAAAAATGATACAGTACCTTAAAATAGATGAAAAAACAGGTAAAAAAATAGCTTAAATAGATGGAAAAAACATTTGGGATGAAATGTACCACTTTACTTTCTACTGATTTCAATTTAGAAATTTCATCCAAAGAGCCTGATAATCCGATCCTTATATTTGGTAAATATAAATTAAAGAATTTAAGAAATTTCTCGGTGTCCCGGCGCCACAATCCGACACTGGGTATAACACATATTAGAACTATGCTTAAAGACCTGTCGCATATTATAAGCTTTACCCAGCCAGTTGTTGTCAAACTACGCGTTTCATGAATTTAACCTCTATTTGGGCAAATGACGTGAAAAACAAACCGTCAGCTCTGACTCATTTTCGTCACGCGATCCTGTGCTTTTATTTTAATTAAAATTCAAATCCTATCTTTTTGAAACTTGGAATATCTAGATAAGTACCAGAATTACCACGAGAGAAGCTACATTTAATTAAAACCAACGTTAATTAAAGTAGTTTGCGAATAAATGTTCAAATTTGAACTGTAGAAAAATATTAAAGCCCTTCCGAGTCCACGATGAGATTTATTTTACTGATGATAACTTTCGAGCCCTTTTCCCTCAAAATGTTTAGGACTAATTTAAATGCCATAAATGAATTATTATAAGTGAGAAAGATTATGAGTGTGGATAATGTAATAAGTAATAACTTAAGTAAAAACGTCCATTTTTTTTTAATTTTCAAATGGGGTTTCGCAATATTCTTTTTTTCCCCGATGTGAAATTTAATTTTTTAAAACGGAACCACAATCGATAAAACCAAGCGACTATAAAGCAGCACTCAAAAAGATTCGCAGGTGATTTAAAATCAGTGGTACCAATTACAAAGTGTTAACAATCTCATCATAATATCAGATTTTTAGGTTGATAATAATATAACATGTAAGTAGATCACGATTCTATGAAATTACCAGGGAAAAATTAACTACTGTTTGCTGCTATGGTTGGTTATAATCATGGTATAATGTTAACAAACAGTATTCAATACCCATGACAACAAAGCAACTTACAAGGTCGCGGTCAACGTCAGTTGATTTATTTGCAATAAAGTAAAACCCAGCTCACATGAAAACTTTATTATTATTTGTTTTTTTATTAGTGTGTAAACGCACCTAAAAATTGAAATAAAAATGTAAATGCTTTAAAATTACAAGATAAAAATCTTTTTTAGGCGTGGCTTGGATTTGACCAAACGAATTATGAAATTGCAGTTATAAATATCATCTTGTTCAATTTTAATTAAAAACTGTTTCATTTCGCTTAGAATAAGTCACTAGTTTGGAACGTCATGCGTAGATGAACATTGTTTTATAATTTTAGTAATTAATCTGTGATGATTTAAAAAAAATCGACTTGGGTGTACATATATCGTTTGACTTTTACTGTCAAATAACTGCAATGCCAACATTTTTATTTTAAAACACAATTCTATGCCTTACTACACTTTTTTTTGATCAAATGGTAACTGTGTATTTTCAAAAAAATTATTATTGACGACAAAAAATCGAAAATATTTAATACATATCGTGTTAATAGTAGTAGAAATGACACTAATAATGATACATTTCAAATATGCTGCCACTCTAACTCAGACATATTATCTACTTCAAAATCATCCAGTATTCGAACCTTCATGGCAGTTATTGTATTAGGAATAAATTTTTGAAGTAGCATTTCTAGGACTGGCTATGTCACACTTCTAGTAAGATCATTTTAATTTAATGTATGTACCTGCATGATACGTGTGTATGTGTGTATCAAGTAGTTTTTTAACCATTTATAATAATCGTAGTATAGGGAAGACTAAACTAGGAGCTAGTCTTTTATAAGTGACAAAGATCTAATAATGTGCATATTATTCCAATGTAAACTTATAAAGACATTTTTCTCTTGGTATTGTTAGAATGGAGTGCCAATAAACATATTTCTATATGTACTAAATTTGAACATATCAATATTAACTGATAAAGCTATAAGCAGTGAGAGTAGTAGTTAAAATTTGTTAGATATTGATTAGTGTGTTGTTTACTTTACTGAATGTTGATACTCCGTACTGTGGTGATTCACATGGAGATATGTTTCATGGAATGAATTTACATTATATCTCATTTTTATTATAAACCAGTTGCATTTTATTTTCACCTTCCAACGCTTGGCTTCGGTTTCCTAAAGCAGATACCCTTCAAAAACATGTTCATAGTCACGTTTTAATATCTTTGACTATTTCCAACGCTTGTAACACGCTATTTACTTGTTTAAAAATCCATTCGTGTTTATCTTTTAGTACGGCGCGACTGAAGTTATCTCTAAAAATACCGATTATTATCGTAGTTACGAAAAGGGATTAAATATAAAACGTTTTAACATATTAAACAAATTTATTCTCCTCATCTCCGAGTTACATAATAAAAACAGGGAATCGCAACTCTAAAATAAAACAATTTATCAACTAATCAGGAAAAGTGTTATCAGTCATATTTTGAACAAAATTATAAAATAAAAAATTATTCAACGCACTCACGCAGCAATAATTAAAGTGCAAAAAATACGTTACGCTTGTACAGGAATATAGCAATAGCGACCCACACAGCTGTACCCCAGAGGTTCATGAACAAATACGCCCCATGGGTTTCACTTGTGGGGGTCCACGCAAAGGGAAACGTGTCTTTGAATAACTCGTGCCCCACATACAGGACCAAAGAATTCATTCCTGGATAGAAAAACGGTCTACCACCCCACTTCCTCAAAATGTCAACAAGCACGAAGAGAAAGGCTTGAACGACAAAAGCCATTCCAGACAAAACTAAGGCAAAGGATAGAGACCACAATTGCTTATTAAGGGGGATCAGTCCGTCGTTTTGTTTGAATTCGCAAAGCGCCCCTCCAATTAGGGTCTACAAAGATAATAACTGTCATTCTGTCAATTAGTTAAAAATTAATACTTACTGTAATTAAACCCCAAGCTACCCAACGAACCGTTTTTGCTTTAACATCTTGGTAGGTATTGAGGGTGCGACCTGCTTGCACTCCAAAATAAACCGTCAATATTGCTGTTAAAGTTCCGAGAATACCTACAATGCATAATTTAGGTGCAAGTTAACTCAAGTAAACGTTTACCTTCAGGATCAAAATAAACATTGGTTTCATATAACTTCTTGCAAGCGGAATTTTTATACATGTGTTCCCCAAAAATTTGTCTATCAATGTATCCAGCAACACCTCCAGTGCAGTTGTAATGTTTACCCCCTTCATCTAAGCCTCCAGGCCCCAAATAACCTCTCCCACACCCTGGAACGTCCGCCAGGAACGTTACGCAAGTGTGTATTATAACTAGCGAAATCACAAAAAGCCACTGAGGCCATGCTACAACCACATCATGGATTAAAGAAACATTCTAGAATTAAATCATCAACCAATTGTCACAAACACACAAATTTTTACCTCAACTTCTCCTCTCTTAGTGAAAACTATTTCTAATATTCCAACCACAAAATACGTAATGCCGAATCTTTGTAACACTCCTGGGAATCTGAGAGACCCTATGGTTTGTAAATTTTGGTTGGAGTTGATGATAATACCCAACAAGATTAAAACGAAAGATCGTCTCATCACACTTATGACTAACTGTCGACGAGGAACAGCCCGTCGTAGTTTAGATTGTAAGGAAATAGTAAATGAGAGACCCATCAACCACATGAACCACGGAAATACTAAATCAGCAACCGTTATACCATTCCATACAGAGTGTGAGAAAAACCAGTATCTCCCGCCTCCATAATTTACAAAAATCATCACAATTATGCAAAACCCTCTAAATACATCTATGGACTTGATGCGATGCGGATGTTTCCGAATGGATGGAGTTCTTTCAATAACTAGGGGAGTCCCCGCTGATGAACCGCCTAAATCCTAGTATAATACAATTGGTTAAAATCAGAAATGTGGAGGTGATTGCTGCTTAAAACAATATTATTGTGTAAGTGAACGCTGTTTTAATAATGAAAATGATTGATCTTAATCTAGTTGTTTATAGTATTAATAATATTGCTTTAGAAGCTGAAATCACCTTAACACGACTAATTAGGTTGGTGATTAAGATAATTACATTCTCTATGTCTGTGTTCCATGTAATTAAGCTTCTCAAACGTCCGGAATTTTTATAGATACATTTAACCATATACCACAGTGTTCCAAAGCAAAAAAGTACGATAAAAGCGGTAAGTATTGCTATAAATTGAAATTATTTGTAAAACATCAAGTTGGAAATGTGAATAATTACGTAGATATGCACTGTCTGCAGGTTCTTTGATATAAATGGGTGGACATTTATGTTGTGTAAGGTTCCAACCATACCGATAATGTTCATACATTAATTTACTAACGCTACAACAATTTCATTTCAGATAACAAACTATGAAATCTATGCAACATTACATACCTGCATTGCTTTGTACTCTCTATGACATAGTACAGTTGCAAGGGATATCGAGTATTTACAAGTATTGAAGTATTCTGAAGGGGTCCTACCGTGGTCAAATCTTGAAAATCACATTGATGACACTCTGAATATTGCCCCACAACTTTAACTGTGTCGTTGATGCCGTTGAGGATGTCCAAACAAGCTTCATCGTAGACATAGTTTGGGTTGCGCATTTGGCACTTATTGATGTCTTTGAACAACATGGTTTGTTGCGTTGTTAATCAAAGGCAAATGGAAAATCTACTTGTTCGTGCCAAGAACGTGACTCATTTAATGCTGATATGAACAACACAAAAATCTACGCCATTATTTTCTTGTTCGATTTCGTTGTTTCTGCTGTCACTTTTTTTAATCCCCAACGTTAGCACTTTTGTGTGGCAAGTATTGTCCAATTTACAACAATTGTTCGTGGAATTTTGTGACGATAAGGAATCACACTTTACAAATAGCAGAGATCAAATAGTAAGAACATGAACAACACAACCCACTTTTCGACATTATTTGACAGCAACACAGCAGTGACAGATTACTCATAGGCGGCGTTGCCATGTTATAAAAAAACAAACAATCTTGACAAGACATTAACCTCGATGAGCAAACAAAATGTGGAGGGGGAATAATTTTGTTAACTTTATTCATTATTCACAATAGTAGTTATAAATATATAATATTTATATAAACATAATTTATGATGAATTGAAAATATAAGATTACATTCAAGAGAAGCTGCACCTCTAGAAAAATTTAAAACGCAACCAACAATACAATATTTTTAGCAAAACATTAACTTATTTTATTTAAGTTAAAAAAAAACAAATTATATACATACAAATAACGTTCAAAGGTTCAAACGTAAATCAGGAGCCACATTCTCTATCACCATTATATCAAATGGATTCTTTTAAAGACAACTTCTCTGTCCTTATGTAAAAATTGACCAGAATTTGTAGCGAATGAAAAATACGCGAAAAAATCTAGACCGTATATTTTGCCGACCGAAAAAAAGCAGAACCTGAAATTAGGCAAACTGGAAAATAGGTCGAATATTTATTATCATAATTAAAAGTCAGGAAAAAATTGTGTTGGTAACGGAATACGAATAATTTCACCTTTCTTAGATTATCAGCCTTCAACAATCTTAACAATGCTGTAACGGGCGATAAATTACTTATTTTTGGAGATGTTAAAACAATCGTCATTGTCATAAAAATCAAGGTTGTCCTTGTGAATCCTGGATTTTATTACTTCACACCATGCTAATCAAGGTTTATAAAGTTAAATATTGGCACCATTTGACTGGACACGATTTGTCTAGTTTTATAGATTCGTGATTTAAATTTGTTAATATCGGCAAAAAGTACATTTAGCCACTAAAAATCTTCATATTAAAGTTAATTAAGCTAATTTGATGGAAACACAAATACTTTTACGCTACCCGAAATAGACTGGTAACTAGTAAACAACTTTGAAAAACAACTCCTTTGGAAGGGTCTTCATCATGTCTTCATTTATGAAAGACCAAAAGATCCATTAAAGGTTAAAGGCCAGAGTTCCCTAACCAGTTGCCAGTTCAGTGTGTGTTGGTATAGAAGAGGTAAGTAAATGTTGTGATAACCCAAACATCCCGCCTTAAATTGACATGTGAAAAAAAAATGAAAGCCGAAAAATTTTAAAATTCAAAAATTGGCCTTGGCTGTGATCGTCTGACAGAATAGAACCTAGAACCCTACGTTGTGTTTCTGAAAAATGGCGGGATGCGTTCAGATGCAAATGGTGGACCCCAAGGTTGGAAAAGTACCGTTACATAAAACACAAAAGTTATGGAGGACATAGAATTATTTATTCCTCCACGCAATCGCTGTTCAGCTCCAAAAAAAAGAAAAACTTTGAATGACCTGGAATGAAATCAAACTAAACGTTCTGAATCAATGCAAATATGTATTTGAATATCAAACATTTAATAAAAACAAATCAAAATCTGAATTAAAGTAACTGGATGCAAATACACAAGTTATTACAGATGTGCGGCGGCAAATTTAAAATTATGGCAGTCAACAAGAGCACAACAAAAATACCCATAGGGGCGTTCTAGCACAAGCGGAGTTTGGGGCTACCGGTCGTGGCTGTTCTCCCCCGCGACGGTGATTCTACGTGCAGGCGATTACGGTCGCAAACTCGCAGTTGGGTCCCGGCTATCACGAAGCCTCCAGCGTTACGTCATCTCAACCGCCCGTGAATTCTATTTCTGCATCTTTTGTGCAGGTGGCGCGATTAATCCCGCCAGCTCGACTAGGAACTGCGCACTCCGCTTCTGCCACGTTTTCTGTGTTATTTAACTTCAATTCCATTCAACTGATATTAGCGACAACTGAACAAGTGTTTCAAAAAGAGCAATAAACAGCAATTCAATTCGCCATTCAATCTTGTGAAATTTTAAACAACAAATAATTCTTATGTGAAATTATAATTGGACATCAGATAATTTACATGAGGGAAACATTCATTAACAAAATATTTACATAAAAAAACTAGCAAAGATTCATGATAAAACAAACAGATCTGGTGTGAAGTAAACTTGTGCAAATAAAAATATTAAGTGAAGTTAAAACTGCAGAGCATGAAAGTTTACGTTCAATTTAAATTATACAACAAAGAAAAATACTGAAGTTAAAATTGTGAGCTTCCAGAGTTTATAACATCGTGAACTGCTTACCCCAAACAAAACACATGATAAATAAGGAAACACAAAAATATCCAGTCAGCGTTGCGAGGAATAAGCGTCTCGGTGATGTAATTTTTAGCGTTGCGAGGAAATGCCTCGGTGATGTAATCAATCTTTAACGTTGTGAGGAAATGCCTCGGTGATGTAATCAATCTTTAACTTTACGAGGAAATGCCTCGGTGATGTAATGATGATAACGATGCTAATAACCACATACGTATATGCATCCAAAAACCTTATACATAATTAAACAAACAAAATCAAACGAATTTTGACTCAGTGAATTTCATGAGATCTCCTAGTGTCTGTCTAAACAAATATAAAGTCCATTAAATTGTGTTAGAATCAGTTAACAATTAAAATCCTAATCTGATCGGTGAATTTACAAACAATAAAATAAATTTACAGCACGTGCAGCGTCGGTCGAAAATTAGCACTTTTCCGATTAGAAAACCGCAAGAATTAGTTGTGCGTGTTGGGGAAAACTGGGCGCCGTCGGCGTTACGATTAATTTTCGTTAAACAAAGGCTTCGTTCCTTTTATTAATTATCAAGCCAATTAATTTAACCAATAATGACGCTTTCACCATGCTCTCGCCATGCCGCCATCTTGTCTACTACTACCGCCTTCTAACTAAAAATCCCCTAGCGAGCTACCAACTACCCCCACATGGTTGCCTATATTTAACGATTTTTTTGATTAAATTTTTTTTCAAATTCAAATTATTCAAATGTGATTTCGCGCCACTATTAATTAATTTCAGCGCGAAAATTTGATTCAAATTCGGTCACCACAACCCTCAAAACAAATTGTTTTGAGTAACCAATCACTTGGATCATGGCATAATGCAACATCATATAAATTCTTTGTTTGAATCGTTGATAAAGTGTGGCAAATATTAACCTCATGTAATTTTGTTAGCTTTTGCAAATTTTTCACCCCATGCAATTTTTCTTTATATCACAATTTTGACGTCAGTAATTTTTGTTTACACATGTTTCACTTTACACCAAATCTTTTTTTGATAAATCTTTGCTAGTTTTCTTTCATGTAAATATTTTGTTGATTGATGCTTTCATCATATGTACAGTAGCGGTCATTTCTACGGAACCACTCGATAAAAAGTCAAGTTGGTAGCCCTGTCATCTAGTACTTTACACCGAACGCGGTTGGTAGCGGTAGTTGATATGGCAATCGAAACTAGCACAACACGGATGTTTCGGTTGCCCTCAGCTATGCCGAACTGTATCCCGTGCAGACTGTATGTTCTGTTCATCTATTTATTAAAATAAAATATCTACATGGACAATGGGGCCATCTAACCAGTCAAATTTTTGACACATATGTTTTTCCCCAGAAACCCGTCAAGGTCACTTACATCAAACAAATTTTGAAAATTTACACTAGGGAGTGGTTCTGTAGAAAAGATCGCGACTTTATGTATAAATTATCTGATGTCCAATCTTAATCTCAAATAAGAATTATTTGTTGTTTAAAATTTCACAAGATTGTATGGCGAATTTAAATGTTGTTTATTGCTCTTTTTGAAACTTGTTCACTTGTCGTTAATATCAGAGTCATAGAAATTAACATTTGAAATGGAATTGAGGCAAATAACACCGAAATACGTGCCAGAAGCGGAGGACGCGGTTCCTAGTCGAGCTGGCGGAATTTATCGCGCCATCTGCACAAAGATTGCAGGTTCTGTATAAGAAGTCAGGGGCGGTCGAGATGACGTAACGCTGTCGACTTGACCCAATAGTCGAGACCCAACTGCGAGTTTGCGACCGTAACGGCCTGCTCGTCAAGGCACTCTTGGGGTGCTGGGCGACAGTGCTTGCGATAGATAGAATCACCGTCGGGGGTAGGAGAACAGCCACGACCAGGAGCCCCAAATCCCGCTTGACTGCCATAATTTTAAATTTGCCGCCACACGCCTGTAATAACTTGTATATTTGCATTAATTCAGATTTTGCTTTGTTTTATCAAATTTGTGATTTTCAAATATTTGCATTGATTCAAAACGCTTAATTTGATTTTATTTAAAAGTCATTCAAAGTTTTTTTTTGGAGCTGAACATTAAGGCGATTAAGGCACAGATTAAGGGGTGTCCTCACCCGACACAACTTAGTCGCAGTTTTTTTTCTCTTTTTTTTTATCAGTGGAAGAATAAATAATTTTGTGTCCTCTATAAATTTTGTGTTTTATTTTGCGGTACTTTTCCAAACTTGGAGTTCACCACTTGCATCTGAACGCATCCCGCCATTTTTCAAAAATACAACGTAGGGACCAATTTTTTATGAGACGATCACAGCCAATGTCAAATTTTGAATTTTTCGCGGGCTTCAATTTTTTTTTTCACTTGTCAATTTAAGGCGGGTGGGCGGCATGGTTGGGTTATTACAATATTTACGCAAGGTCCTCCCAGTCTCCGTAAAAACTTTAACCAACAGTGTATAGTAGCATTATTCTTGTGGTTGTTTTGCGGAAAAATCTTTGTTGATGTATGGGATCTAATAAGAGTCATAAAACTTAAAAATGTTCTCTTCCAGAAAGTTGATGGCATCGTTTTCGTCAATTAAGAAAAGTGCTTCCAGAGTGTTTTTTGTTTTTATAATCAGAATATCTCAACCGATTTATCTTCCGGATTATTTTAAAGATGCATTGTCATATTATGTTTATTACACACGTATTAAAGGATTTAAAGCCATACATTGTGACTTCTATATCATGCAGACTGTGTTTGTACAACCCGATTCCACTTTATTACGATAAACTGTTATAACATTTAGCATAGAATAAAAAAATAACAGTGATTTTGTTATTTATTAAAATAAGTGAAAATACATTTTTATTGCTGTCAACTATCAGTAGTACAAGTTATAAGATAAACAATAAGATAATTCATACAATAGCAAAATAATCATAAAAAATCAGCGCCTATTTATTGATGAGGTGGTAAATTGTACCCATGTTGAGGACTGGGTTGTGTATAAGCTTTAGAATACGGATTTGCTTGACCTTGTCCATATACCCCTGGGGGTGGATGACTATACTGCTGACCAGGATAAGTTACGTTACTTTGTTGTGGATTAGTATATGCATTTGAACTCGGGACTTGTGTTGGATCTACCTGCTGCCCATACCTAAAAAATCAAGGAAGTTAGCGGAAATCACTTAAATCACGTTTACCCAGAATATGAGTACTGTTGTTGGGGATATGGCACACTTCTGTATCCCATCTGCGGATAGCTTGGGGTTGACGTCCTGTTGTAGTAGTCATTCATGTTATGATGGCTCGCTGCCGTCGAAGCAGCAATGGGCTGTCCTTGAGGCATGGGCAAGCCCGGCCCAGGTACCGGATGGGGTTGATGACTCTGTGCCTCATTACCGCCGCTCACGGGTGGCGTAGGTGTCGGTTTTGGAGTTTCTTTTGATTCTTCCGTTCCATTAGCTTGTGATTTGTCTTTAAGTGGGTCAAATTCACTCGAGTTTACTTTGTTCAAAGAATTTGGAATATCGCTGCCAGATTTATCTTCAACAACTAACACTTAGAAAGTAATAATGTGAAAATATGTTCATGGAATGAACTACCTTGTGTGGTTGAAGTTGCCGGCACTGTTACATTTTCACCTATTTCCAGAGAATCTAACAATTTGTTTACTTGATTTCTGATTGATTTTAGTTGTTGTTTAAGATTAATAACATCAGATGCGGATAAAATACTAACAGTCTCGCTTTTCTTATCACTGCTTGGTAAAATTTGTAGTTTTAAAATGCGACTACACTGGATAGCAAAGGAAAGATCTGAACTGTCAAATATTGTGATGAGGTCACCATCTGGAACACAATTTATTAACTCGGTACATTAACACTATCTGCTTTATTAATTAAATTATCTATCTTTCTCTACGACAGTGCGTCCTATTTTATTGTGACTAATAAAACACTACTCCAACTGCAAACATACCCTCATCTTTGTACTTTATAGTTATATCATCATTGGCTAGCAGTTTGCCCCTAAACACTCGCTGCATCATTAAAACTAATTCATCGTACGTAATTGCCTCATTATGTATAGGTATACGTCTAATATCATCCCCTAACTGCACTTTAATTATTAATTTGCCGCTAAGATCGAGTAATTCGCTTTTGGTATCCATGGTATATTTATTTCATCAACCTTAAATTTTAAAAATGAAAACTACTTTTCCAAATTATGCTTATGTGGTGACTAACTACTGTTACTTACGGATCTTTTTTTTAATAAATAATATGCTAAAACACTTTTACAGAACTCCAATGACAAACGTCAACTAACTTATGACATGTGTCAATTAATGTATTGCTAACTGTTGTCATCATATAGAAAGAAAAATCCCCAAAAATTAATAGAGACAATTTTTAGTTCCTGATTTTTAGTAGACGACATTTGGGTGGTTTATATGGAGTCTTAAACAATTTTAAGGTGAAAACGCGTTATTACATGAAGATTTTTATTTACCCCAAAAGCATAAAACTATATTTTTATAAAGAAACAAAAATTCAAAGATTTTCTTAATGGTGACTTTTTAGGGATTTTGATTATATCATTTCGTAGCTGGTATTGTGGTATGCATGAAGTTTGTTTATAACCATTTTACAAGAAAATAGCACATTATCGGAAAAGCGTTATCATTGTATATTATTAAACAGGCTGGAAGGGCATTAGTTAATATTTAAAATGAACGCCGAAAGCTTGAGGAAGTGTAAGTATGGTTTTCCTTTCGCTGCATGGAATAAATTTGTATTTAACATTTCATTCTAACCTAACATTTTCGCAGCCCCGAACAAAACCAACAAAGAAACCGAAAATGGGGCAGAACCTTCAGCCCCAATCTCAAAGAAGGGTATACTGACGTCATTCCTCACTGGAAAGTCAATGGATATTCCAGATTCAGATATTGTTTGTATTTACTGCATTACTCTCCACAATTTCTATTTTTCATTATTTTGTAGCTTGGGAGATGCAGATTCGTGTCAGAATTTGAAAAATTGAACAGAATTGGCGAGGGAACTTACGGAATAGTTTGTATGTTGCAGTTATTTGTGAAATTCTTGTTCTCTGACTGTGTTATTAGATCGAGCCAAGGATACAATTTCTGACAAAATAGTAGCACTCAAAAAAGTACGAATGGATTTAGAACGCGATGGAATCCCTGTTAGTAGTCTACGAGAAATTCAGGTTCTACTCAAATGCCGACATGAAAATATTGTGCACCTGAAAGAAGTAGTTGTTGGTCGGAGCTTGGAAAGCATATTCCTTGCAATGGAATACTGTGAACAAGATTTGGCGTCGCTACTGGATAACATGCAAGCGCCTTTTACTGAATCACAAGTTAAATGTATCATGCTACAGGTGTTGAGGGGTTTGCGTTATTTACACCATAACTTTGTTGTTCATAGAGATTTAAAAGTCTCTAATTTGTTAATGACTGATAAAGGTTGTGTTAAGATCGCCGATTTTGGTTTGGCTAGATGGTTTGGGGTTCCTTTGAGGCCGATGACACCACATGTGGTGACTTTATGGTATAGAGCTCCAGAATTGCTTCTACAAGCGCCTACTCAAACTACTAGTGTGGACATGTGGGCTGCTGGGTGTATCCTTGGGGAACTGTTAGGACACAAACCTTTGTTACCCGGAAGGTCTGAAATTCAGCAGCTGGAATTAATTGTGGACTTGCTAGGTATTTTTACATAATTTGCAATCAGTAATTTAGTTATTATAAAATTTTCTTGATTCAAGGTACTCCATCTGATGCCATTTGGCCAGGATTTAGTGAACTACCAGCTCTAGAAAATTACTCTCTGAAGCAACAACCATACAATAATCTTAAGCAAAGATTCCCATGGCTGTCAGCTGCTGGTTTGAGATTATTAAACTTTCTTTTTATGTATGATCCTCGTAAACGTGCCACGGCAGAAGAATGTTTACAGAGTAGTTACTTTAAAGAACCCCCACTTCGTAAGTTCATCAGATTTGAGCGATTTTGGAATTTATTGTGGTTTTTAGCGTGTGATCCAAAGTTAATGCCAACGTTTCCACAACACAGAAATATTAAAGGCAGTAAAACGTCAGCTCCTTCTGATAGTACCAATACTGGCGCAGGGGATCAAACCAATAATTTGCCAGCAATTTCAGATTTGGTAAGGAATTGTTACGTTTTTACAAAATGTGAAAAATGATTTTTCAGTTGGGGTCTCTTGTGAAGAAAAGGAGAATTGAATAAAATGGAACTTTAATTAACTTAAGAGTGTATAATTTTAGTTTTCTAGTTGCTGCAAATTGAGTTGTCCTAATTAATAAATGGAATTTCGTGATATGCGTGTTTTCTTATCATTATCACTTAATTTAATAAAGTGGTGTAGTAAGTATGTAGTGGTTTACTTTTGTGTATAAATGGTTGCCTACTCAAAGAATATACAACATCGACAACTTTCCAGTGTCTGGCGTGTATGGTGTACTTAACCTAACATTTTAAGTTCTTATGTCTTATTATTTTTAAGAAGAAGAGTTTCTTCTGTACAAAAATCTGTATCTAAAGCGTTGCGTGTTAAACTATAAAAAACATACGACTATTGTTTGGTCATGATAAAAGCAGGTAAGATTATATAAAATAGTAGATATGTAATTGAGGTTATGTCATAGCGGTTAGTAGAATAACAATTAAATAAAATGTTTATTTTTCAGATTTATCCATGAATATTCAAACGCATTGTTGTAGTTTATGCCTTCTTCTAAGACATGTATAACAGTTGTGGATTTTCGATTTTGTAACAAACGTTTTAGCAACGTTTTTGGGTAGAGGTTAGGTTGTGTTCAAGCAACACTTTTTGAAATGGAGAAGACACTCAGCTTTTCTATATTTAAAGAAAAAATTATCAAAACTAAGTAAATGTTATGAAGAGTAACTTAGTGCATACTATATATTTTTTTTTTCAGCGAATTACTTTGTGTTCTTCTTGAAAAAAATAAATCTTTGGACAAGTCACAAAAATTGATCCAGCAGTTAAAAAAGAAACTAGAACTAAACAGAAATGAAGTTAACAAGTTGAAACTTCGAAACGAAACATTAACATGTGATTTAACAGCAGTGGAGAAAGATTACAACTTACTCAGCACCGAACACATAATCTTGAAGGATCGATTTAAGCAACTAGAAAATGAATCCAATAACACTATCAATAATCTACAGGTAAATTATCAGTTGGCAAATCAAGAACTGAAACAATGCAAAGAGAAGCTAACCATGCTAGAGGAATTTAATGATGAACTTGAGACCGTACCATTTAAAAATCTAAAGTCTCCCACGAAAAGAAGACGAGTACCTTTTAGAAAGAAAAGATCCCCACAAAAAAAAGAGGGAATTGTTTTACATGATGTTGTTGCCATGTGTAAAGAAATCGATGAACTGAAAATAGAAAGGCAAAAACTTATTACAGAGAAGACTGACTTTCAATTGGAAGTATATGAATTAAAGAGAAAATTAACAGACTTTGAATCTGTTACTCAGGTGAATAAATAATGAGATATTTTTAAAACACAAAATCATTTGTCATTTTATTTCAGGATGAAAATAACCCCCTTAAAATGAAGGAAGAATTAGCGGAATTACGGAAAAACATTGAAGAAAAGGATAAGGAACTGGAGAGATTATCAAACAAAATCAAAAAAATCGAAAATCAAAAAGAAACATTGCAATCTGACAACGAAAGACTGAAAATTGAAAACTCCTTATGTCAAGAGGAAATTTCAACATTACAGAGCAAATGCCTTCAGAATGATAAACAGTCAGCAATCACTAAGACTAAAAACAAAGAGTTAAACAAACTTTCAGCTGAATTTAAACAGTTGCAACTAGAACGCTCTAGACTGCATGATGAAAATCAGAAGTTAAAAATTGAGAATAATTTTTTCCAACTTGAAATTTCATGTTTGCAAAACAAGAGTGAAAAAACCAGTGGAAACCCTTGTACACAAGAGGAACAGCATGACAGCCCAGTTCTAGATGATGGAAGCCCAACATTGAATGAAGAAAGCTTAGAACCAATAAATGACTGTAGGCGTGAAAGTAATAGTACACCTACAAATGAAGAAGTTAGTGCAATAATGAAGAATATGGTTGTTCCAGATAAATTATCCCCATTGATTGAACAACGTAAGTATTTTCTGGATTTATTTTTGTTGATTGCTTACTTTTTTAACCAAAGGTTAGATTCAGTTGGCAGTCTTGTTTTTGAAGAAATCACTAAAACAGAAATGTTATTTTTGAATGTAAGATTAGTTGACACCTTGATATGACATTCACAGAGCAGGATTGCCAACCAAATTTCAAAATCAAATAATCGGACATGTGAATTTCCATGAATTCATTATTAATAAATTGTTTTTATATAAATTAGCCCGTCACAACGATCAAGGTTTATCTTCACATGAAGACCACATTAACAGAAGTCCGTCCCCGCACGCCGACTTACGACACAACAACCAGGAATCCTCGCCTGCTAGGAGGGAATTGTTCCAAAGAAATATTACCAGAAAACGCAACTATTTAACGAAAAGAAGACAACTCGCAAGGAAAAAAGCCAAACAGGTGGATCTTTACGGCGCCTTACTTGCCTTGAAAAAAGCGAACATAAATTTCGTTATTAGCAGCAATTCTTTTGAGTCTCCCAATCGTTCGTCGTCTCGTTTAATAAATTTCGAGTGTGATAAAAATATTAAATTTAAAAATTTTGAGAAAAAGAAACCAGTCACCATTACCAAAGAATTAACTTGTTTGTTAGTAAATTGTAAAAGTACATATATGGTACTGAAAGGGTGCAAGGACGATGAGGACGCACCGCTGCTGGGTTTTGTGGGTGTTAAAAATGAATCCTTGGTGTCTCAGAATAATAATTTAACTGTAACAAGGCCTTTAGAGTCCCATATTTCTGCTACAAAGCGAGACACTACCAAGAAGTCTTGCAGTATTGAAAAGAATAGTGACGATGTTCCGAGAAATAATGAACAAGTTGTGCAGATAATAGAAGCAGATGATGAGGATATTTATGTTAAAAATACAGAAAAAAGGAACGATAGAAATAATAAAAAGGAAAAAACATCATTACAGAATAACAAAATCGTACATAACTGTAGCAATAATGAAACAGAAGACCCACTTTCCCATAACGAGGAAGATGAGAACACAGAAATGTCATCCTTGAATACAAAAAGAAAACCACCTAATCAGCCAGAACTGCGCAGAAGTAAGAGAAAACGTAATTCTTTAATGTCTATGTTAAAGAAAAGGAGAACTGGAACCGTGAATAAGTTAGCAATAACAAAATGCACAGCTTCATGTTTAGATGTAGAGGAAAAAGAGGAAAAATTAGAAAATGCCATTAAAAATCGAGCAAATAGCTCTGACAGCGTGCCAGTTCAAGATTTCGTATTTAAGAAACCCACAACAAGACCAAAATCATTCAAAAGGCCGCTTTGTAACAAAAAGCGGTCCCTACAACCACCGGTAATAAACGAACAGTGTGATACTAATGACAGTGGGGTAAATCTAGAGGAGGAAAAAACCGAAGATAGTATTGCTCCTATGGAAACGTCACCAGAAAAACTTCCCAAAACGACGTTTAAACGACCGGTTTGTAGTACTCGGAGTTCTCGGCGATTATCGATGGTTAGTCCAGAATGTGATAAAAGTAACGATAACCCGAAAATTCAAGAAGTAAATAGGGAAGAAAATATTGATTTGGAAAGCCCCAAGTCACCGACGCCCGAAAGTCAACCGCCCCCAGCCAACAAGCCAGTGTTAATTCCTCTAGAAAAAAAAGTACCTGAATTTGAAGAAAAAATTCCATCTAGCAAGATTGAAATGTTGTTCAGCAAACTCATCTTATACACAAAAGAGGAGGAGGTTTTGAACGAAGTTGTGCGGGAGTTTTCTTCCCAAGACCCGGAGTACATAGCTCAGTGAGTAGAAAATTTATATTTTTAACAAGTGTTATCTGTTGAATATATTTTCGAATTTTTAATTAATTTATAGGGCAGTGCTTGAAAGGATCGCTTTGGACTACCATGACAACCCAGACACCAAACACAGTCCCGCGCCTCTCATGACTGAGGTCCAGAGGACCATGTTGGGCTTCATGTCAAAACTAGAAAAAACGAGTGTGATCGGTGTGTTTGACAGTTATTTAACGTTATCTGAACAGAGACTTCTAACGTGTAATAAACTGGAGGAGTTCGGACCCGTCACGAGACTTTACCTAGCAATATGTAAATTGCATAAAAATATAACGCGGATGCGTAAATTGTGCTGTGATGTATTCTATTTTTGCGGTGATTTAGCGATACCATTTTTATTTATAGTTTTAACGTCTTGGCCGGAAGTAATACCTTATGCGGCGGATGCAAAAGGTAATGTCACACACTATGTTCTACTGATTTTTTAGGAAATTGGTTTCAGATTTTCCCTTGGCACGAGTTTTAGTTCAAATTGTGTACACAACTGACTGCAAAAAACCGGGTTATAACCACATGCCTTTGCGGGATATGCTCATCAAGTTTTATGGGTATCCAAAAGATAGGTGGGAATATGACGATTTTTTCAAAGAACTTTTCAACGGATATTTAAGTATGGTTGTTTGACTTGGTTAGTTGCATTTTATAATGGTTTGGGTTGCAGAAAATCCGTCTCGATCGTCAGATTTTGCGTTGTTGTTGTATTGTAAAAGCAGACCCGAAAAATGGGTCTACGAAAAAGTGGACGAACATCTGAAACCGTTAGTCAGTATGGAAATTCAAGATAATTTTAAGGCGACTTTAATTATTCTAATAGGCAACCTTTACAATAGATTTAGTTCCAAATCTGAAGTTAATTACTTACCGCAAATTCGAGAGTGGCTTTCAAGTCTAGTTAAAGGTAAGACGTTTTTGTTATATTTTCACAATTTAAACGTTTCCCTTTTGCAGAAGATACACCAGATGTAGTTAGGAAATGCGTGTATGTTTCTTTGAGTAGGTTAAAGAAAAAATAATTGTTTTAAATTATTTTGCAATAAAACGTTTTTTATAACTGGTTTAATTTTACCCTACAGAAAAAAAAATCTTCGGTTGTGTAGATTGTTTAATGCTTACAATACATTGTACCTAAATGACATCCTGATAAATCAACTTGTAAAATTAATTAAATATTTACAATTTAAAAATTTTCCTAATACTTTTACAATAAATAAAATTGAGTTATATACTTATAAAATCAAAATATCTTACTTAAAATTGACAGCCTCCCCAATTCTTTTATGTGGCAGTGGATCAAAAGGGCTAATATTTCTAATATACTGTTCCAAAGGCAACGACGAAATGTCAGCAGTTAATTCTTCCATAGCAATTTCTTTGTCTGCTTTTGCTTTTTTCGTTGCTTCATCAACAACGCTTCGAATTTCTGTATCAATAGTCTGAAAAAAAAAAAATACATATAAAAACATGCAAACGTTGAATAACAATTTCACCTTTAATTCCTCAGCTGTTACAAGATTTGCAGTGATAATTTTCTCCTTGAAAGAAGTAATAGGATCTCTAGTTTGACGCACTTCTTGGATCTCATCACGTGTCCTGTAGCTTGTGCCTGGATCCGACATTGAGTGACCTGAGTATCTAAAAAAAATAACAATGAAAGTCCGTTAATAAAATGCTTCTTCCAAGCTCGTCCTTTCAATTTTTTCCAATTTAAAAGAAGTGTGTTTTATAAGAACTTTGTTCACCCCTTCCAAAAATTTTATGACGTCATAACTCAAATATTACTTGATTATTTGTCATTTAGAAACGCACCCCTATTTTTATAAAATTTTTTCTCTAAAATTATTGTGTCACTGTCAAAATTTTTACAATTTTCTTGACTGTACCAGACTGTACTAGCTTTCCGATAATTTTTGTTGTACTGTACACCAATGAATCTAGTTATTTTGATGAAAGCACTTTTTACCAACCATTGAAATTTAATGTTAAAAAAATATGTTGGCAACACCCACGTGTTCGTTCCTTGTTTAGTTTGACAGTTAAAAAATACAAAACTTTAAAAATAGTTTTTTGTCAGTGAAGTTATGGGTTATGGGTTGAAGTTGTGGTGAGTCTAACATACAACACGACATATTTAAATAACTTACCTATAAGTGGCTGCTTCCATAACAACAGGACCTTTACCAGTGGCACAATGTTCAACTGCGAACCTAGCGGCTTCCCTAACAGCAAGGACATCCATACCATCAACCCATATACCAGGTATTACATCTCCTCTTGTATAATAGGCAGTATTTGCGGCAGCTCTTTCTGCACTTGTACCCATACCGTAACCATTGTTTTCACATACAAATATGCAAGGAAGGTCCCACAATTTGGCCATGTTGTACACTTCAAACACCTGCCCTTGGTTGGCAGCCCCATCTCCATATAAAGCTACAGCAACCCCATCTGTACCCTTATATTTGGCAGCAAGGGCTAAACCAACACCTAGTGGAACCTGAGCCCCCACAATCCCATTTCCGCCATAAAAATTGTTAGTGTACATGTGCATGGAGCCCCCTTTCCCCCTAGCACATCCAGACTGTCTACCTGTGAGTTCAGCAAGAACTCCCAGAGGAGGAACACCCATGATGTGGCTCCACCCATGGGCTCTGTAGGCTGTAATGACTGCATCATGGGGGCGCAGCGCGGCTTTAATACCCACAGCTACAGCTTCTTGACCCGAGTATAAATGGCAAAAGCCTCGAATAATCTTTTCTTTGTACAAGTTGCCAGCACTTGTCTCCATCCGGCGAATAGTGTGCATCTGGTTGTAAAATTTGAGGGCATCATCTCTAGTTAGGGTTACATTTGTTCCTGGACCTTGTTCTAAGTTATGTAAACGGAAGGGCTACAAGTACAATATTACATAAATAAAAATCCAAACATTATATAAATTTGTTTGCTTACTTTCGTTTCAAACGCTGCTTCAGTCGCATAGTTGTTTTTAGCATTAGAAATTAGTCCCAGAGCTTTCTGCAAAGAGAATTACGTCATTACTAGCTTAAGTAAGAAATAAATTTTATACATTTATGTTATAAACTAATTTCTTCATTGTCGAAAAAAGTGGAATGCGATCGATTACGGTGTAATTGCAGACCTTAGTTTAACCTTGCCCAACTTCCATTCCAAAATTTTCTAAAAAAATATTTTTGAAGTGGACTTACTTTTTGGGTTAAGGCTTTTTTGCCAAGAGATCTTGCGTAGCTTGGTAACATCTTGGTGACTTACAACAGGGGTAGTGATCTCTCGAATATGCGATAAATCGTATGGACGTCCTTTAAAATTTTGGTTAGGGAAAGGTCATTGCAGTCAGATCAGTTGTCAGCTGCGTGTGAAATGTCACTTGTCATAGTCTTGCTCTGTTTATCACGTGAATTAGATAAGGATATTTATTATCTCAAAATTGGCGTCTATTTTAAAAATAAAATATTCCAAGATTCTGGTTTTATTAGGATCCCTATGTAAAGACCGACGTAATTTGTGACGAATGGAAATTAAAAGCAGAACCCGAAAAATAGGTTGAAAATATGTTGTTAGAATGCGCGGGAAATATAAATGCGTTCATCTTGTATTATCACTTTGTACTGTATTGTTGGTTGCCTATACAAAAATGTAATTTTCTTTTATAATGTTATAAGATAAAATTATTATGAATAAAGCTCATAATAGACAATTGTTACGCTGGAAACAGATATATATTTACTCGTGCATTGCACTTACATGCTTGGCATATAAATATAGTGCATATTACGTTGCATAACGTCAAACAGTAGTGGTTGCATCTGGTGAACGAATTACATAAGTGACCTCGTAGGATTTTTTTTTACTTTAGAACAAAATTCTGCTTTCATATTTTGCCTGTTTTGTGCTTTTTCTACAAAATATATGATCTACATTTCTTTTTCGTCTAATTGTTCGGTTTTTACTTGAGTTCTCTTTTATTACCAGTGCGTAAATGCTTAATTTAATGACAAGTTGGACATGTTGTGGAAAAGTGTTTAAATTTTTTATACAAAATGCTTTTACTTCAATTGCGTTTTAAGGACCAAATTTTAAATGTTCTATTTCATTGGAAGGAACATTGAAGAATCGAAAAACTGAAACATCGAGACATCGAAAAGTCGAAAATTTAAAAACTTGATGTGTCGAGAAATCGAGAAATGAAGTCGATTATTCGGGAAACTGGGAAATCGAAAAATTGAAGAATCAAAAATTGAGAAATCGTAGAATTGAAACAGCGAAAAATCGAAAAATGAAAAAAATTGAGAAACCGACAATTTGAAGAGTCGAAAAATGAAAAATCCTAAAATTGTGATATCCAAAATTTGAAAATCGTTGGGAGATGTAGGCTAGGAAAATTTACCATTTTAAACGTGTTTTGAGTTTCTAAGAATTGAAAAAATCATCACAGTTGAGATGGGGTGGGTGGGCGGGCTTTATATTGTGTCTTTTATTCTTAATGTACATAGTATTCTTTGAACCACACGATACTCAAAAACATGTTTTTAATTTCCTGTAACGAAATAAGTATTTTGCAATTAAGCTTCACGGTGAATAAAAAAAAATTGAAAAATTAAAATAGCGAAAAATTGAAAAACTAAGGATTCGAAACATGAAAAAATCCATAAATTGAAAAACTGAAAAATCTAAAATTTAAAAATCGAAAAAGTAAAAAAACCGAGAAATTCAAAAATTGAAAAATTGAAGAATCGAAAAATCCCAAAACTGAAAATTCGGGAAATCCAAAAGTCGATAAATCGAAGTTGAAAAATCTAAAACCGAGAAGTCGGAAAATTGAAAGATCGCTAAAGTGAAACATCAACAAACTGAAATTTAAAAAATTCGAAGAATCGGGAAACAGAAACATCACTAAATCGAAAAATTGAAAATCGAAAAAGCAAAAAATCGAGAAATCGAAAAATCGAAACGCCAAAAAAATCGAAAAATTGAAGAATCGGCATTTTGAAAAATCCCAAAGCTGAAATACCGAAAAATTGAAAAATGGAAGAAACACTGAAGAATCGAAAAACTGAAACATCGAAAAGTCGAAAATTTAAAAAACTTGATGTGTCGAGAAATCGAGAAATGAAGTCGATTACCGAAAAACTGAAAAACCAAGGATTCGAAACATGAAAGAAATCCATAAATTGAAAAACTCGAAAATTTAAAATTTAAAAATCGAAATATTGAAACAACTGTTCCATAAAAAAAATGGGAAAAGAATTGAAGAATGGAAAAATAAAAAAAAAAACAAAATTGAAACATGGAAAAATTGAGAAATCTAAAACTTGAAAATTCGGGAAATCTAAAAGTCGATAAATCGAAGTCGAAAAATCTAAAACTGAGAAGTAGAAAAATTGAAAGATCGTTAAATTGAAACATCAACAAACTGAAAAATCTAAAATTTAAACAATTCGAAACATTGAGAAATAGAAGCATCAATAAATCGAAAAACTGAAGATCGAAAAAGTAAAAAAATCGAAAGGTCAATGTCAAAAGAATTGAAGAATCGAAAAACTGAAATATAGACAAAATTGAAAAATCGAGAAATCGAAGTCGAAAATTAAAAAAAAGTCGAGTAACCGAGAAATCAAAATCGATTATTCGGGAACCTGAGAAATCGAAAAATTGAAGAATAAAAAATTGAGAAATCGTAAAATTGAAACATCAGAAAATTTAAAAATAAAAATATGAAAAAAATGATAAATCGAAAATTTGAAGAGTCGAAAAATTGAAAAATCCTAAAATTGTAATATCGAAAAATTGAAAATCTTGGCAGATCTACTAGGGGAAGAAAATTCACTATTTTAAACGTGTTTTAAGTTTCTAGGAATAAAAAAAATCATCACAATTGAGATGGGGTGGGTGGGTGGGGTCTATATTTTGTCTTATTTTCTTAATGTACATAGTATTCTTTGAACAACACGATACTCAAAAACTTGGTTTTAATTGCTTGTAAAGAAATGCGTATTTTGCAGTTAAGTTGGTTCACGGTAAAAAACTGTCAAAGTTACAAAGCCATCGATTTTTTTTAAATAAAAAAAATTCCGTATGATCTACATTTCGAAAAAAAGTAATTTTATAAAAGTAAAAGTGGCAACACTGCACGCACCTAATGCGTGAATACTCCCGGCTTATTTTCATAGTAACGATGGTGACTGAAATCCACCCTTTATTTTTTTTTAGGACAATAACCGTAATAACCAGTAGTCAATATACGTTAATTATTAATAAAACAAGCTGTTATTTTTCATTAATAAATAAACAAACAAAAAACATTTAGTAAGACATTTATAAATTATAAACAAAAACAAAACCAACAAAAGAAAAATCTATTAAAGCATAACCAACTAAACACTAGAGAAGAGGTTCAAAATTCCTACCTTGGACATATAAGTAAGCTCGTAATGTTTCCAAATTTGGACCTGTTAATTAAGATAAAACTGATTTTGGCAAATGACATACCCGCGAAACAAAGAGAGGGTGGGTGGGCGGGGCTAATACCTGTTAAGATAAGGCTAATTTTGTCAAATGTCATACTCTCTAAGAAAATAGAGGCTAGGCGGGTGGGGTTAGTACCTGCTAATATAAGGCTGATTTTAGTAAATGACGTAGCTTCTAATAAGAAATTTAATTAAATTATTATAAGAAATGATACTAGAGGCTCCAAAGTACTTTCAAATTCTTTCCAAACAGGAATACCTAGAACCTCAAGATTGTTTTAAAATTTTCAGAAAGAAAAAACGGTTCCAAAATTAACTCAAAAACAGGTCAGGTCAGAATTTTCCAAAAATAGAACACCAAAGTCCCCTAAAATTAAAAGCGTAACGGAGAGTTAATCCGTCATTTTCCAGACACCCGGAATAAATATTGTGATCAAAGTAATAGGAAACTGCATTCAAAAACAATTCTCTGGAATGTCGTTAAAAAACAGTAATGGATGTTAAACTATAGATAATGATTTAATAGGAATTATTATTTTCCTATCTTTATAATAAGTTTCAAGTGAAAAATATCAACGTAATCGGACCAAAATTAAGTTGTACATGTGTATTATCGGGCGTGTTCTTGTAAAAACTAGATATAAAGGATGAGTATGCAACGTACTTCAAGTGAGACTTCTTTGATATGACTTAATCCATTTTGTAACAGACTTAAGTACATTTATTAAACTCTCTTGTTTCGGAGATTGCTATCTTAAAAAAAATCCAGCAGATAAATAAAATAAACAGAAAACTTACATATTCGTATTCTATAAGCCATGAGAAGACAAGAAAACATGCAATTTTTATTTCTTGTGGTAACAAAGTTGTGAAATTTTGATACTAGGATTAATTCCTGACATTTGTTGAGTCTTATTAGTGCTGCATAAAATCCATGAGTTTTGTCGCGAAGAGCCTTTAAGTTTATACAGGGTGTCTCAGAAATAAGTACATTAATTTTAACCAGTAACAGAACTCGTAAAACGGAACAACTTTTTTATCTAGCATTTTTTCGAAAACTCAAGTCGAATTTCGAATTTTCCCACCCATATATTCACGAGCCGTCTATGTTCACCTTAAATAATAACTTAAATAATAGCAACACTACAACAATGAAGAAGGTACCGTAGCAACCGTTTTGACACTGACAATCATTTTTATGTCAATGTTTTTATTAAACGTTGTCTCTTTAAAGTTTGTTTGGCACAGATTTCTAATTTATAGACGAAATGTGTTGAAATGGCTTTGTTTTCAAATCTGGAATGCACCGATATCGTTTTAACGTACGGTGAAGCTCGGGGAAACGGCACTCGCGTCCAACGAATTTTTTCAGAAAACCTCCCAAATCGTCTGCCAAATGTGCGCAGTGTTAAGAACGTTGCAGCATTTTCGAGAGTACGGATCTTTTAAACCGGCACCTCAGGATTGGGGTAAGTTACGTAGTAATAGAATTGCTAATATTGAAGAGGCTGTTTTGAAGAGTGTCGAAGCTCGACCGGGCACTAGCACGTATCACTGTCTAGTGTGATATATCGGAGAGTACTATTTGGAGGATACTCAGACAACAAATGTACCCCTTTTAGGACCAGGAAGTTCAGTTATTGAAATTAACAGACTTACCACGTAGGCAAAACTTTTGTGAGTGGGTTAATAGAAAAATAAACGAACAAGCAAATTTTGTATCTCTTATACCATCAACTGATGAGGTCGGTTACACGAGGGAAGGTGTTCAACACCCACATTTGGGCCGATGAAATTCCGTACGCCATTAGGGAGCAGGCTTTTCAATTTCTCTCTAAATGTTTGTCACATTGACAAGATTAGGAAAATACGTATCCTAGTAACTGTTTTTGACCATAAATTATTAATTATAATAATTATTAGTGTTCATGGGTGACTGAGGATCCATGGGCGGGTAAGCTTAATTGGGGTATAACTTTAACAATTTTTAACTTGATAATTAAAAAGTTCTTGACAAAACTCTACTAAAAAAAGTTGTTGAGTTCAATGAGCTCTATAACTGATTAAAATTAATGTACTTATTTCTGAGACACCTTGTATATTAGTAATTTATAAACCTTGCCACTTATCTTAAGTATAACGTATAATCCACATTAAGAACTCGGTCGATGTAGTGCGGACTATGTAAATTAATTCGCCAATCAAACTAAACATAATCTTGCAAGGCATATTTATTCGTAGTGTATTAGAGGGATATAAATGGCAATTGCACAGTAAAGTCAATTTTAAGTTCTTTCTGCTACCATGAGCAAATATTTAACTAAATGATATTAATTTCTTTACATTTTTTATTTGCTTACAACCCTTTTGACTGCGTTTCAGGTAATTACATGAGGTCATTTTCCATTTTCCACATGGATTGTGATGTCCTTGGGCGGTATATGATTTAGTGATTACCTAACGACGTAATTACGTTACCACGTGGCTAAATTGTCACCGGAGATCAAACGTGTATTTGTTAATAATATATATTTTTATACTAAAAGTTATCTTTAACATATAAAAATATTTTTAAAATCTTGTGTACAACAAGTACGTAGATGCGTTTTTTTTTTTTATTTTTTCCAAAACAAATATCTGCTTATTTTCGATCTTAATATTTTATAGTTTTTCAATTTAATAATAATATTGCTAAATGGTAATATTGCCTTCAATTTGACGTCAACATATCCTATGTCACTGGGTACTTTACTATAGAATGTTCTCACTTCACCCTTATATTTATTTTATCATCATACCACCAATATAGCTGGTTTTATGGCCATCTCTAATTCACTTCATTTACGAGAGATTATAAAACCCAAAAACCTCATATTCACGTTGACGTCTTCACACCTTGAGCTATTTTGCACTGTATGGTACCTACTCTTAATTTTACAGTTTTTTTTTTTTGTACCAAATTACTATTAAGTTTTATTTTATCACCTGATTAATTATATTAAAGTTACAAACGTATCAGATCATTACCATTAATTCACTAGACTACGTTTCTGAAAAAACTATAGTTTAGTCTACTAATGAAGGCACTGACGTTTTTAAATTTATTATAATTAAGTGGTCATTACAACATTATCAATAATATATGCAGAAGTCGTTACGATGTCGGTTTAGTATGTGCAAAAAAAACTCTCTATGTGTGGAATACATATAGGTATAAATAATTAAGCTTTCCAGTGGTGTACAAACAACTACTTGCTGACGTATTGAGACGGTAGCAAAAAGTTACTAAATCATAATAATAAATAATATTAGTGTGTAAAACTGTTTACTTTTTAAATATATTAATATTAATACATTTTTAATCAAAAATGGCAACTGCGTTGCTGCAGAATAAACGGTTTATTTTTGCAAAAAAGATTCAGTGTTATTTATAAGCAATAAGAATATTTTTTTGAAAACCGTACATCCAGATTCAAATAAGATAAGAACACAAACTATAAAACTGAAATAAAAAACTTGCGTACTACGTTCAGCGTTGCATTAACTACCAACAAGTATTTAAAACGCAGACCAGATTCTTTATCCTCAATCTCGACTAATCTGCATAAAAATGCAGAATACATAAATTTAAAACGAAAACAAAAATAAATAAACTTGCGCAAAAAGCGGGTTTTTCTTTGTGGCGGACATCCCACCAACGTAATTTACAATTTAACTCGTTTTGAATACCGAGTAATTTATAAAATTTGACGCAACCAGAACTATTTTCTCGGTAAATTTGATTATCGTCAATTTAAATGCAAAATAGTGCGGAACCGGTAGTCGTAATTTCTCAAAGCGCCTCCAACCCACTCGGCGTAAATTTTACCAAATTCGCAAATTTGAATCTTCATTGTTTAATAGCTGGATACGACTGATTAATTAATGCGAGATTAATTCGCAATGAAGGTTAATGCGCAAAACGCTTCTGAAAACAGGTTGGAAATAGTATGCGGGATTTTTCGCAGAACGAATATACACGTATTTTTCTATTTTTGTGAAAGGTGACGAGTCGAGAGGTAAAAATAAATGTCTAGGTGTTATCACTCGATGCACCTGCGCGTGCAACAGGAGGTAAATAAAAATCGTATGGGTTTTGCAATCACATTTATTTCAAAAATCGCTTTATATAAAATTTGTAAATGCATATAATGTCAAATTCGAAAAAAAATTACTACATTTCAATAGGTTTACACTAACGGATTTTGATTAACCAATAAACACAGACGTAGAGAGAGTAATCTGCTTATCACCGGCTGATCAAGACAATGCGACCTGCCCAACAACTTGTCTCGTTCATTAAAAAATACAAAACATATAAAATTTTCAAAGAAACACAACAACATAGATTGAACACGCTTTCAAAGCTCTTATGGATTACTAACACATAAAAATTGAGTTTTGGAAATTACGTCAACATCACTTCCACTTTTTGAATAGCTAACTTACAACTAATATAAAGCAACAGATCATACTTCTGGCACCATTATGGGCGCGGCTCGAATTTAACCGATTTTTGCACTACCAATGTTTTCCTTAAATAAACATTTAACGCAGATGCAGTAAAGAACTTTTAACTGTGAATAATAAAACTTGTTTCGCATAAAAAGGCGCATATGTAAATATTGTAAGGTATTAATCTCCGTTCTATGTAGAGAACAATTAATGTGAATGAACTTAGAGAATAAGAATTTTTTTAACTAATAATGTAAATTAAAAATAGTTATTATATAGTTATTATAAGTCTGTAACTAATTCATCAGTCTACAACACATTATCATTCAAGCCTTAGGCATTTGCAACTAAAGGTCAAACTTATTTGTTCTTTGCGAATCACGTGCTATTAAATTATAAATTTCGATTTTTTAAGTACCGTCCATGAGTTAAAACAGCAAATAAACAAAATAAAAACCATGTAGTACCATTATTGTATTATTAGCTATTATAAAGCAATTGAATAGACACTACCATAAAATAGCAATTTTCCAATTATCATTATTCGTGTAATTTGAAGCGGCGGAAGCTCTACTATTCACATCTAATTATGCACAAGCACAATTTTTCCAGGAGAACCTCCAAAGGTTTAATACGAGACGATACTTCAGTTGTAAATACCTGTCAGACTTGTGCAGCGTAAGTATTTTTAAAACGGAACACTTCAATGCCATTTTTTATGTAAATGAGCTTATAAATACTACGTTTTAAGTATTTATCCATATTACTTTTGTTTTTATTGTAAATTCATAAAAACGTTGAGTTTTGGCACGTTTTATCAAACATCAATTTTTGAAAAGAGAAAACCAATACACAATTGTAAAATCAGTAATGACTAGCTTTTTTCACAGTAACAACTCTAAAATTACGGTTAATTTCCAACAATATATTTGGTTTGAATTTTGTGATGTAATAAAACTTTAGCACCTTTTCAGAATAAAAGTGGATAAAAGTACTTACAACTAGGTATTCTTCAAAAAACAACTACTGAAATCAAAATTTAAACGTTTTAATACTGTCTAGTTAACGACTATTTCGTTCCTCCATTTTTCATAATTCTAATTGGTTTCTTAGTTCCGTTTACGCTAAGTGGTTGCTCTTCGTCTACGCACTTCTTGAGTTTCCTTAAGAAGAGAAATATTTTTAGTCTTGTAATCATGGTTTAAAAATTAATAACACTTACTTTCCAAAAGCTTCGCCTTCTTCTATGGTTTCTGGCAGCTTCTTGTTCAACGTTTCTGGTAAAACCAAAGATATGACACCTCCAAACAATGACAAGGAACCAAAAACTATCAAAGGAAGAGGGTCCCAAAATTTGCTCTGAAATAATAAACCAAAATAATTGCGTGTTTAAAAATGTCATACTAATTTTACCAGTAGATTAATGTAAGGTGAAGTAATCGAGCCCATGCGCGCACACGTAGATCCAGCACCTAACCCAGCATTTCTAATGGCAGTGGGAAATTGCTCAGTCGAAAAAATGTAAACTGCTCCATAGCTAGCAGTAATGGCTAGTTTTCCGATCATGGCTAAAGTAACTATTAACCATTGTTGATCTTCAATCATAAAAATTAGAGTGATTTAAAATAAGTTAACCATTGTTACCATTTGGAATGGCCATAGTAAGTAATAAAGCTAACCCGGCGGTGATCATGCATCCACACATCACAAACTTGCGTCCCCATCTATTCAAAGTCAACAAAAGAAAAATGTAAGCAGGAATTTCTACAGCTCCGGATATAACGAAGTTGATGTACGGATTTCCCCCTAAATTATTCGTGTTCCAAGAGAGGCCATAGTAAGTAATATTATTTGCAAACCTGCAATTTCTCGGTTAGTTGTAGTTCAAGGACATTTCAATTAAACTCTACCAATCAAATAATATAATCAGAGATCGTTTTCTTAAATTGGAATGTTTGAAAATATCCAGTACAGTCGCTTGATTGTCTAGACGATTGACAGGTTTTGCATCGGAAATGAGCAAATTGTGCAACTGGTCGTCCGTGATTGTTTTTTTGTTTGCTTTGGCAGCAATTTTAATAAGGGTTTTAGCTTCACTTATTCGATTTTGGCTGATTAACCATCTCGTAGATTCCGGGATAAACCTTGACGAAATCATCACATTTTAGCCACTGAAAGAACACAGCTCACTTCTTAACATCTGTCTGCGAATGGCCGTTAGAAATAATTTTCTGTTTTTTAAGAAGTGTGCTTGTTCTTCCAACGGCATACTCACCACCAGTAGCAAAAGAACACCAAACCGGGAATGGTCAACGCCAGCTGAAGGTTTCTCCAGTCGTTGATGTAAACAGCGAAGGCTGCAGTTAGCATGTAGCCAGCGGAGAAGAACATTTGGCACCCCGTTCCCGCCAAAAGCCGCTTTTGGGGTCCCACCATCTCCAAAGCTGCAACTCTTTTTTAGTAACGTGTACATGCGATATCGTTTTTTTACCGATGACGTAGGCTACTAAAAAGACGCCTGAAGTGGTAGCCCCGACGATGGCTCGAGCTAAAGAAAATGACCATAGTTCTGGTGCGAAGGCGGCGATTAAGCCAAAAACGACTTGTATTACTAGAGAAATGAAAAAGATGAGTTTCCTGCCGAATCTAAAAAACAAGATCGTCATAATGTTTGCGGGTTTTTTGTGCGAAGCATACTTGTCTGATAATTGCCCGAAGATTATAGAACCTAACATAACTCCTACCATAAAAATTGCATTGCTGGTGGCTATCGTGTGAGCTTTATCACATGTGAGTTCCCACTGAAAGCGTTATTATGCACTATTAAAACGCAGTTAATCGAAATTTTTACTAAATCTATTTAATTTGAGGATGTGTAAACGCTTACTTCGATTACTGCGGTGTATCCATACACGTCTGTGTCATAGACATATTCGTGGCATTTTCTTTCGGTATTATTAACAAGCATGACGCACGACGAATACTTTTTTTTGAAAGAATCCCATGGATAGGATTTATTCAATATTTCGGGGGTTAGGTGATAACTGGCATTGGGAAGTTCAGAGGGTAGTTTGCACCTAAAACAACGATTGCTGCAGTGATTTCATCCAAGGTTAGAAGTTTCTAATAGTTAAACGAATAATTTTTAAGTACATACTAGATTTTATTGTTCATATTTCACGCCACTAACTTATTTAAAAACTTAAGAGCCATTTTATATTACAATATTTTAATTGAGATTAATCACGTGGTACTTTAATGCCGTGTTAAAAATTTAATCGCAACGAAATATTTAACTGAGCTTTTGTAAACTGGTTCTAATTAGACTACAAAATGAAGGGCTATAAATACTACATAAATAATAATATAAACATTTTTTATCAAAATTCCTAGAATTCTAGGAACACAATATTGTTGATATCGGGTGAGCAAGATAATTCGTGATCGCCGTTGCCTGTTTTCAGAAAACGTATGCCGGTACTTTTTAAACTCATAACTGTTAAATGTTAACTATCGTATAGAGCTCACCCGATATGGTAATCGCTATATTTTTTGCACAGAAAAATGTACGTCATTTCAACTTGTTATTGAACAAAGTACTCGTAATATATGCAGTCTGATAAACTAGAAAGTACAGAAACGTTTTCTTAAAATTTTTGCTAATTAAGACTGATTTGGTAATTATAGAGCAATAACAAAATTTAATTTATGTATCCAATGTAGAAAATTGAAGAGGTCTATTAAAAAAATTATTAAATAAACTGTATTTTGAAATGTGGTCTTGCTTGTATTATGGTACTAAGTTTTTAATTCTTACAATTATAGTGTCTCAGATACAACAAGGTTATATGGCCCCACTAAACTTAATAATGGGATGTTATAATTCCTTTTGTGCGGCTCAATCCTAGCGTCATAAATCAAGGATTTGTCTCAATATCTTGCCACCTCAATATCTACTGCTGGGTAATCCGCTTAAATATTTTTCGTACATTAAACCCACACAATTTACAAATGTAGGTTTGCGTTATTAACTGATCCATTATCATCTTCACAGTACCCTAATTTTACAACACCCACATAACGTTGTAGTATCTGAGACACTATACTTTCAGAGGATGAATCCTATGAATTGGTTTTTGCTTTCAGTGTTTTTCAAAAAAGATCCACCTAAAGTGTTACAAGATAAGTACATTTCAATTACACCAGGAAAAACGATACTGCTTTTATTTTAATAATAAATATTTTATAAATCTTTACTCAAGAAATGAAAAGTAGATCTCTCATTTCCGCCTGCCTGCCTCTGTTGGCAATTTAATAGACATATAATCTCCGAAATTAGTGAACTGACTGTTGCGAAATTTAAACGTATTTGAGGAATATTATATAGATGGTGAAACGCTAATCAAAATTTGTTTGTTTATCCCCACCAACATTTGATGACGTAATCTCTAAATTTTGCTAAATCGTTAGTTAAATCCTATATAAATTTAAGAAAATACCTGTGTTTTATTAATTCGCTCTTATTTTGATCTTCAGCAACATTTTTGGGAAAAAAATAAAAATTGATAAGTACCTATATTTAACTTGTATAAAAAATTAAAACAGTGTAACTATAAGTACTTATGGTTTATCAGTGTACTCATATTTTTTAGAATTGCTGTAAAACATTTTCGTTATCTGTAGTTTAGGTAATAATCTACACCTATTTTTTTATTAGATATACAAAAAAAAAAACAAATTTCGCAGAATTAAATTTTATCATGTATAGGGTAAGCACGCGGTTTTTATATTTCATTAGCTGTTAGAGATAAAAAAAAGTCAAAGACCAATGTTGTACGGTTCTGTCAAGACTATACTCTACAATTATTTTAAACTCTGAAGTATTTTGTTTTCAAGGCATAACAGATCACTTAGTTTTTTTTTGATGAAACACTACATATTTTTTCATATTCTCACTAGTTTCTTCCTAGGCTTTATAACTACAGTTTATTTTTGAAATTCCGATGCGACGTTGCCACTATTTCAATTTCTTGAGTTTTTTAACAGTGTCAGTCTCTTAAAAATTAAGATTAAGCCCCATACACCCACCCGCCCCGATCTCAATTGCGATGAGTTTTTTTTATTCCTAATCAGTCGAGGGGCGGAGGTTAATTGTAACATATTATTTCTCTAGAAATTTCTACCCTTTTAAAGACACATTTCATATAGTAATAATATAGTAGAGAAGTGAGGATTTTGCAACTAAACTCCGCCTCCTTCAGCTCACGATGCATAAAACATTCACCACAATTGAGAACGGGTGGGTGGGCGGGGCTTATATTTGGTCCATGTTTTCTTAATATACGAAGTCTTCTTTTCCCAACAAGAAACTGACAATATGTGTAAATATGCTGTTGTTGAAAGAAAACTCTATATATTAAAAAAAAAAACAAACATTAAGCCCCACCCACTCGCCTTACCTACCTACTGAAATTCGGAATACTATATCGTATTAAGTAATAACTATTATGATAAAAACTTTTACACTGTCTTTTTTTTTTAATTAAATTATTATACATATACTTATGTAGTTAATGAGCGGCATTTAAAAATATTTGAACATGTTAGTAGAACTCTTTCTTTTATTTATTTTTATGGAAAACTGTAAAATATTAATTAGCTAGCATTAATTAAAAAATATCTGTATCTAGAGTTTTTGCATAGCAAATCTTAAAACTTAAAAATTAACGTTTTCCTTGTAAATCTAAAAAATAAGTCGCAGTTTAAATGTAATATATATATTTAACGTTCAGCTTTTTATCATGTTCTCAAGAGAAAAAAATAATCAGCCAATTAACACTGTTTACGTTATGAATTCTCATTAATAAATAAAAAAGTTGGAAGAGAGAATATGTATTTTATAAAACACCTGTATACTCGTATATTTGAAACCATAATACTTTTGGGAAAAAATATTTCACATTACAAATACACTAAATGAAACGCAGATTGTATTTGTTGCATTGTTTCAATAAACTTTTGTGTTCCAATGACATTTAAATGCACTTTTTTCCTTCTGAACAAAGAAGAGTGAGTTGACTTTTAAACCGCCGCTGATGACGGCACTACTTTGACGATGTCAGATCCAACTTTTCTAAACTACATTCTCGCTTCCGTCCCACAAAGGTCAGCTCAGATCGAGTTGTATAATAACTTATGATATATTATTATTATGCACATTATCCGATTTATAAAAAATCTGTTCCAGATATCGTGTTTTAAAATAGCGATATCAACAGCAAGTGACCTACGGAATTATTCCTATCAAGTCGCAGATATGAATAATTCCTTGAAGAGTGCATATCAAGAAAAATGTTGTATAAAATGCAATTTAATATGCGTCTGATTCATATGCATATGTCTAGAACGTTGTACTGTTGTACATATTTGATCACTCAAAACAATGACTAGAATAAATTAATTTAAACAGGTTTTTTGTGTATTTAAATTGGTTTTAAAAACAGTTAAAATAGTTTTGTTAATAATATGTACATAAATTTAATACAAAATTATGTATCCACCTGATAACATTTATCGGGTGAAAACAGTGATCAGAAGTGTGATGTATACACTTATGTCAACAGAATATCTAATTAATTATGTATTTTTAACCTGTTTATTACGGTGAAGGCTAACTAGTATCAATCTAACCAAAAATAACTGCTTCTGCGGTTAGATATTTTTTCTTATTGTTTACATTTAAACAAAAAGTCAACATGTCATAGTACATTGGAATATTAATGCACAAGTCATGAGACCTGGAAAAATATGTTATGACAATTTTATGATACCTGTCTTTTAATCTGCCATAAAAGAGATCAATAAAAGATTATTGTCATCATACCTTTTAAAAAGGATTATCGGAATAGTCAAATGAAGTGTAAATTCCATAAAAAATATATATAATGTTCTGTGAATAATTGGGCAACAAAATTAAGCACTTTCCTTACTAATGTATACACTATTAGCCTAACTTTTTTTAAATACACGAGCACAATCGTTAGTTACGTTCATATTTAATTACGGTGTTTGATAAGTCGGTAATAAACGTATATCGCTTGCAAAAAGCCATAAATATGGTGTTTTTTTTTTGTAATAGAATAAGAATTTTATACAGAATTCTCGTCTCGTTGTCTTTTTTGCTACACATATATTAGACATAATTCACTCAATTAATATTTTACGTAAAAATTTCAACTATTCTTCTAAAAATTACAGTAAATTGGTAATGAATTTACGTTTATGGTTGAAATAATTAAGAAAAGTGCAATGACCGACAATGGGAAAAAGTTGACATCTACAAGTTTACTGTCTAGAGTCGCAAGTATTTAAGCTCCACGTTACTACTTAAATATACATAAAGTTTCAATACCTTGGAATTTTATCTTAGTACGAGTTTTATTAGTTTTTTAGCTCCTCTTTAACCGTCAAACATAATTTTCTTGATTTATGAGCTTTCATTAGAGGGTCACTTATCGATATAATCTTAAGGTTAATTATCTATAATCAGTTCCATAAATTTCCACACAGACGTAGTCACAAATAATACTAAAATCGCTACTTTGACCAGACCACACATTTATTAAAAGAGATCTATTGTTGTCTGGTTACCGTCTTCTCGTCGCACTTTTCCATTATTTATCTTATAATGGAAAATTATGCTCATGTATGGATCAATTGATTAAATTTCAAAACAGCTACAAAAGTTATCGACGATAAACTTACGACACATTGTCAAATATCAATATGCGAACGTAAAAGGGTCAACATAATCTTACGGAAAAGTTACTAATAATAGCAGTTGAATGAACGTCTATTTATATGAGTGTTATTTTATAATTTAAATTAAACCATCTTATTTTAAACACTTAAAAGGACGATGGTTTATTTATTTGGATTTTTTATGCAACCTGTTACACACTAACGTTTCACTAAGTTTGCCCAGACCGCTCTGGCCTACTTTAGTTTCTAAATAAGACATTCCAAAAATTCAGAATTAGAAACGAGAAAAAATAAACACGTGATTTAATTACGTTGTTATAAATAAATAGTTGACAATAAATATTGACAATGTTTATTAGTGGATGACACTTTCATGTTACTTTAAACAACAGGCCAGCGTTTATCAAACCTCAGTGTTTACCACACATCCGTAAATGAAAAAAATGTATGTGATAATATGTATAAAATATATTGAAAATATTGATCTTGAAATTTGTGTTAAGATGTGAGACAGTGAAATAAAATGTAAATACTTCTATTAATATTTAATCTTCAGTCCAAGTTCCACAATTACTCATTCATTCATAACATATTTAAACAACTACTTACAAAAGTAGATATGTGTGGTATTTTTAATTAAAAAAAGTGCAACTTCATGTGAACTTAAATTTAAAGCAGGGTAAATTTACGAATTATTACACCCCCAAGGTAATCATAAGATAAATTAGGGAATAAAGCAAAACAGTAGTGTAATTAGTGTTGTAAGTGCTTCTTTTGTAATCATTTAAATATATTTAAAAAATGTGCTGCTGAAAGTACTTAAATAACATTGCTATACGTTACTTCTTCAATTGCGGCAATGTTAACAACGTAATGTTTAATAACTAAGGTTGTAAACAATTATATTACCTTCAGAAACAATTATGACATTATCTGTGTTGTATATGGTACACAATTGTACAGTTAGAAACTCAAAAACGTGAAGAATTCACTTTTCATACTTTTGATACACAAATTTATAAATTATTATTACAAACAGAAACTTATCGTTGTAATTAATTACAAATTTGTTTTAAAAACTTAAAGAAAGTGCATTGACTTCTATGTTGACACTTAAACCATTAACGAAGTATTTGTAACTGCCTAATTAGCGGCACTGGAACGTTGGTAAATATCTTTGATTACGCTGTAACATAAAAGATACATACGAGGAGTTTAAGCTCATAATAAAATAATTTGCCACAAGACATGAATTGAACAAAAGTTTCGAATCCAGTCGACGAAAAAATTACTGTCAATATTTGGCGATTACTGCATTTTTTTAAAAAATATTTAAAATAATGAATAACTACGTGCTTAATTGTATACTAGCACATACTGGTAACATTTACCACTGAAGTTGATTGCTGACACAGTTTTATTGCTTTGCTAATTAAGTGCCTGTTACAATATCAGCAATCAAAGGTCGCCAAAATACACACAATTAATTGTACACTTTCGGAATTTTTAAAAATTGTTCAAACATTCTCAAAATATTATTGACTTGTTTTTGAGAGAAGAAAGTGTTATCTTTAAGATAATACATTGATTTAGTAGGTATTTGTAATTTCTGCATTTTTAGTTTTAATTCCTTGGAACAATTTTTATCACATTTCGATTCAGTCAATGACAAATTTTATCTCTTTGGATCATGTTTCAGCATCAACTTCGGTACATATTGCTGAGTAATCCTTGACTCTGATCAGGGTGATAAAATAAAACTTGTTTGAAAATTTGCTAGTTGTAGTCTTGAATTGCAATTCATTTAATTACCTTTCTTTTTTGTCTTCTTCATTACTTACGCATTTGTGTTCCACCTTTCTAGTCTATTTATTCAATTTAAGATATATGCGATTAATTTGTTTCGAATTTAAATTTTAGTGTTTACATGATACGAGAATGATATTTTGTTGTTTTTACATATATTTTTTGAACCACATATTTTTATGTCTAATGCAGCCAATTCGTAAATAAGAACTAACCAAATGTAAAAATAATAAAAATGGTTATTTGGTTCTAGTAATTGAACAATATTGATTAGTACTCAATGATTACAGATATATGTTTAACATTAAATTTAAACTACCGTTAAAACAGTTTATGTGTAATTGTATGTGGTAATAATTTTTTTATATAGTTTTTACGTCTAAGTAGGTGCGCGTGACGTATTTTTTCCAAAAATCAATTTGTTTTCACAGAATCTTATAAAATATTATGTGTTACACAATATTACGCTAATTTTTTCCATTCAGTCTGTTAGAGCTTTTAAGATAGTGTCCGTCAAAAATATTGTTTTTAATGAACACAAGCAATTAGATAATAGATTAATCATGAATTGTAAAATCAAATTTAATGATATATAAATATTTTAACAAAAAAGGAAAATAAAGATACTTATTTGTAGAATACAAGTCAAAACAATTGACAAATAATATTTTTCAAATTTTTCTACTTTTTAATTCACCTCAAAACAAAATTTATTAAGAGTACATTTAGTAATGAGCAAATTATGAACAAAGATCTAGTCAAGTGTTACAATTTTTTCAATGCATATTATCACAAAAAGTAGAAAATATGTTTAATAATTAACAACGCTCGTATTTTTCAAAATTTGTAAATATGTACATACATTAATTGGTTGCCATTTTGAATAATTTACAAAACATGTTTTATGTTTTTTTTCCTGAGCACACAACTTAAATTTACTCAGGAACCCGTCCTTAAACGGATAAAAAAAGATATGAAAAAATAAAGTGGCTCAACAAAGAGACAGTGTTTTTAATTCTTCTAAATAAGAGTGAATTTAAAACTTTACCTGTATTCAGGTTCAGCAACGAGGAACACGTTGCCCAGTTTATGAAATGCACAGAGTATAGCTGGAAGGCATAATAGGAAATAGATGCGCTTCTGGTACCTTCCAAAGTCGCCTATTAATGGAATTACATCGTCGTATCCCATTTTATCGAATTCTGAAAGATAAATGGAACGGAAATAATTACAACTCTTGTGATAATCAGTAGCTTTAAAAGCCTTGTAGCATCTGACTTGCAATAATAAAATGTTTTTTTTTCAGTACCTAAAAGGTTTTTCTAGTAGTAATGGTATTTTTAATAGATAACGTCGTTATGCAAGCTTTATCACCATAAAGAATTTTTTCAAAAACAACAATCGCTCCTTTAATTTTTAAATCGCTGATGCAGACTAAAATCTGTAAACAAATCATACAAAAAGAGTAACTAATCACTTTCTACTCACAAATACCGGAATAAGTGATAATAATTAAAGAAAATGAAAAACTAATAAAACTAATTCGCATCCAAAACGAATTTAGCGCGTCTGCTGGCGTAACGACGTTACCTAGCAACGCGCCTAATGCGACCTCCGAGCCAACTAGGGCCGAACTAATAAATCGATACAATAAAATACAAGTCTACAGAGTAATCTCTATCAACCAAGAAAGTAAAACTTACCGATTTTACAGACAAACACTAATAGAGCTCACATGTAACACTCGCTACTTTAAAATCGAGCTTCTACACACGTTTCGGGCTAAATCGGGGTTACCAGTCTTCCAACTCAATTTTTACGCTGGCTTGTATGGAAGATGCAAATAATTTGTCTGGACCAACACACCGTCACGCCATCGCGATCATGCGCCCAAGAAAGATTCAAACAGCATGAGTTCTTGGGTTTGCTAAAAAATCGCTAAATTTGCGCAATTTTAGGATTTTTTTTGGGTCGGCTGCCCCAATTTCCGACAGGGATGATACAATAATAAAAGCAAATGCGAAATTTTCCGAGGGAAAAAGCACGCTTTACTTGGACTGGTGGTCGAATAAATGAGTCGACGGTGGTGGTACGCTTTAAAATAAAGGATTTACACGTAATGCAACTCGGGACGAGAGGTTAACTAATAATAACGATTTTTGACGAAGCTCGCATAAATAATACAAAAAAGTTTGAGGACCTCTGATCTGTGGTATTACAGTTGTCGACATTGCCGGCGTTGGGTATGTTCTGTCTTTGTTTGTTGTAGGTTATTCGTATGTGTTTATCTTTGTTTGCGAACTGTCATTTTTGTCGCTCGGACTGGTGTCAGACGATTTTTACTCTTATGTAACGTGTCACTTTGGCGCAATTTCGCAAGTGCACGCTTACAGTATCGGAAATTATATTGATTTGTGTCAACCGCAATGGTGACGAAGTGTTGAGGGTGTCGCGAAGTTGTATCTTGTATTTAGGCGAAAAAATTAATTAAATTGTCATCATGGCCACGTGTTTAACGTTAATTTAAGTTTAGTAAATGATATAAATCTACTCTGATCAGGTAAATAACGACAGTTTTGTTTTTATCTAATTTTGAGTAGTTTTTCGGGATGTAACTTTGTTTATTGAATAAACGCCCATTCCGTTTTAAATTACATCATATATGTAGTTGCTTGGTAGGAGAGTGAGTATGTTTGTGGTAGGTAAAATGTCCGCCGCTGGAACTCCATCCACAGACCCATGGGTCATTCTAGCCCGGGAAAGAGCACGTTATGACGAACAGTTCAAGTCCTTAAAACCCAACAATGGGGTAGTGACAGGAGAGCAAGCCAAGGGGTTTTTCCTCCAATCGCAGTTACCACCTTTGGTTTTGGGGCAAATATGGTAAGACCCACTTTAATCACCCCATATCGGTACTAAACCTCATTTTATAGGGCTCTAGCTGACACCGATGCCGACGGGAAAATGGACCTAAATGAATTCTCCATAGCTTGTAAACTCATAAACCTCAAACTGCGAGGTTACGAAGTCCCGAAAGTGCTTCCACCGACTCTTTTAGCATCTCTTAGAACTAATACTCCGCCTGCTATACCTCCTCTCCCCAATCCCGCTTTAATAAGTGCCCCTCCTAGACCAGAGCCGCCGAAACCAGCCTTAATGCAGAATCAGGTACCACCAACGCAACCACTTCTGCCCAACCTAAGTGGAGGAGGCGTTATGAATCAGCAGCCTCCAATCAGTGGGATTCCTCCAATGATGGCGGGGATTCCCCCACAATCATCCGGGGGAATTCCCACAGGAATAGTGCCTCCAATGCAGAGTGCTATCCCGCAAGTTCAACCTTTAATCGGGATGGGAGCGCAGCCTTTAGTCAATCAAGTAGTACCAAACACCGGTTTTCCCACTGCTCCTTTGGGGGCTAGCGTTCCACCCATGCCTAGCAATGTTCCGTTGATTCCGGGGGCGACGGCCGTACCGACTGCGGCGGCAGCCCCCATCGTTCCCGCTCCACATATGTCTCCAGTGGGGGCAACTACAGCCATTTCGAGCGTGGCGCCGTTGGGGCCGGGGGCCACGAGTACCCCCCGATCGAGCGTTGCTAGTTTGGATAAAACTGCGTCAATTGAGTCACCGTGAGTGGTTTTTTTATGTTTCATAGTCTCAAAATTGAGGGATTGGTTTTCAGACAAGTGGATTGGGCAGTACCACACCAAACAAAATTGAAATATACACAGATTTTCAACACAACGGACCGAACGCGGTCTGGGTTTTTATCTGGAGCCCAGGCTAGAAATGTTATGGTTCAGACCAAGTTACCACAAAGCATATTAGCGCAAATTTGGTAAGTAGGGTGTATTTAAAAGGGTAAATTTTGCTTTTGTTGTATTAAATTTTCTACAAGTTACGCTGAAGTTGTTTTTTTTGCATAACAAAAGATGTTTTACTATTGTGTATGTAGTTAATTCAAAGAAATTCGTGGTGAATGGGGAATTGTATGTGGTTACATAAATCAGGTCATATATCTGAGGCCGTTGCTATTGTGTAATTGTGTAAATACCATATAATAACGAGGGATAACTTTAAGGAACTGTACAAGGGCGACAATAGAATGTAGGCACCCGTGTTGATGACAGGAAGAGGGGCTTTACAATGAAAATGACAGCTCAATATTAATGTACAGTTAGAACCGATTTTCTAATGTACAGTAATAAAACTGTGTAGAAATGCTTTGAATCACAGCAGCTGATTTACTCCAATTTCTAAAAATATTTGGGTGCGTTTTTCAAGGGAGTGGATTTATGGTCGAAAAAATGACCCTCTAGTAGGGCATGAAATTTATTTTTAAAATAATGATGTCGGCATCGCATCTATTTGACCCTTTATTTGACCGTAACTGTTAAACCGAACGGAACGCGTTTAGTGTTACCAACACCACTTTTTTTTACACTAAATATCAGAACTTTTTTTTTAATATTTGTTTACAAAAACTAACCTATTTACTAATCAAATACTAACCGTTCTACCGTCGCTTACTACATATAGACTTTTTTTTTTAAATAGTGAATTACCAGCAACGGTAAATTTAATTGCTGGGGTACAATATTACGTGTACCGGATGTTGTGAGGGTTCTCAAGACATGGCAGCCTTAATTCTTGGCCATGTTAATTCCTTACACATTACGTGCTACAGTTATGTGACCAATGAACTCGGTTTATGTTGGGATAATTCCTGTATTAAGCAGATTTTGTTGTTATTTAGTAACATAATTTAAGATCAATTTGAAGTGGACCTTGGTGACTTCTGAGCTATATTTTCACCACAACGACTAATGATGCGTGATACTCGTTTTTTCCAACTCTGATTTTTCCAACCCCTCGTCTGTGAACAAATAGCACCTTGAACTAATACTGCTAAAGATAGCCGGTTCTGTTTAGGGAAAGCGTGCCAGGCTCTATTTCAGTTTTAGAAGGTGTCATAAATTTACATCTAGTACGTTGCGTTATTCGTTGACAAGGGTAGTCAGAGTCATAAAATCCCCATATCCCTTGAGCGTTTGGAGAATACAAAAAGATAATGAAACAAGAAAGAGGTAGATGTAATTTTCAATAGATTTCTTCATTTAATGAATTTCCAATTTTTTAAAAGATAATGCTAAGTTAGCAAACCGTATATGTGGATGTCAAATTATGTAATAAATAATTAATTCAGGTAATTATCTGTGTGACAGAAATTTGATAACAAGTTGATAAAACAGATAAAAAGTAGATTTTTTACACATACCTCACGCGTCACTGAAATATAACAAGTACATCTGCTATGCCAAAACGGATTTGTCGATAAAAATGTCTGTTTTTTTTTAATGACCTCAACTTTTTGGACGCGATGTGCGTATTGATTTTGGCAACTACAGTGTAATACAAATCATAATGTTAAAATTTCCTCAGTCATTTCTCTGATACCAATAAAATACAGTGCAACCTCGATTATCCGGGCCGACCGGGACCAGATGTTTGCCGGATAATTGAAATGAACGGTTAATCAAAATTATTTATTTATTTAGGGAAATACATATGTACGGTTAAATTAAACATGTTTTACAAAAAAAGCTCTCAATTTGGTTTGTTTTTTAGTTTTTAATTGTTTCTGTCTAATGAACGACTTCATTTTTTGTAAGTTTAAAATGGTAAAGTCATCAATATCTTGCTTTTCAAAATAATCAATCAAAGTATTACAAGCTTCCAGTGCTTGTCGATTTGTAATCTTATTGGAAGTGTGTTCTTCAAAGATATCATCATTTTCATCTGACTCTTCTTTGTTTTTTTCGTGATCTTCACCTGACTCTTCTTTGTTTTTTTCAGATTGTGCAATTATTTCTTCTTCAGTAAAAGTTTCAGTCCCGTGTTCTTGAAAATCGCACTGAATCCAATTGTCAATTACTTCAGCATCGACACCATCCAATGTTGAAATTTCGGAGGCAATGTTTGCTATGGCATTTGTAGTAACTTCACTCTCTACTATCGTTTCGTTCATATCTGGTACATCTTCTAATGTTAAAATTTTTAAAAATGCTCGCTTTATTGTGACATCTTTTACACAACTCCAAGCCTCAGCAATGCCATAAATCGCGTCCTTAATATTTAGATTTTTCCAAAACGTCATTGGGTCAGCGTCTTCTTGTAATAAGTCCATCATTATCTTTTTTCTGTAGTATCTTTTCATGTTCTCGATCACTCCTTGATCCATTGGTTGGCCAATAGATGTAACATTTGGAGGAAAGAACGCTGCAGTAATATTTCCATCTTCAGATTTCAATACTGTCTCGTCCATATGTACAGTCGCGTTGTCAAGAAGTAACAGAGCTTTTGGTGGCAATTTATTAACTTCAAGAAATTTTTTGACTTGAGGGATAAATTTTTTAAAAAACCATTCTCTGAAAATATCTCGTGTCATCCAACACGATTTTTGATTATAGTAATCCACGGGTAGATTATTTCTGTTAATGTTCTTAAAGGCACGTGGATTTTTTGACTTTCCAATCACAGTCAGTCGTAGTTTATGTCGTCCAGTTGCATTGGCACAACAAAGTATGGTAACTCTGTCTTTATTGGTTTTAAAACCTGAAGCACATTTTTCAGATTCGTGAGCTAAAGTTTTAGTGGGCATTGTTTTCCAAAATAAACCTGTTTCGTCGGCATTATATACTTGATCCAATTTTAAATCACGTTCCAGGATAATAGAGGACCCAGGTGGGTTAGGTAGCTTCGTGCTTGCCCGCTACACCCTGGGTCGTGGGTTCGATTCCCGCCCGGCTCTGGGTGTTGTGTATGTCCCCCGTTCCCCTGTAATTGGGCCTCCGGCCTGTTGGGGAACGTAATCAAATAAAATAAAAAAAAATAAAAAAAAAAAATATTTTCAAGCTCATAACAAAACTCAGTTAGAGCTACCTCGTCTGCACTCAGTTTCTCGCCTTCTATGGATAGCTCTCTTATTCCATGTCGTTTTTTAAATCGATATAGCCATCCATTTGAAGCCTTAAAATTTTCTCCAGGATTCAGTTTTTCTTGAAATAGTTGAGCTTGACGTAAGCACATTGGTCCCAAAATTGGCGTACCTTCAGCTCGTTTTTGTAGAAACCATTTAATCATTGCTTGTTCCAGTTCTTCAAACGTGGAAGCCTTCATTGTTTTTCGTTGGGAAACCACTTGCGTACTATCGGCTTGTAATAAAAAAGCCTGTAGATTTGTTTTGTTCTTGACAATATCGCGAACTGTTTGACGCCCTATTCCAAATCGTCTAGCTAGAGCTGCCACATTTTCTCCTAGATAAAACGTTTGTTTCAAAATTTAGATTTAATTATATATTCGACGAATATCTACCTGACCCATTTTGTTTGAAAATCTCAATTTTTTGTTCAATGGTTAGAACTGTACGCTTTCGTTTAGCAGAACCACTTGCACCTGGCTGATCCATAATTACTATATAAGTGTTCGATATTGAGTGAATATATTACGCTTTTACACCACAAAGTTTAAAACAGACTAAATAAATGTTAAATTAATCAGCTCATTAATAAAAAACGCTGTGGTAGCTATTATGATTTCAGTTTCATGCTTATACCACAACGCTGTTATAGGTGGGTAACATAATATTTTGTTTTACAAATCACATTTTAGCTGAGTTGTCGGCATGCTTGCATTTCGTGTTCGGCACGGATAATCGAACCACGGATAATCGAGGTTATCTACTGGCACGGATATTCCACCGCCCGGTTAATGCGCACCCGGATAATCGGGGTTCTACTGTAATCTGTTTCCATATTAATTTTTTGGGAAATGTGTAGAAATTGGCAGCATATTGGTGAAAAATAAGTACCTCGTATCGCATGTCATGTTTTCAATCAAGATCTATTTAATGAATTTTTTGAGATAAGGCCATCAACTTTTTGATGATGATGGATATATTAATTCTGATTTATGCAGTGTAATATTAGTCATAACATTGCTATGTTACCAGTTTTGGGGAAACTGGATCACCTTTTGCAGAAACAATTGATCAAATAAATCAGGTCATGCGTCAATTTTTTCAAACTCTTGTAAATAAAAACAAAAACACCAACCTGACGTAGTTGATAGGTGTTTGAGGTGACGGCTAAATAAACTTGTATTGATTTTCTGAAGTCGCTAAATCAATGATGGTGTTAAATTTTTGTATCGTTTTGGACGATATTAAAATATAAAAAAAAATCAGGGTGACCTGTGTAACAGTTGAGAATATCTGTCTAAAAATTTTTTAACAGACGACGGACAAACAGCAGACAGACGACCGGAAATAAGAGATTCAGATTCATTCAGTACGTCTAATTTTTATGATGAAGTCAGATTGTAAAAAAATATAAAGTTCGGTAAGCAAGTTAAGAAAAAAACTTTAAACGAACGAAGTTTAAGAGACGTATTTTTTCTTCTAGAAAGGAATTTATAAAAAATTTTTAGTCAAATTATGGGTTAATTGCATTCATAGAAATGGAAAATAAAATTTTCTTTTTTTACTTCCCCAGCGTAAACGAAGGAAGTATTGTAATCGCGCCCGTTGGCCGACTCTCTGCTTTTATGTTTCCTCGACCTTTCCGTTTGTCTGTCTGTCTGCCATCACGGATTTTGATTAGACAGTTAATCTCCGAAAATACTGGGCCGATTGTTGTCAAACTTCGTATTTATATTAGCAGCGCAGTGGAATTGTTGTGTTATATATTATAAACATGTCTCTAAAACACGGAACACTTTGATTCAGTAGATCTAATTGTCCCCTTTTATTCTTTAAAAAATTGTTAAAATGTGTTTTTATCAAATCTTCATCTGAGGGAGTTTGATTATCTAAAGGAAATTTGAAAAAATCTTCTAAATCTATAAATAAACCGCATCGACTAATTTTTATACCTAAATGTTCTCCTAAGGCTATAATGGCATCGGTTTCGTGATCTTGGCTCTTTAGTTATTTGCCGCGTATTATACAACATCGAACTAACAGTTTTTTCACTTGTTAGAGATTTGAGTGGACCAGAAAAATGGCTAAAATTTGTTTGACCACAAATTTTAAATATTCTGCCCCTGTATACTCAATCATTTATTAAAGTATTTTATATCTGTAAAGCGCAATGGATTTTTTAATACAATTTCTACTAATGTACCTTTTTGAAAATTTAAAATTGATCCATAAATAGCGAAAACCAGATAATCTCAAACTCATCACAATTTTAACGCGTTGTAGTTTCTTTTTGACAAAAAAATTTAAGAAACGGAAAAGCAGTCTGGGTATGGTTTTTTACGCTCATTTTAACGGTGTGCAGAAGTTTATATGTATTTCCATATGCTGGAATATGCTTTAGCTCACCCTTAAAATGATGAAGAGCTTATGTATATTATGGTTACTTGGTTTCTTAAAAAATCTGTGCTAAACTCATTTTAGATTTTAACTCTCTACTGGGTTAGGTTAATCTTCTCTTTGTGGAGACGAACCAGGTATAATAATCCCAGCAGATCAGGGAAACGATTCGTAGAGAAAAACAAAACAATATTTTTGAGTATTTGGGTTAAAAGTAATTGTAAAAGTGACTGAATTACTCAAAAGAAGTAATTCGTTACAATTACTCATTACTTGAAAAGAAATTGAAGTACAGTAATGAATTACTTATAATTGGATTATTTCCAACCCCTGGTAAATGATTTTTAAATTGTATGTAAAATTGATGACGTTATCTCAAAATTTAGCCAAATAAATTCTACCCAAAATGTGCAAAATATGCTGAGATTTTACTTGTGATTCATCATTGCATTCATATTTTTTATTGATCAAATTAAGAACAAGTCACCCCATTTTTCCTAAAACGTGAAAGCATAAACGTCTTTATTTAATACTCCTAATTTTTCTAGTGAAATTATGGGTTTATTACATTCATAAATAGAAAATAAAATAAAAGTAGCGTCAAAACTAGCTGCTCGCGGATAGTTTCCTTACTATAAAAATATTGTACGATTCTGTTCAGGAAATAAATTACTTTCGGAATGAGGATATTTTTGGTTTTTTCCTTGTTATAGGCGACGCTTTGGCGTACATGTCTAATCCACCTGATAAATTTACATTTTATTAATATCAATTAATTATCAGCATTGCATTAGTGTTTTTCCCGTTTATCGGTTGTTATCTTCACTGCAGGAATCTTGTAAGTAATTCTCTACTTTAACCTGTTTTGCTTAGTCAGATTGGAGATAATTCCGAAGAAATATATTTAATCAGTATACTAACGGATATGGAATGTTCCAGATGGCCTTATAAATATTCACGTAATGACTTTGCTTGACCTTCTAGCCAACAAACAAAAATTAATTCAAATATTAAACATGGGAGGGTGATATGTGGCAAATATATTGAAATCCACTTTGATTAGCTTGTTAGTTTCATCATTTTTAAAATTTTGCAAAAATATTAGATTTCAAACAAGTTGCAAATTTTTTTCAAAAAACACTATCAGGGAATAAGTCTCTAATTTCAGTGCAACAGTGAATAAAATTAAGAAAAATCTTTAAAGTCATTTACACATAAGTTCCTCGCCCTTGAAGCACAGTATGCACAAGAACAAATTTCTTTATGGCATTTTTTGAAACACGTCATCGATTTTTAATAAGTAATAAGTTCGTAGGTTATCAAATGTATCGTTTCTCTTTATTGATCTTGGATGAAATCCACCCGAAGTAGAGATCCTAAAATTAAATGTAATGTAATATGAACGGGGAAAAGTCAATTTGTGTCATCGTGTAATTTGTCACCGTGTATTCATTCTAGGGGATTGTCTGATATGGACGCTGATGGCAGGCTGGGTTGCGAAGAATTCGTCTTAGCGATGCACCTTTGTGAACAATCCCAACTAGGTAATCCACCTCCTGCAAAACTCCCTCCAGATCTCATACCACCATCCTTTAGACGTGGACCAAGGACAGCATCAATTTCTAGTCAAGGAAGCGGAGCTCCGATTGAACAGGACCCTGCTGCAACGCTGTTACAAAGTAACCCACCTCACAAAACGTGTTACAGTTACATTTTCTAACAAGCTTAATTGTAGCTTCGTTTGAGGATAAACGTAAAGAAAATTTCGAAAAAGGTCAGGCGGAGTTGGAAAGACGACGAAAAGCTTTATTAGATCAACAGCGTAAGGAAGCAGAGGAAAGAGAAAGGAAGGAACGCGAAGAAATCGAAAGAAGAGAAAAAGCGAGACAGGAAGCGGAGAGGAAGAGGATGGAAGAACTCGAGCGACAAATGCGGGAGCAACAGGAGCAAGAACGACTGAAAGAAGAAGAGAGGAAGCGACAAGCGGAACAAAGAGAAGCCGCTAGAAGGGAGATGGAACGACAGCGACAACTCGAATGGGAAAAGCAGCGATTGCAAGAACTGCAACAGCAGAGACAGAGGGAACAAGAGAACGTGTTGAAACTGAAAGCGAAAAGCCAAAGCTTGACGATAGAATTGTCATCTTTGAACGACCAAGTCAAAGAACTGTCACAAAAAATCTGCGACACCCGCTTGGGGGTGTCCAATGTTAAAACGACAATCGACGGTATGCGATCTACTAGGGATTCTCAAATGCAAGAAATGTCACAACTGAAAAATAAACTAAAGGAGCAAAATACGAAACTGTTGGCTTTGTCTCAAGAGAAGGCGAAGTTAGACGCAAAGAACAAACTTAACGCACAGATGGGTGGACTTGATGCGGAACAAGCGAAAATCGCCTTCGAAAATAAAGAAATCACGATCAAGAATTTGAGGGAGAAAATAGAAGACATGCAGAGGCAAATCGAAGGGAAGTTATCAGACATCGAAAACAACAACACCCAGTTATCCGACTTAAAGACACAGCTGCGCACACTCGTCAGTGAATGTGAAAGTTTGTATAGTGTGTATGAGGAAAAGAAGACTAAGGTTCTGGAAATGAAGAATTCGAACAAAGCTATGGATTATAGCGGGGGTTGGAAAACTAACGATGCTTGGGGAGATGATGGGACGCAAGCACCTTCTGACTGGCCAGTTGATAACTGGGGAGCAGCGGCTGAAACAACAGAACTACAGAGTGATGCTGGAGTTGTGAGGTATAGAGCACTGTACGAATTTGTAGCTAGGAACTCAGACGAGATTTCTTTCCAACCTGGAGACACAATAAACGTAAGTAGTCTGTGATTTACACAATTTGTTGAACATTCCGAGTTTTGTTAGGTTACGTTGTTATAACAAACTTGCTATTAACTTTAATTTACGATTAAAAATGTAAATACTACATAAATAAAGTAGAAAATTGCAAACTGGCTTGACGTAAATGTCATCCAATCAGTTTGTCCAACATGAAAAAAAAATATATCAATGCCTACTTTATTTGAGAAAATTAATAATTTGACAGTCGAAAATTTTAAAGATTTAAGTATTATTTATTTATTCATTAGGTTCCTACAAAACAGACTGGAGAACCAGGGTGGTTGGCGGGTGAAATAAGGGGGCACACGGGCTGGTTTCCCGAATCTTACGTCGAACCTATCGATGGTGTAAGCGTCAGAGATACACCAGCTGTTGAACCTTTTGCAGAAGAAACGGAAACGAAGCGTCTAGAGTAATTTTTACACATATAGACGTGCTCGTCGTTACCAGATTAATTTCAGGGGAATCGCCGAAGTTCCTGAAGTCACCGAAACAACGAATACTGTAGTCGAACCGCAAGAAATCATTCCCCAGCCTGAACCATCTGAAGAAGTCGAATACTACATAGCCAATTATCCATATCAATCTCAAGAAACTGGTGATCTTACGTTTAACGCGGGTGATGTAATAACTGTCGTTAAAAAGGAAGGGGATTGGTGGACGGGCAAAATCGGTAACATTGTGGGTATTTTTCCAAGTAATTACGTTCAAAAGGTGGATGTGGTAAGTTTCCGTGTGTGGATTTAGTGGTGACTTACGTGTGTTTTTGTTAAGAATTCTGGCACTAACTCATCTGCTGCGAATACGACCATTCCTCCTCCTCCTGCTTCAGCTGCAGATAATGCTAACACCCAAGTAGATAATGAGGTTTCTCAAATCAACGAAAATAAGGCTGTTGAGAAACCATTAGACGCGTCTATAACCTCGAGTGCACAGGTTTGTGAAGTTTCTTCTAACTAATTCATCTACATTTAATCAAGGAAACAATGCTTTGGTGAAATTAAAATAACCCCTCACACTCGTTAGTTTATTTGTTATATCGTCTCAGTAAATTAAAAAAAAATGATATGTTGAGTTAAAATTTTTATATTGAAAGTCAGTTATATACCTACATACAAATACAAACAATAACTGACTTAAGTTCGTTACAGAGTAGAGCTAATCCGGTCCTGTTCGAGATTTGAGGACCACCATGCTTCCACTGAGCATCTACAATTTATGGTTGTATGAATGAGGTGCCTAGTTTCTGTAACTTTTAGGTTGTAAAATTTTATTAGTATACAAAATAGTGCGCGAGGAAACAAAGTTCATATAGAAGCTTTAAAAAGAGATTGCATTTAAAAACTGAAACCGAACTTTTAAGTTAGTCATTGTTCACTGTATTTGTTTTGTCTTAGGAATGAAATTTGTGTACTATATATTTCAGTACTGTTACTACGACCATAAAATCAGGAAAATGAAACCTAGCGAAGATAACAGTTTAATTTATCTTAGTCATTGATTCTAATTTTACATATAAGTATAAATTTTAACAGGCTATTGTTTAAAATTACCAGGTTTACACACTGGTAGTTGACGTCGACAAACAATATTGTCAATTTAAATTATACAGTTACTTATTATTCTCATGTTTTTTTACAGAGTGTTAAAGGTAAAAAGCCCGAAATAGCTTCAGTTATAGCGCCGTATCAAGCAACAAGTGCGGAGCAATTGTCTTTGGCTCGAGGTCAGCTCATTATGATCCGTAAAAAGACGGATTCGGGCTGGTGGGAAGGAGAACTGCAAGCTAAAGGTCGAAAACGGCAAGTTGGTTGGTTCCCGGCTAGTTACGTCAAGGTTCTAAACAGCAGTGGGAGAGCTAGCGGTAGAACGACACCGGTTTCTACAACTAGAATGCAGCAAGAAGTCGTTATAGGTTGACTTTCATGAAAACAAGTTTTTGAAAATCTAACTGTATCGGTTTCAGATAAAGTAATCGCCTTATTCCCCTATGTCGCTGGCAATCCAGATGAGCTTAGTTTTGCTAAAGATGACATAATTAGTGTAACAGCTCGCGAAGAAGAAGCATGGTGGAGGGGGGAGCTGAACGGAGTGTCTGGGCTTTTTCCTAGCAATTATGTGGCTCCACTCCAACAGCAATGTAAGTAAAAGAATTTCGAATTCTAACTGCATGCATCATTTTTATTTGTCACTGGTAGAAATTCACCGTTTTGTTGTTTTTGTAGGAACATAACAGCACCCATCCTACCATAAGAAGCTGAAATAGTCGGAATTAATAGGGAAAAACTAGAATTATAGTGGTATAAGTTATACTCAGAATGTATGTGTATTTAAAAGCTAGTAAAATTCTATTGCGCTCCCTGTTTTAACAAGATAAGTTTTAAAAATTATGCTTTGTTGATTGTTATTTAAGTTTGAAAGAATCGTCATACAAAATCGCTAAAATCTTGTTATTTGAGTGACGTCGTGTCAATACTCTGTTGTTATCTTGTTAAAATGTGGTCACGTTGAATGTTAACGATGTGATTTTCATTGTTACTGTCTTGACTACATTGTGATTTATAATTTTGCTCATTTATTTTTTTATAAATATATTGTATTTATTTTTAACTTTTCAGTGAGTTTGGTAGGGTGGGTGTTGTTCTATTGGTAAGAAGTTTTAAATATTTATTTAGCAATAAGATTTTATTTCTACATATCTTCTCAACAACCACCCCACTAAACTACACTAAGGTCGAATAAATTAAGTTTGAACAATTTGCCTTTCCTGTTATGGAAATTATGTTAAATTAATTTATATTTGGAGAATTTAGGGCGCTTCCTATAGCACGGGAACAGTTACTCTTTTATTGTCATTTACAGCTGCTGACAGATCTTGCGCGGCTTAAGTCGTTCACTTAACTCTGTTAAACAAGTGACACTCGGTCACTATCCGCGCTCTCTGATACCTACGATATTTATGGCAACACTTGTTTATCTCACTGTTATGTAGTTGAAAAAAAAAATCTTTTTAAATACTCAATACTTTAAATGATGTAAATGTATTGCAAAATTAAATATATGCCACGTCCAGCCATTTTTATTTTTATGTGTGAGGTTAGTGGGTGATGATTGGCAGTACTGAGGCAAGTAGTCAATATTCATTTCTCCAGCAAACACGATAAACAAAAAGCGCCAAGATTCCATCAGAGAGTTTATTCAGACTGAGAAGGTGTACGTAGACGACATGTCCACAGTACATGAAGTTTTTGAAATACCTCTCAAGAAGAGTGGTGTCATAGCCAAGGACGAAGCAGAGAAGATATTTATGAATTGGCACGATATTTTACAGTGTAATCGGAATTTTTTGGCGGGTTTGTACGACTGGACGAGCTCAGGAAGCGATATACTGGGGCCAGTTATCAGTAAACATGTAAGTGATCGCAAATTTTTCGTTAGTGTGTGTAAAGCAAGCCAAACTAGGTAAAAACTTTTTAAAAGTGTGCAGACAACCACTCCACAGTTATAGTAGACGCCACTGTTTTACTACTTCGTCCAAGTATCAGATCATTAGAATTAATATAATGCACAATAGAACATGGTCTTGGGTAGATTTTTAATACTGAACAGTTTTTTCATCAGTTCTCTTTTTTTTTGTAGTCAGTTTGACTTGCTACACATATACATCGACGAAAAACCTGCTGCATTTTATTGTTAATATATCTGAAGCACCCCCACTGAGAGTTTTTGATCTTTTAGTTGCGCAATATGCAAGTTTACGAAATTTTTTGCGTCAAGCAGCTAGACAGTGCAGCTCTTTTACAAAAAGTGACAGAAACTTCGACAGCATTTCGAGATTTGATGAGAAAATGCCAAAATAATGTGGCTACGAAAGGAATGCCACTTTCGTCGTTTTTAATAAAACCGATGCAGAGAATTACAAGATATCCGTTACTAATAAGTAAAATTATCGAAAATACTCCACCAGACCACCCTGGTAATTATTATTTAGTTGGCGTGTGTTTGTAATCGCTGAATGGTATTACAGATTATGAATCGCTTCAAGAGGCTTTGAGGGATGCGGAAAAGTTTTTAAATGATATGAATGAAAACGTGAGACAAAAGGAAAACCAGGAGCGTTATGACTGGCTCCAAAGATGTGTTCAGAACGATCTAAATATAGTTTTTAACAGTGAGACGAATAAGTTAGGTCCAAGGAAGTTGAGTCATTTTGGTGGTTTAAGTAAAGTAAGAGATGAATAGTACATGTGACACTTAACAACTTTTTGACTTTTGTGAATTTAGGTGAAAAGTGGAAAAGAACTAGTAGGTTTTTTATTTAACGATTTCTTCCTTTTAATTCAGCCCAGCAAGAGCTTAGGCACACAATTTACATTCCAAAGAAACAATAATATTAGTTATAAAATGTACAAACAGGTAGGTGTTTTTACAACCAGTTGAATTCTCGCGTATGATCCTGATTTTTAATTCCAGCCAATTTTAATTCAAGATTTGACAATTAGTAGAGAGAGCACAGATCATGTCGAACAAGGAACAGATTCCAACAGAGTGATAAAAATGCAAGACAATAAAAATAAATACACGTTGTCTTTATTAGCGCCCACTGTAAATGAGTGCAATTTATGGGTGAAAAGGATTGAAAAATGTAAGGAAGTTTATGAGAAAGTGGAAAATTTGTCACAGCTGAGGCCAAAAACGAGTAAGTTTTGTTGTTGTTTGTTGTGAGTGTTAATGGTTTTGTGCGAGCTATGAAAATCGATGTTATATAAAGCTTTTGTTTCTAAACATTTAAATATATAGAGAGTGGTCACATATTTAAAGCTATCTTTTCATTGGAGGATCATTTATTTCATTAATTTAACATGTCTGAACAGTTTTTTTTTTATTAGCGTATTGCACAAGTCTGACCTAATTCGTTATATGTAGTTGTATAAAATAAACAAGTCTGTGCATGTTCATAGCCTTCACTGATATATTATTTCAAGGACATTTTCGACAAGTCTACACATGTTCGTACTGCTTATTGCACAGTATGACATTCCAAGCTTTAATATTTTTCATTTTATACCGGAAGTGTACAGACGGTTCTCGTTTTTGAAGTTACAATAAAAAATATATGTAACTAGAACAATTCATGGTTGCCATTTTTACCGAGTCTTATGAAAACTGTCTCTTGTGACCAAAAAATATTTTTCGTAGTAGAATTAGCGTGAGTGTATTCTCAAAGCTTTGTTATTTGTGTGCAGAGCCGCATTTGGGGAAATCTTGCGGTCGCCTTCTTGTTCTTGTCCAAAAAGGGAAACGCTTTGTTTCGTCCGGTAAGCCAATTTACATAATTTTCTTTGCATGATTTCAGTTAATTTTGATGGGATTTGGCTTCGACTAACCATTATTGGTGCTAATGAAATAAGTAGTAGAACTAGACACAAAACTAATAGTTTCAAAAAGAAAGGTATTTCTAGCATGAAGCTTACCAGTCGACGGCACTTCCCACAATGCTAATTTGTATCTGTTGGACTGTAGGTAAACCTCATACCGACAACGTGTACTGCAAAGTTACACTGGGAGATCAAAAGCAGCAGACGGACTTGTCTAAAGACCAAGTTATCAATGGAAACGTTCCGCAAAACGGGACACCTCAAGCTCCGACGATAGTCTGGAATTCCAGTATGCAGTTCCAGTTGCGAAATATTGACACCGAAATCGTAACTTTTACGGTTTTTGGACTGAATCTATACTGCCCGGATGGTAATAATTAATATGGCGTATCGAGAAATTTAATTAGTTTACGTTTTCGTTGTAGAGTTTTTGGGGCGCGCTGATTTAAAAGTGACGGAGGTATTTCGTGAAAGGCAACACACCAATGGTCCAATTATAAAAAAGTTAATACTGCATCAAGTAGAGTCAGGTGAAATTGTTGTTAAGTTAGATTTACAAATGTTCGATTTTTAAATATTGTTGACAACTGGAATCACAATTCCACCCAATCAAAATGTTAGTTGATATTGTTATTTATACATATATACAACACACTTTACGTGGTTATGTTATATACAACATTTTTGTATTTTTCTATTGTTGTATAATTTTTATATGACAATGTAAGTTATTGTGTAATGGTTATTACGTAGAGAGCATATTTATTTATATTTACTGGGTGCTTCTTCTGCCTCACCACAACTAACTGTAATTCAATGGTGCTCACTACCAGACTATTTTAGTTGCAACAACAATGAATATTTTTTATGAAAAAAGTAAAAGACAAGTGTGACAATTTTTGTGTAGCAAATATTTATGCCACTAGGTTAGTGTGTAGCATTTATTGTTAGTGCAACTAAAATAGTAGCACAAATTATCATTCTATTGTTTTCAGTTGACAATAATAATATGATTGATTTAGGAAGGTTATTTGTGGTGAGATCTTTCGTACAAATGTGTGTGGATTTTACATCCATTGTGTTCTAATAGAAGAAGTAATTCCTCATGACATAATTAGTACATCACATTTTGTAACACTATACACATAATGTACTACCGTAATTAACCCATTTGAAATGACTTAGCAAGTCTTATTTATCTCTTGCTCATCTTCATGACTTTTCAAAGATAACTTGTTATGCAACTTTTGAGGTGATAATGTTAATGTGCAACATAATAGGTAAAAAATCATGCTTTAATAATGTTCTCACAAAAAGTATGCAATAAATAATATAGAAATAACATTTTAATTTTATTTGCAACATGAATGTAAGATTTTGGTTAACGTTATTCACTTTCCTGACAACTTTAAAGTGGTTTCGACCACTTAGATTGGATTTGGATTTCGGATATTTATAACCTTGAAGTGAACAAAAATGGACATCCCATATCAAGAAATGAATACTATTATAATTAGTGAGAGAGCAATAAAAGACACGAGTAGAGGCAGCCATGGATTTTTGAAGATTGTCTTTGATCGAATTTTCAAATCCTGTCAGATTACCGTCAATTTGAAAGTCTGAGTTGAAAACGCAACAATCAAAGACACATTTTCAAAAATCGATGGTTGTCTTTGGTCGTGTTTTTTATTGCTCTCTACAGTTTTCAGATTACGGTAGGCTATGGAAATGTTATTCATTATTTTGATTGAAATTCTTGCTGTTTTTCCAAAGGAAATATGCGAATTTTCGACCGATGCTAACACGTGGTGTAAATTTGCTTTATTCTTTGTAAATTCACAGTTCGTGTTGGGATTTTAATCATTACTGGTTCCAACACAATTTAACAGTCATGAGATTGTTCAGAAAAAGCACATGCTAGGAGATTTTATGAGATTCACTTAGTCAGTATTCATCCTTTGTTTATCAAGTTATAAATAAGGTTTCTGGATGGTTATACTTAGGTGTTACATTATAACACTTCTTAGTTCCTCACACAATATTGCTAATAGTTCATTTACGGCAGTTAAATCAACCTAACCTCCCACGTTAGGGAAGGGATCGTGAAAAGTGTGATAGAATTCATAATATCGTGCACTGAGGGACGGGGGAATTAATTTTTTCCCCGGACATCAACGAGACGTATTTCTCGCGACGTGGGAAATTACACCACCGAGACATAATTCTCGCGACGAGGGATGCATTTTATGTTTATTTATCATGTGTTTGTTTGGGATAAGCTGGACAGTTTACGATATAAACTCTCAAAGCTAAATCACAGACTACAGCTGAATGTTCTAAGTAACCAGTCACTTGGATCAAGGTCTAATTTAACATAATGCAAATTCTTCGTTTGAATCGTTGATACTGTGTGGCAAATATTAACCTCATGTAATTTTATTAGCTTTGATGTATAATTTAAATTGAACGTTAATTTTCATGCTCTGCAGTTCCTAACCTCACGTAACATTTCTCATGTTCAGATCTTTTTTGTTTTTATAAATCTTTGCTAGTTTTTTCCCATCTAAATATTTTGTTGATTAATGCTTCCATCATAAATTGTCTGATGTCCAATCTTAATCTCAAATAAGAATTCTTTGATGTTTCAAATTTCACTAGACTGTATGGCGAATTTAAATGTTGTTTATTGTTCCTTTTGAAACTTTAACACTAGTTCGGTTGTAGTTTAATATCAGACAGAAATTGAATATTTAAATGGAATTGAGGTAAATAACACAGAAATACGTGGCGGAAGCAGAGTGCGCGGTCCTAGTCGAGCTGCAAAAGACCCAGATCTTGAATAGAAGTCAGGGGATCGGTCGGGATGACGTGACGCTCCCGGCTTGTTTTAATAGCCGGGATTTCCAACCACGAGTTTGCGACCGTAACGGCCTGCCCGCGCAGCACGTTTCTTCGTGATAGAGGGGTGCTAGGCGGCAGTGCTTGCCGATAGAATAGAATCACCGTCGTGGTGGGAGAACAGCCATAACCAGAAGCCCCAAATTCCGCTCGTGCTACAACGCCTGGGGTACCTACTTCTTTGGTCTTCGGGACACGAGTAGGTCTTCCGACCTGGCAATGAGCGAATCAATTGCCAACCTAAAAAGTGACATTTACTAGTTCTCTAGACGGTCTACCACTCTAACAACTGAAGATCTCCACACATGGTTGCCTATGTTTAACGTTTTTTCACAGTACAGAGATCATTGATGATGTGGTTTTTCTTAATTTGTTTTTCAAGTTCAAATTATTCAAATGCGGTTTCGCGGCGTTGTTTTTTTTCAGCGCGAATTAATTCAAACTGATCAATCGAATAAATAAACATCAGCATGCAACTCCTTAAATTTCAAAAGATATGACGGGACATTTTTAACTTCATTCTGTATATTGGGTTGCATAACCTCAGAAGTTATAGTGATTACACTCAATGAACGAAAATAGTCGAACATTTCAGGGAGGGGATAGTATTTTCTTCCCCGCTCAGTAGCTTGCTAACTTGACTTCTTTTTTACCGGCGCATGCTCACTTGGCCTACATTTAGTAGAACATTTTTCTGACTTAAATATATGAAATGCAAAATGCACATTTAGGTTCTAAAGTGAATCAGCGATAAGTTAAATTTTTTCGTCTTACTATTAGTTAAAATACCGTTGCAACTATGTATAATTGCTAAGGTGTCAGTAATCTTCAGTGTAATTTAAATATATACGTACACAGGCGGAACTAGTTAACAATACTTAAGTAAGTACTTCTTAACAATCGAAACAGTACCCTCCCACGCTTCAGACATGTTCGTGCGAATTTTAGAATAATCACTACATGACGTTTTCGGTGTGAAATCACTGACGAAGGAATGCAAAAACAATATAAGAGAAATCTCTTTAACGATAGTTATAATACTCTCAAAAAGGAAAGTCTTGTTTAGGATGAATTTATGAGATGAAAGCAAACATTTCTTTTCAGGGGTGAAATGATTGGTCACGTAGAAGGTTGCCACCTTTTGCGGTTGAAGAAATGAACATTAATTTCTATACATTGTTACCATTATTGTTATACAGTTTATTTATAGAATCGATAGTTTTGATTAGTGCTGGTTGTTTGTAAGCAGGGCTATGGTAGATTACTTAACACTTAAATATACTTTACAATTACAACCTCAACCCATCCAAGAGAAGTCATTTTTTGAAGTTGCATATCACAACTTGTTTTCTGATAAATTATTTAATAATTTTTTATACGTTTTGTAGTACCTAAGTCAATAGTAAATATTTTACCAAGACTAAAGTAAGGTATAAAATTCGATGGTGGAGACGTGTGGTGGCACAATATAATTGTGGAAAGTGAGGAGAGATAAATAAGCACGACCTCGAATAGTTTAATGGTCAGAACACCCGATTGGCAAGTGGAGAGAATTCTGAATACATTTCAGAATTGATCTTCACACAGTTATGAGAAAATATATTATGATTTATTTAAATAAATTACAATAAATAAATAAATAAACAAATAAATAAGTGTTTTTGTTAGATTCCCTTTTGCAAACAGGAGTCCTCGCAAATGTGCTTTTTGTATAAAATAACAGTGCTATCTTAATAGGAAGTCTTCCAGTCTCTTAATTCTACTTAGTTTACATTACAACTCGTCAAATTCGTCTACATTGCATATCTATATAAGATGATATTTATATTTAAAACAATTATGGAATATTCGCACAGAGTCCAAAATTTCGAATATCTCCACAACTTCCCCGCCAATCACCTAAGTCACTTGTTATTTTTGCCACACGAACACAGTCTTAATATAGTTTGTCACGTAATCACTCCTCTCTTTCACTGGCTTTCGCATCCTTCGTGCTATCCGACTCTTCGGGGAAATTATAAATGGGTTTAAATCCACCAATCAACTCCGGTTTGAAATTTTCTATATCGAATTCACTGGTGGTTGCTAGCGGTAAAGTTGTCACTTCCTCCCCTATCTCGGTGGTGGATTTATTTTTATCTCTCACCACCGACCACCCTTGAGACATCGAATCTAAGTTCATGCTCGCTTGAAAAGGGGCTTGAAATTCTTGTTGATAAATAGTCGACGAACTTTCAACATCGCTTCTATGGTTTGGAATTTCGTCATATTTGAATTTATTTTTTAACCCCAGATCGATCTGAGGGTGGGTGTGCATTACTGCACTCACTGTAAACTCGTTATCGGGGTTACCACGAATGGGATCTGCTTTATCGACAGTTCCTGGGCGAATTTCGGGAATTACGGGACTTCCGTAGTTCGGCATTGAGTATTTGTCGTATTTGTGGGGTTCGGTGGGTGTGTACGCAACAGCAATTGGTTTCTCAGTGTAAGTCTTCAAAGTGACTGAAATCTGATTCGAACTTGATGCCTTCAGCCCATTCACTATTCTAGATTCAATGTTTTCACCTATGGTGTTCCACTGATTACTCGAAACAAAGTTATCCGTCTCTTCCAAATTATTCCCGTTGTTGGAAGGAGTTTCCGGAATAGCTGGACTCAGTAGAGAAGGATCGGGTCTTTCCAGAGGGTATGGAAAGTCCGATTTTATTGGAAAAGTCGGTCGAGGATGCGGTTTTAGAATTGGAGCGTCATTACGGTCCTTGGGATTCAAAATCGGGTTCTGCTCGTAGTCAAACTTCTGGTTAATTTTTGATGGTGGTAGGGGTAACTCTGCTCTTGTACCAATCACAACGCTTTCCTTGTTAGCTGAATCAACCACGTCCATCTTAATAGGGGGTGTGTTCACGGGGTAGACTACATACAAGGGTTTGTCAGTTGGACCATTCATTTTTTCACTCTCTAAAGGAACTTCTTTCTTTTCTGATTTTTTGGCTTGGATCATTTGCAAGGTTTCCACGTCACCTTCGAGGTCAGCTATTCTTCTATTAGCTATGACTTTGGGTGGCATTTGAAAAAAACCGAACTGGTCTGGAAGAGGTTTCTTATCATTGATTATTCTGTCTTCAGCTATTGGTCTGATGTGATTTGGTGGTGGTGGTGGAGGTGGAGGTGGTGGGATTTTCCTCAAATTGTGAAGATTTTTAGGTGGCGGAGGCGGCTGCAGCTTCTCGAAGAAACCTACAGGTCTGTTGGAAGGTCTTTCCAGAAGTGGTTGCCGATTGAGATAAGGAGGTGGAGGCCCGTTGGGTTTCATATTAGGTCTAAACTGTGGCAAAATATTTGGAAGATTGTCTATCCTTTTGTACGCCATCTCTGGTGGTGGTCTTGGTGGTCTAACATATTCAGGTTTTCCGGAGTAGAAATGACCTGGTCTGGGATCCCATGGTGGTCGGGGTCTGTCAAGTCTAGTTGCTGCAGGTGGTACTACTTCTTTTTCCTTAGGAGGTGTGAGGTCACTTGGCAGCTGATGGTACATAGGTTTGGAACTTAATTGTAGAACTTCACGATTTAGTGGTGGTACCATACTGCCACCAGTGGTCTCTTTATCGTCCGGGAAAACAACTTTAGCTCCTGTACCTTTAGGGAAGTCAATTTTTTCTTCGTTTATTTCAAGCTTTTCGTCGACTACTTGACCAGGAATTTGTTTTAGACTGTCAACTGGTACGCCTATAGCTAATGAAGCTTCGGAGTTCCTTTGGGGTTGAATTGTAATAGAACTACCGGCTGGTGGGAAGTTTTGAACTGGTTTGTACACTTCGGGTGGTGTTTGAATAGGTGGTGGTGCTTGAACTGAATAACTCACACTATCTTTGCTATATTGGGCCTGTTGACCATACAGAGGTCTAAACGGGTTACTATCATAGGGGCTTTCCTTTAGTGAAGTACCGAGATATTGACCACCTTCTACATTCTGATGGTTGCCTACTACAAATGAAACCATGTCTTGGTCTGGCGCTATATGAATATTGCTGGTACTTGGAGGTTGTTGGGAAGGTTTCTCGTAACCAAACGGTTTAGGTAGTACTTTTTCGTTATTCAGTTGTTGGCGTAAGTTTTGTGTAGCGACAATTATCGACTGGTGGTTATTTACACCGGTTATGTGATTTTCACCAAGTGGTAAAGACGTTACTTTTAGGGCATTGTGTGGTTCTTGTGTGGGGGTTACAATTGGTTTCTCTGTTGGGCTTTCTTTGTCGTTATAATCATAATCGTCGTAACTGTCATGACTTGAGCTTGGATGGACAATAGTAGTACGTGTGGTACTTCTAGGAGTAGTAGTAGTAGTTGTAGTCGTGGTTGTACTACTAGTAGAACGTATAGTCGTGGTAGTTGGTACGATAATAGTGGCACTAGTTTTGTTCAAAGTCAATTTATTTTCGACAGCTATGTTGTCGTCGTGATCAAGATTATCTGCATATTCATCTTCATATTCGTAAGACGCCGATTCAAGTCCCATATTGGAACCAGTCAAAACGTTGGGTCCAGCGTGGGAATTAGGATAGTGTAAATGACTAGCGGTGGTAGAGGGAGGTTTTTCCGTCTTTTGTTCTACGTCGTACTTATTTTTATTGGACGGCAAGTTTTCAAAAAGTGTCGGTTTCGGTGACGGCGGTGCCGAAGGCTGCGGCTTCTGAGTAGTAGGATAATAGTCTTCATATTCCCCGAATAATTGTTCAAAAACACTCAACACTCTCCGCGTCGTTGTACTTGGTGCTTTGGTGGTCAGATAAATATCGTTAACATTCTTCGTCGTTAAAAATATATGACTAGGTTTTTCAGTCTCTTCGTAGTAATCTTCGAAATCTTCATGAAAACTGGGGTGGTTGATTCCACTGTTCATCAAATTCTGCGACGTTGACGTGAGATAGACCTGCGTCGTGGTTTTCGGAGTCGTAGTGGTTGTCGTCGTTGTTGTGGTAGTAGTTTCTGTTGTTTTCGGTCCGTTGAAATAAGTTTTCGGCGAACTGTAATAAGTAGGACTCCCGGTGGGTTTGAGCGTGGACGTCTTCACATTATAGTCTTTATGGTTGTGGTATTTGTTAACATTTCCTTGTATTTTTGTGTTGGCGTAAGAACTGGAGATCAGCGGATAGACATATTTGTCCGAGTTGTATTTAACAGGTAGGTTTAGAAAATCGTGAAAGTTCGGAGTTAGTTGGTTAATGTCACTGGGTCTGTGACTTCCTAAACTGCCGTCTTTTCGGTCGATGTTGGCTTTATCGTAGATGTTGGAGCTCGGTTCTTCGTCGACGTAGTCGTATAATTCGTCATCGAGTTTTAATGATGCCGTTTTGCTGTCGAAGTCAACTTTCCCGGTTAGTGGATCTTTCTCGAGATAGAAAGGTTTTCCTTTGTTGAATATGTTTTCCGGTAAATTGTAGCCGGGTAGTACCAATGGAGAAGGATTTGGAATCTCTTCGGAGTTGTCCGTTGAGTTTAAGACCAGTTTGTCCTCGTCTACATTCTGTTGTAAAAACAAAATAATGTATTTTTATGGAAAATTTTGATCGATAAAACGAGAATACTTACTGTATTATTTTTGACGATTTGCTGACTGCTGTCGCTGGTGATATTGGTTAAGGAACTGTTGTTATTGTCTAAGTGACCTCCCATAAGAGCAGCACCATCGACATAGTGTGACTGATTCAGCACGATTCCTGGTACCGATATGAGAATTTTTACAATTGTAAGAAGCACATATCGCAACTCCATGGTTACTGAAACTAAAAGAAATATTTAATAGACACCAGAAAAAATCTTGGATGGAACTTTTGTTGTTTTTTTAAGAAACTATTTTATTCAATTATTTTTTAAAGGTATTCATTTTCGAAGCTTAACAAAATTTTCATTATCAAATACGATTGAAACTTACATCACGCCACAATTTAAATTGATTATGGTTGGACGAAAGTTAAGAATGTTGAATGTTAAATCACAAGTAATTACAACTGGTTCGCCGTTGAAAGAATAACTGCAATTTGAATTTATTCGAAAATTTTGTTACGTAACTAAAACCTTATTTGTAATTTCGTGTTACGTACCGTGTTCAAGAAATAGCAGTTTTTCAAACAGATTTTAGTTGATATGACATACTCTTAATGTTTTATTTTTAATATTGTTTGTATTTTTTCTGATAACGTAATATAGGTTGTGATTTAGATTTATTTTTGTAAATGCAGATTGACAAATGTTCTGGATTCTTTTGTTAGGTCGGCAACATATTTAAAATTTTATGATTGTCGAATTGACATTTATGACACCCAGTTCGTAGTGTTGTCGTCTTAACCAGTTACCACGTTTGTGAGATGTACTCATGTCAAAATTGACAACTGTGAACAACCGACATATCAGCATGGCTGCCAATAATTCACAGTTGCAAACACAAAAATTTGCTTCAATCATTAATGGTCACCCGGTATAAAAAAACAATTAGAAATTTGACATTATAGTCAGAGTTACGGTTACTTGGAACAAAGATTTTCTATATTTGTTTATTAATAGTATTTAAACAGAATATTAAAGTCAACGTCTCACATCTTGAATTGGATGGGTATCACTTGACACTGCGAAAATTTAGCGCTAGTTGTTGTTTTCAGATTTCTTAAATCTCTAACATTACTGTTATTTACGTATCTTTATTATTATAATTATTAAATATTTGCCTTCGCCTATAATCTTAACAACAATTCCACTTTGTCAGCAGTGGAATAAATAATGTATTAAAAAATGGTCGAAGGTTATTTCTACAACACCTTCCTTCGCGCCTAAAATACACCAAAACAACTCAGCTTTTTTGAAAAATTATAAAATATGATTATACGAATTTTTTTTTAAGAGAACCCTTATAAGTTAAAATAAAGATATGTACGTATGTAACGTTAAAGTAAATGTAAAGAAGCGTGCTGTGCGTACGTTCCAAATGAGTTTTCCCTTGACAGTATTTTGTGATGACGTTATCAACATTTTTGCAAAGACACGTATATTACTTTGGGTAGGTGCTGTGTAATACTAATGATAACAGTATTGTATTGCCAAATTTTAATCAATAAAATAAATGGACTAATTTATTAATTTTTATGCGTCACCTTGTATAAGAAACTTAAAAACTTTTAATGCAGTTATAAATCACAAGTATGGACTCATTATATTTTGCGCATTTTGAATAGGATTTATTCGGCAAAATTTTGAGATGACGTCATCAATTTTTTGGCAGGGGATGAACGAAAAAATTTTGCTTAACGATTTATCATGATTAGGATAACCTAAAATATTTACAAGATTTCAGAGCAATCAGTTTCGCAGTTTCAAATTTATATTACAAAATATTGTTTCCAGTTTAGAATTGTTAAAAAAATTCGGGATATCTAGAGTGAAAATTCGACACGGATTCACACACCACCAGTACAGGAGTATCTTATTTTATAAAATTTAAAGAAACTTTTATTATACATTTTGGAGATGATGTCATCCCATTGGTGGTGGGGATGATTAGCCAAATTTTAGCTAGCGCTTAACCATCTACATGATATTCCTATTATACATACAAAATGTAAGAACAATCAGTCCAGTAGTTTCGGAGATTACTTGTTTAATACAAATGGATACGGACACCAGACAGACAGACAGACAGACAAACAGACAGGCAGACAATACAGATGGAAACGGAAGATCACTTTTTTCGTAGAGGTGTAAGTGGCAATTGGGCCGATGGACTCGATTACTATACTTCCTTTGGTTACACTCGGGAAGTAATAAATTTATAATCCCTTTACTATGCATTAATTTCAGCAAATCTTTGTTTAAAATTTTTATTAGTCGAAAAATTATGTTATTTGAGAGTAAAATAAATATGAGCTTCTTTAATTATAATTATTAGAGTACAAAATACAATTATGTTATTAGACTGAACATCCCTCATTTCTGAAGCACAATTAAATAAATCCAATTGTTTAGAAAAAAACAATATAGATAATACCATTCGCATATTTGGTCTGGTGCGGAGTGTCAGTTCGCACTTTTCTACAGATAATATGAAACCGAAATTCGATTGCATTATAAAGCGCAAGGCTATACCTATGTTTCTAGTGAGTTTTCCAAACGGAAACGGTTTAGATCAACATTTCCGCAAGGATACGTACCTATAGTCTAATATTGATAATAAAAAAGTCAGGCTTATGTATTATATGACTAAAAAGGAAGGTTTAAATAGTAATAATAGTAATAATATACAAAAACAAGGCGGATCCATAAAGCATAAAAGTGAAGAAGTATATTATTTTTTAAAATTGAAATGGCACATACTAAGCAAAATTTTAATGAGACAATTTTGATTAGCGTTTTACCATCTAGCAATATTCCTAACACAGAACATACATAAAAATTGACAACAATCGCTCGGGTACCTCCGGAAATTATCTGTTTAACAAAAATCCGCACAGGCAACCGACGACAGATGACAGACGACAGACAGAGAGATAGACTGAAACGGAAGCCTTATTTTTTCATACTCTAGGGGCCATGAAACGTCAACAAAACTTTTTACACCCAGGAAATAAAAAAGCGGACAATTTAAGGTTAATACAAAGTAGAGGACCAAATTGGTTTAAGAAAGTGTCAGCTTTAGTGAATCGAAATTTAAGATTTAGTAATAATACTGTTTATAATGACTTAATCAGGATTAGTGAAATAATAGGACGCAAAGATGTGAAAAATTAAAATAAATATTTATATAAAAATGTGATAAAGTTACAGAACGTTCCTCACCAGTGAATCAGTTCTTCATTCATAAGTTTTTGATAACATTTTGTGATGACGTTATGATATAATCAAAAAAATAAATTGCTTCATTCATAATTTTTTATTGAGATATTCCGTATAAGCAACTGAGAAAAATGGCAACATATTAGCTTACATCTCGAAGCATATTTTTCTAAAATACTTATTTAATATACTCTTTTGAAATTACGTCATCAATTTTCTAGTGGAGGTGAACAAACAAAATTTGGTAGATGTTCTGCAGTCTTTAACTCAGTGTTAGTTATCTTGCAAAAATTTACAAAAAAGTTCGTTGTGTAAATTCTAAGAGAAACTGTAAAGTTTCATTATATAAAATATAATTTAGCGATGTTTTTTTATGATAATCCCTATAAAGTAAAGCAAAATATTAATGCATTGATAAACCATAGGAATGTCAACTTACCATGCTTACGATAACCTTAAGCTTAACCTTTTCAAAATTTCAGAACATTTGGTGTTGCAGTTCCAGAGTTAAATTGGAAGACGTTGTTATATAATTTTGATTTTTTTCAAACATCTGAATATCAATATTCAACACGGATTCATAAATCACCAGTGCGAGAGAATGTTATTTTATTAAAGTTAAATAACATTTACTATTGTAACTTTTGGAGATGACGTCATTCCATTGGTGGTGGGGATGATTAGCCAAATTTTGGTTAGAGCTTTCCCATTTACATGATATGCCTAATACACATATAAAATTTGACAATAATCGGTCTGGTAGTTTCGAAGATTTTCCGTCTAATAAAAATTGACACAGACGGACAGACAGACAGACAGACGGAAACGGAGTACTTATTGTTTCGTGCTCTAGAGGTAATAACACATCTAGAAAATATGAAACTAACCATTCGTCGGATGGACCCTATTATATTTTACTTCCTTAGCTAACGCCCGGGAAATAAAAATGTGAATACACTAATCTCCCACAGAAGATAAATAATACAAGTGAAGAAACTTAAAAAGAGTGCAATAAGAAATAAAAACTGCCCTCTTTCAGCATTTTCGACAAATATCAATTAGACTAAATTCATTCCATATGCAGTTTCCACTTTGTATAAATACCATATGATCGAAAAAAAGTCCATGTAGTCTATGAAATTAATTTTTAAACTAGTGATGTCGGCATTATAATCATTTGATATTTTATTTGACAGTTATTTGACTGTAACTGTCAAAATCAACAAGGAACCTGTTGTTATTGCCAACACGTTTCATGGTTCACTAGATGACTTTTTTTTCGATCAAGTAATAGTGTAGTTATATGCCATAAAGAGTAAGAATAAACAAATTTCTTGGATAGAATCTGCTTATAGCAGAATAATTCTGTGTTGGCAACAATTTTTGAATTTTAAAAAATACTTGTTCCGTCCATTTTGTGTAATTTTCTTAAAGATATTTGGTAGTTTTAAAATTTTATAAACAAATTTTGTCCCTATTTATTTTTTAAACAAACATATTTAAGCAGAATATGTGTTGCAATTCACTACAATTTATTCTGCCAGTATATGGTTAAAATCATATTAATCAATTAATATCAAGTTTTAAACAGTCTGACGCAAGACTAGACACAAGTTATCATTACCATTATTATTATCTCTACCAAATAGGGTTAATCGACATTTAATTTGTACGAGTATGTCTTTCTAATATATTTTCTACTAATATGTCCCTCATTCATTGATTTTTATTTCGGGTTACACACGTACAAGTATGGTTGTTGCTGTTTATTTGTACTTAAAACATATATGTAGAGGCATTTTGGTTACTATATTTTTGGCACGCTAATCAAGAATGTTAAAATTGTAGGTGTTAATAACGGGAGGCGCTACTAAAAGTGTGCTTCCAAACATGTTTAGGAAGTTATGTTTGGTCAAGGTTACGTGGTTACCTTGCTCGAGTCTGTTGACCTACTTGTTTCATC